GCAACAACAGCAACAATAGCAGCAATAATCAGAGCATACCACTATGAATTAAACCCACGAGATAGACCTTCCTTCGTATCAACTCAGCATTTCCGAATCATGAATGAGTTGTTTGTTGAAGGAACTAGGGCACAATTGATATGGAGATAATTTAATGCATGTCTCACGATCAAAGAAAAAAAAAAGAGGTGATGAGATCAGCTCCTAGCAGTGACTCGCCCAAACCGGTAACTGGCAGGTATTGGACCCATTAAGAGAGTCCCAGGGCCCAATCGCATATCAAAACTGCTGTAGACTCTAAATGCGTGGATGACAAGACATTGAATAGTACTTGTCATAAGTGAGGTCTATTAGTCATCATTCTATGGCGGTCGTGGCAAGATGTCAGGGCCTCCTCCCGCTCATCACCTCCCAACTGGCGCCCTCCCTCAACCCACTCTACCCCCGCTTTCATACTAAAGAGCCCTCCTCCAGAGCTGTCTTCCCGTAATTGTAAGTCTACGCAGAGTCTCGGGTGTCTCTTTTTTTTTTGGCGCGCGCGGAACCTGAGCCTCCGATGCCTTTCCACGCAGCCTCCTACCACCCCTCCTATTTCGCTCGTCCCATTCCGCTCATGTCCTTTCTCCACTTGTTTCTCTTTGTCCTTTCTCTGTTTTTTTTGCCTTGTGCATTCCTCTCTTTGGATGTTTACCCCCTGGAAGCGCGTAAAGCAACTTTTTTTTTTTTTTTTTTTAAAAAAAAAGAAGCGAAGGATAACATAAGCGCTGGAGGAGGAAGGAGGATAAATTGGCGGGAGTTTAAGTGGATGGGAGTGAGTAGAGCGAACAGGTCAACGCATCTCCATGCTAGTATCTTTGCATCAATGGAGTAGTTTGTTGCGTTCGCTTCCTCGTTGTTTTTTAGGCGTCTCACAGCCTTCACATTTACCGCCATTCCTAGGCTCGACCCAGCCCTCTCTTCCAGTTAAGGAGGTCGGAAATGTAATTTCCTTTTAGGCCTCCTACAGTCAAAAATGGTTTTTGTGTGCATTGTTCCTATTAAAAATGCATCCATAAAAAAAGCACATGGATTGAATTGTCTCCCTAAATGCACTACTCTAAAACCTGAAAACACAGTCTCGAATATATGGTGCACGTGATGACTGACGCATGCTGCAATCATGTCCAGAAATATACTATTCGCATCCTTCAGTAACGTTCTTGTCCAACTCGTCGTCTTCAGTGGCCCCAACAACACGTACAAGTTGTTTTACTATTTTTCGGAGCTCCTGCATTCTTCTTGAACCACCTTCCGCGCTCTGTCGAACTCGCTTGATGCCATCGGTTGTGAGAAAATCATCGTCGCCTGCCAAATGTTTCAGCGTTCGAATGGTCGTATCGATTTCCGTGTCTGAAATGGGCGAGCTTGCGTGACTTACGGCCTCATCAAGGCTATCGACACTTCTGCCCGTTGTATCGTGCCCTCCTCCATCCACATTCACTTGTTGCAGCGCTCCTCTGGCCAGCTCCTCCCCGCTCTCTAACATTGTGAAATTCAGCTCATTCCCAACCCCAATCTCGGCAATGATATGCTCAAAATACGCCTTTTCCTGGTCCTTGTATTTTTCATGTTGAATGTGTCGAGGTTTTTGCTGCTGTTGCTCTTCCTTTGTTGGCTGTCGTTGTCGGAGATAATCGCGCATTTGTGTTGGAAGGACTGGGGGTTTGGCGAAGCGGTTGCGTAGTATGGAAGACTTCATCTGATCCCATGCATACGGGACCAGTGACCAGGCATGCCCATTGGTAATAGTTACCGTTTGGTCGAAGTTGCGAGCATAATATGTTTCAAAGCCAAGCATCTCCAGAAACACTCTTTTGAAAGCACTGATGACGCCGGCGTCGAGAGGCTGAGTGACCGAAGTTGAGTTTTTGGGTAGTCGCTGGATGCGAAGATGCTTCCAAGGAACTCCTCCATAATGATCGCGCATATCGATATTGTTGTATGATCCTGCAGAATCCAGAAGAAGAAGAGTGGGCTGGTCAAGGTCATTGTCCAAGTCTTGTAGCCAGGGTACGAATACTTCTCCGGTCATCCATCCTTTCTTCATCCTCACCATGGTCATCTTCGCGGCAGCCTCCTTTTCAACGTCTCTGGGGATGTGTTCACCTAATACTAACGAACAGACATAAAGATTAGGATCTGAAAAAGATATGTTGTCAAGGTCATCCACACAGAAGTCACTTATACAATATAATACATTACCGATAACTAGCGGCCTCAATGACTTTTTTCTTTGGCCATAGCGAGTGATGTTCCGGAAGCATTGATGCAAAACATAACAGATACTCTGCAGTCCCGGATTGCCTTAGCGCCTGATGTGGAAAGTGGGGTTGTATACGATTTGGTGTCCAGTTCTTTCACATACATCCCAGTCTCATCACAGTTGAAAATATTGTCAGGAGTGTACTGGGCGCAAAGCTGGCGAATTTCGATAAGCTCGGGTTCGATAGCCTCCAGGTCGACCTCTCCTGCCTCTCCTTGAAGTCGGCAGTGCGAGATATGATACCGCTTCCTGAATTTGTCGAGCCACCAAGCCGAAAATGATAGTGGTACCTTGGACCGAGTACTATCCGATTTATCCCTGAGGTCACAAAGAACTGTGCAAGCGAAATGACCTGCATCCTGCATCAACTTGCCGGATACAGGAACATTCTTCCTACGTTGGTCATGCAGCCAGCGAAGCATGACCTGCTCAAGCATCGTATCCTCCCGCTTGACAATGTAATGAGCGCCTTTCGGGAGTGCTACAGCACCAGATCGTATCTATTGAACGTTAAAAAGTAAGTAGGAGTGTCAATTAATTACCTTCGATATCTTGGATATATACAGTTCTTGACAGCCAGTTATGTGAAAGTACCTGGTCTTCTCGCTTGAGCATCTTATAAAGGGTATTTCTGTGAAGTTTGATTCCCATCGCAGGCCCAAAGTTATCGTGGGTGAGCGTAAATGAGAAGTTCTCTTTCCTTTTCTCGAGATAATGATATATATCCAACAGCTCGACTTGTTTTTCCAGGGAAAGAGAGACTCTTGACATCGGGATCTCGAACTGGTCGGCAGTAGGAAACATCATGTGAGCAGCCATGTCATCGTTCCTGGCACTTGTCAAAAGGTCGTTGTATCGTAGTCGGCGAAGGGCGTAGATCTCGTCAAGCTGTTGTTTGGTATATGTTTTATCCTTCTTGGAGGCGAGCTGAGGAGGGGTAGGGTTCTGTTTTTGGGTTCGCGTCTTTGCCTCTTTCGCAAACGACGGACGTTTACGTTTGACATCGGTCTTGGGCATGGTGGCTGGTAGGTTTGAATTAAATGTATAAAATAAAACGAGCGCGTCGAAAAGAAGAGGAGTGTGAAGCGAGAACGATGTGTAACTTTCTACTTTTTTTCTTGGACATGATTGCAGCATGCGTCAGTCATCACGTGCACCATATATTCGAGACTGTGTTTTCAGGTTTTAGAGTAGTGCATTTAGGGAGGCAATTCAATCCATGTGCTTTTTTTATGGATGCATTTTTAATAGGACAATGCACAGTCGAATCTGGTTTTTGTCATCATTTTGATAGTGAAATCGATGATAAAAGTTAATTCGAACATTTGAATTGACCCCCACAAAAAGAATACTGTAAAACGCAAAAGTATATAGTGTCCGTGACATTGACGCCAGTCACGCCTTCTCCACAAAGGACTAGGGTCTTTTATTGAGGATGTTTGTTGACATGAAGAGGCGTGTGGGTGAATGAAAGTATTTTTTTTGACTAGCATGATGAGGCGTGGCTGGCGTCAATGTCACGGACACTATATACTTTTGCGTTTTACAGTATTCTTTTTGTGGGGGTCAATTCAAATGTTCGAATTAACTTTTATCATCGATTTCACTATCAGAATGATGATAAAAACCAGATTCGACTGCACACAAAAACCATTTTTGACTGAACAGAGGATTCAGAAAAGGGTCTCAAAAATACGGAGTGACCTTCCATTCCCACTGCGAAAATTTCTAACATAAAAGACGAGCATACCATCACAACACTACCCCTACCAAAATGTCTTCTCACCCCATTGTATACAGCTCAGATCACACCAGCGCCGTGCTCCGCACCCACGGCTGGCGTACGGCCGCTAACTCTGCAGCATATCTTGTGCCCTATCTCAAGCCCGAAATGACTATCCTCGATGTCGGCTGCGGCCCAGGCAGCATATCCGTCGACATAGCCAAACTAGTGCCCCACGGCCGTGTGATAGGAGTTGAGTACACCGCTGAGCCTCTGGAGCAGGCGCGCGCCTTTGCCGCCAAGGAAGGTGTCACAAATGCCGAATTTCGTATTGGTGACATCCACGCTCTCGAGTTCCCCGACAATACCTTCGACGTGGTCCATGCCCATCAGGTCCTGCAGCACGTTGCCGATCCTGTTCAGGCGCTACGCGAGATGTGTCGAGTGACTAAGCCCGGCGGTATTGTGGCCGCACGCGAATCCGCCACCCCAACATGGTACCCAGAGTCGGCTGGCTTGAAAGCATATTGGGACCTTCAAACCCGCATTGCGCAGCTCAAGGGAGGAAACCCACACCCAGGAAGCCACATCCACGTTTGGGCACAGCAAGCAGGATTCGAGCGATCGCAAATCACCTGCAGTGCTGGAACTTGGTGCTACTCCACCCCTGAGGAACGCGCGTACTGGGGTGGGACGATGAAAGAGCGCACCCTCTCATCTGCCTTTGCAACCATTGCCCTGGACAAGGGTCTCGCTACGCAGGAAGAACTGAAGGACATGGCACAAGGTTGGCAAAAGTGGATCGAAGACGATGATGGCTGGTACGCGATCCTCCATGGTGAAATCATTTGTCGCAAGTGAATTGACGATTGACGTAGGAGTCAAGTCGGTCAGTGCAATTGACCTCCTGTTCAGAATATAGTAGTCCTTTGTCGAATAAGATATCCATATTCGAGATTTATCATGAATGTCAAGGATTGTGATAAAGTGCTGCTACTGCTGCCTGTAATGCACCACAATGTATCGCTTTCAAGTTCCCTTCCATCCTCCGACAAAAGATCGGCCCACCCAATATTCTAAAAGAATCGACTTCAGGTTTTTATTCGAGTTCTTCTTCATTGAGGGCATCCAGCTGAGACTTGAGCTCCATGATCTTGAGTCCAATTTTGCGCTGCACATCCAGCTTTTGGGCGTCGTCCAGCTCCTTCAACAGCACATCGTATGCATTCAAGCACTCCTGGACGGCTTCACGCGCGCCATCCTTGTCGTCGTTGTAGTAGACCGTTCCCCGTGCCTCCTCTGCATACTCCAACTAAAATATATTGTTTTCAAAGAAGACAAAATCCTGTCAGCCGATACTATTCAGACATTTACGCCAGTTTGCAACTGCAGTCGCACGCATGTTGCGCCGTCCTCTGCTGTGTCCTCGTTTTGCCATACCTCGTCGCGTGCAGTCATGAACAGATCCGCGATATTCTGGACGCCCTTATCGACATCTCCAGCATTGGCTGCAAACATGATCCGCGAGGAAAAAGTAAATAAACGCTCCTGCTGTTGCTGCTTCGCCTTAAAAGCGACTGCGCTGGGAACATGAGCCAGGATCGGTATTTGCTGGCGGGCGATCAGCGAAGAGACCATGCGCTGGCTCGATCTGAGAATGAGGGTTCTTGTGGCATGCATCGTGTTGGCCTTGATTAAAATGGATGTTGAATTGCGATGCAGAGGGCAGAGAGGAAATTGATGTCGATAACCCGTGCAATTATGGAACTCTGCGGGTTTGAAAAAATGCAAGGCAGAATAAACTCTCTTTCTGGCTATCAGCACACACTCCTCCGACGCGGATGGATCGCAAGTGCTCAGAATAGGAATGATGCCGTCGATATTATGTCTTTCGACCTATGGAACATCTGAAGCCCATTTCCCGGTCGTGCAGGACTCATTTGATGGTATAGTGGGGCGGAATCTAGATTCTAATCTATGCCTTACGGCAAGGGGACACTGTTCGGCACACCCGCTGTCAAAACCGCGTCTATGACTCAGCATACCGCCTGTATGCTGATTTCATTCATGCCTATGGTTGCTGTCAGCATCCCTTGCTGTGTCCATGGGTCTGCATGCAGAACAGGCGTGGGCCACATATCCTGGCAGTGGGGGAGCTCTACAGCTTCTGGAACTTGGGGAATAACCGGGTGAGTAGCTCACACGCGTAGGATACGCACTCTGCTCAGTCACCCGTTATTCGCCTATGTTCTCGCTAGAGTTGCCGATGGGGAGTCGTTCAGACAGAAGGAGCGAGGAGAGTCATTCGATGCATCAATCAGACTCAATAAATAGGCCTTACCTGGTGGGTTCCCAGCAAACGCGTCTCATATAGACCAAAAAAAGGTTCCTTGGAGGCCCAGTCTCCAGTAACTGCTGGGGTTTTGGGATAGCTCTGAGATGTAAACTCAGCCGGTTTGTAGCCTTGAGTTCTGGTAACTTTCCGCAGGCCCCTGACGCCCCATGTTACGCCTGCGAGAGGAGAATACAATTATAGTCGTTGTTAGAAGGCGGGACCATAAAACACAGGGCTTTATTTTAATACTACGATGCAACCTGGTGAAAAGCATGGAATGTAACTTACGAGTCGCGACTTTGTAGACTTTTTATCCGTCTTTGGATCAATAAATGAAAGTATCAACAAAAAGTGGCGGCGCGGCTTGGAGGGGGGAAGTAGCAAACGACAGACAGATGTCGAACTGGTGCGTGTTGGAGGAGATGCTGACTGTTCAATTATATCAACTGCACCAGAATGTCCCAAAAAGGAAATACCTTAGACGCGCCAGGATCATGTACGCGTCTCCTTGTAGCTCACGTTACATCAAAGAGCCAATCCTTCTTTTTCTCGTCCATTCTTTCTTCAACCGTCCCCCATTTTGTCTTTTCTCGGTCGCAATCCTTTCCATCCTTTATACCTATCTGCTCGAATGCTAGAAGACTGTCTGCTTTTTAGTAGCATATAGAAATGTATTATTGGTTTACAAGTAAAAGGGAGCGGGCCACCAAACATTGATCGCGGCAGCGGCATGGGTGACAGTGCAGCTAAGACTGTCAAAAGGCGCTCTGTAGCGGTGGTCACTGAGCTTACGGCATAAGCGGTGGTTGTGGCCCTTGAGAGTGCGGCACGTAGGGTTGCGGCATGAATGACGGCTGCCCACTCAGCTGCAGTTACCACAGTTGCGAAATCTGCTGCTGTTGCATGTAGACCTGCCGAAGCCATTTCATCTGTTGCTTTCTTGTCGCTGCTCTTAGCGCTCCTGCTGCTGCTCCTATCTAATAAAGAGCTATATGATATCTTAAAGTCCGCTCTGAATATACGCCAACGTTTGCTATCCTAGCTGCTGTAGGGGTTGCTGCACATCCTGATGAGTCAATTGAGTTAGTTGGTATTGACTCAATTGACCGTTGACTGGACCTTCAGCTGGTCTGCTATGACGGTAATCACGTTGTGTTTCTGCATTGGGTCCACTTCGTCAATATCTGCCACAGCACCCATCTTTTCCGAAGCTCCATGAAGATAGTGACTTAAAGGCATTGTCTCGCAAAATCTTACTGTGATGACCATAGGCAGCGTCTTGGAGTACGACTCGCCAGCACCGCACAAGCAAGTTCAAGAGGTTAGGCCCAACAATATCTTCTTCAAGGTGTACCGCCGTGTCAACCGCTGGTTTCTCATGCTGTTTTGTTCCTGATGAGGACTCGTCCCCAATAGGTGACACAACATTCGGGTTGATCTCGTTCATCTCGTTCATTTCGTTCAGGCACTCGCATCTCCAATCCTCGTTGTCGTTGCCATAAGCATTTTCAATCCAGGAAAAGATCATCTGCTGGAGCGGTATCGATGGGTTGATAGAGTTCCGAGCGAGCAAGGGTGAGTTTTCATATAGACTCCAGCCATTCCAATTGCGAAATCAGAAGACAAGCAGGGCATGTAAAAATTCTCCATCTCCCCTTCCAGCATTCCACCGCCTTCTGCTCTTGATATCCTCCTGCTGTACACTTACTATGTGGGAATCGATGGTTCCAGCGCGACGGCCTCCGTATGTCTTTTTGGAACTACTGATGCGGAATACCTTACCCACCTCACTCCAGGTAGTTTGTGGGACAAGGCTGATTTTCGGCTCCATCAGACCTGACAGGATCTTGAACTGGCTTCAGTCATTCGTGGCAAGGCGGGGTCTTTTCATTGAAGTTTTGTACAGAGTTTATTATGAAGTATGCGGTACGTGGTTATAGTATTATTGTACTTCGGTACATAGGTGGCGTCAACGAGTGCACGGACAAGTCTTTTAAAGAAAAAAGAATGGGAGACTGAGATAGAAGATAAGTGGACTCATACCAGGCAGAAAAAAGCAGTGCAGTGTTCACTAGTTGACTGAAATAAACTGGAGGTAGTTCTTCAAAAACAGCTTCACTCTTTTCGATCATCTTGATGAGCTGGGTATAACATGATGACTTTGATAGAGACCGCATCTAAGTTGGTACAGCAACGCATGCACAGTGCTCGCAGGAATGAATGTGCGAACCAAACCAAATCAAATATGAACCACAGCTGAATTCGTCCGTAGCGCAATTGTCACGCGTCTGCATCGTTACACAAAGTTGAACGTAGTGTTGTGGCTGACCCTTTGCGATCATTTACCGCTGTTTATTAGAGCATGACTGAGACCCAGAGTTCATCAGAGACCTCTAGAGGAATTAGGCCGGTAGCAAGGCGCTCGTCAATCAGGTACAAGCCCATACAGAACTGCGCTCGACTCAGGCGCCCAGCATTGTCGACATCCACCAAATCCCTACATATATTAGTCAGTTAAGAGCAAAAAAACAGGGCCGGATGAATAATAGCACGTGAATGCAGCGTTGATAAACCCAATCGATCTGCTTGCATTACCATATCTGTGCCAGAGTCTTAGAATCCAGGCGGCTTCTCACATAAATCGCATGAACTTTGGCGCCTAGATAAAGTAGAATGTCAATGAACTGTTGTGACAATTCAAGCAATCAGAACGCTACAAAAATAAACTAAGACGCAGGATACCTTCAATATAATCCCCAGAGGTTGTGGAATTGAACAAAGCCTCATATCTTTTTCTCGCATCCCACTTGATACCAACAGTCTCTGGAGCAGAGCTTTCTGGTAACCGAGGTGATGGCATTGTAACGCCGCTTCCTAATGCAGCCTTCGATGGCGACGATAGAGCACCCCAGCTGCGCCCAACAATATCCCCTACTCGCGTGCTGCGGACAGGCGTATTGTCCTGCTTCACCTGAGACCCATTTGGAGTAAATGAAGAGAACGGACGGGTGGGCACTTCCCGTTGCAGTTTCATCGATGGTGTCGTCAACGCTATCGGCTGAATTAAGGGTGTCGAGGAAATGGTGGTCGATCGAGCAGGCAAGGGAGGGGCCATATTATTCGTAGGCTCGGGAGTGACAGCTGGAACGGACACTGTTGATAGAGTGCGTATTTCCTTAGGTGTTCTAGATCCCACAGAGTTCAGTCTCACGCCAAAGGGGGAACCAGCCGTGCTACTAGAATCTTTTGTTGTGTCAACGATGCCATTTGCTTCAAGAGACCCCACATTCTTGAATCCTCCGGTGGTAGCTGATCTGGGCAAGCCCTGCGTTATATTTCCTGCAGGCGTTGAGAGTGGAGAAGTATTCAAGTTGTTCCTGGAAGGCAGTGGTAAGGGCAGCGTGTTTCTTGAAATGGCAGGTAAAGCATTGATTTCGGAGGAGGTCTGTCGAACTACTGAGGGACTAAATCGAACAGGCCCTGAACCGCTCGGCTTGTCTGCCAGTGTGCTTACAGATGAAGCGTTCGAGTTTGGAGTATTTGCGACGGCTATGCTGGGGGTGCGATTGGGGAGTTTTGGTGGTGTAGAAGGATTCTCAGAATTGTTTGATGCGGGAGACGAAGATGGAGTCTGCTTTTGTTCTGATAATCCTGAATTTCTTCCTGTCCTTGCAGATCGAGGTCGTGCAAAGGTTGTCAGCTTGGGAACTGGAACAGCCGCATCCTGGACTTGGTAAACATGCTTTGCAGTTGTGGCGGCTGAAGATGACAGCGATGGCGATTGCATGGGACTGGGGGATAGTGTCCGAGGCGGTAGCGCTGGTCTCGCTGCTGATGAGAGTGGCGAGTGGACTGTGCTGGGCGTTTGTTCCTTTCCTTGCTCCTTTGTACCCAGCCTTGGTGGGAGAGGAGCAGACTGCGGTAATATCGCGGGATTTGAGGGTGAGCTAATCTGCCGCTGACTAGCCATCGACAAGTTGGCCATGCGCTCCCTTACAGACAGTGCTGGTCCGGCGGCAGAAGACTGATCCATTGCGCCGTTACTATTATGATCCAAAGTGTCACCTCTTCTCGGCAGCGTTGGAGGTTCAGATTTTCGACCTTTGGCTTGTGTCCCAAGGCCGTCCGGTTTGGCGAAGCCATACGTGGATCTCGATCCCACCCTTGGCATTAATACGTTAGTCGATGCAACATTATTGCCTGACTTCTCATTACCTCCTGAGGTCGCTAATGGCTTGCTGCCTCCGTCGTTCCTGACTCTTTCAGTTGATGGTGCTTGGCCTTTCCTTGCAGGAAGTAGCGGCTTAGCGGGAGTAGCCACGGTATTAGATTGTTGTGCGGATGCTACTTCTGATGTTATTGAAGTCGAAGATGCACCTTTGATGCCCACAGACGTTCTCACTGGTAACTGAGGCGGGACTGCATCTGCTGGAGGTTTTGAGGACGCCTATATCAAGGTAAGATGGTGTTAGCCTCGTGCGGAATACATCGTCATCGATTATCCTGTTTGGTACCATATGGATTCCCTTACCTCCGCTTTTACATGAATGAGTTCGACGTAGTTATCGGGAAATAGACCCTCCTCGCCCGTCCTCTCTAAGCGCCCATGTAGCCAGCCTTCCTCTGAGGTTTCACGCACTAGATAAAATCCATAGGCGCACAGGATCTAGTCAGAACGTATACATCATGTATGTCCATAACATCAATTATACAATTATACAGCAAAGGTGAATATTTATAGCTACCGCCAACGAGCGTATCGCCCTCTTGAAAGGTCAGCTCCGAGTCCTCGTCTCCAACACAGTCAAAAAGTGCTTTAGCATGTATGATCTGCACCATCGTCTGAGAGAAGTCTTAGATGGCGAAGAGGTGTTGAATGAGACAGTGATTTATAGCGAAAGTAAAGAAGTGGTATTGAGGGTGATGAGGGATTGTGAATGAAGAGGAAGGTGTGGAGAGAAAAGATGGAAGGCAACTTTATTTCGGCATTGCCAATTGCTGAGCCGAACGCATATGGCCAAGCTTGCTGCGCAAAATAGACGCGTGTGTAGCTAGCCAGAGAAGACCACGATCATGGCTAGACTGACTTGTTAATAGGACTGTCGGAAGGGGATGATGATGGTCCTAGACGCTGTAAAAAGTTGGTGCGAAAGTGCAAAAAGAAGGACTCAAAGAGGTCGCGATCCTGTCCTACTGTCCAGGTCATCTGCATAGTAAGGGTATTGGCAGGCGACGCCGTGGTTGATGAGCTACTTACAGGCCCTCGTGAATCATCGGGAGGAAATATGCGAAGTTCGAAGGCCATAGCGGCTAACGGTGTAGATAATCCAGGACGCTCAATGGTTGCGGTTTCGTCTGCAGCCCCGTCTTGCTCCTTGGCTTTCCTGGCCAATGCCCTCCGCGCAGCTCGCGACCAAGTATTGGTTCGGACGGACCCTCGAAATACTCTTGGCTCTTTGCCCCCATGGAAGGAATCTTTGTTCTGCACTTGATAATCAACAGAGATGCGATCTAGAATTGCCGTGGCATGGTTCACAGCCGATTTGAGGGTCGTGTCAGCAACATTGAACGAAAGAGCCGTTACTGGTGGAGCGAGCTTGATCATCTTTTTTGGGGTGTGTTGAATCGATGCCTGTTGAATGATAGCAGAGAAGGTGCGATCAGAACAGTATCTTTACAGTAGAATATGAAAATAACAGACGCATTTGCTATACCCAAGAAGCGTGCTCATCTCCAAAGGACCACGCCAAGGCCCATCTACTTGTTCGACCTTGACGAAATGTTGTCAGGGTATAATTTAGTATCTAACATTTGGAAGAACAACTACAATATCAGCATTGTTCCTATTTTTTTGTCCGAGTAAGCAGCTGCTCATAATCATGATCCTTACCTTGCTCTCTTTAAGATATGCAGCGACTTTGTCCATTGAATCTTTTTTCCCAAGCATGCTCGTGTACCATCTAAAATAAATGCCATGTTCGTTAAATTGTTGAAGAACAGGAGCAATGTCAGCGTATCCAGAACGCAATTTCTTCGGCGAATAGTACCTTATCCGCGTTTGCCATTGTCGGCTCTCGTCGATCATTTGTTTCACGAATTGAACCTCTCCCCCAGCCGTTATCATCTCGTTTGGCGTCCCTTGACAGGTTGCCGAGGGTAGATATTCTTTATCTTCGAGACTGTCCTGAATATCCTGTTCATCCTCGTAGAAGGGTGGATTGCACATGCAGAAATCATACCTAAGACAAACATGCGTTCCATTGCTCAACAATCAGATCAATGGTGACATAACTTGCGGTGGCACACAAGAGCATACCTTTCATCGTCCTCTTTAAATAACGGATCAGGGAAGATTAAAGATGACGTGTTCTTGACGACGATCACAGCGTGATAGAGGTTGTTTCTGGCCACATTTTCAGTTGCATACGAGATGGACCTATCGTCGATGTCTAGTGAGAAGCCCATGTCAGTCTTTTTTTTTTTTTTTTTTTATTCGTCAGCCACTTCATCTGCGCCTTTCTTTGATGCTTCAAACACACCTGTTGCCACCATCTTCCAGTTCTTGTTCCGAGTGCAACCCAGTAGTGGATAGATACATGAGGCACCTGTGCCGCTATGAATTATAAATCATACGTGTTAAGGAATGCAAGCGATTGGAGGCAGGTCAGAGCGATGTCGCTGTGATTCCAGATATACATACATGTCGATCCCGCGAATACTTCCTTGGGAGTTATTGCTCATCAAGTCTTCGATCCAACACACATAGTTTACGCGGTTGGGCACCTGGTCTCCAGAAAGAAATATTAGAAGCAATTAGTGTCATACATATTGTAGTCGTTTAGAATTCTATCTGAAACAAATAAGGCACTTGCAGCGGGACAGAGAGAGTCGATTGGGATATCCAGTTCAATGGAGAAGTCGCGTCGTAGGAGACAGTAGGTCAGCTCACTAGTGTTAGGATTAAACAGGGAATGATATTAGTACGGGAGTTCTGTTGCCTGTTGCGGCAGTAAGAAATATACAGCGATCGTTACCGTAGTGCCATTGGATCCCGGAAGTTGATAGTGCCCTGGGTCTTTGATCCTGTGGTTTTGATGGTGACACTGAATACGAAGTGATCTTTGTGAGTGAGGAATGTTCATTCGAAAACCGAATCAGACAATGAGCCAAGGCCTGCATCGCGATCGAGACGTTACAATGGCTTTAGGGACGGATACAGCTCAGCGAGGGCAGCAAAGTCCGGTGGATTATCGCGATATGGGTTGGAGGGGTGCATCCCCGGCGTATCTTCAAGTCTGCGCTTGGGCATTGCAATGTTCAAACAGGGCGAAGTTACAGGAGGAGCCACACTCAAATATACAAGACGAAGTACGGCGGCCACTAAGGTATCAATGCAGCTGGGGGTTTTTTCTAAACTCAGGCTCTAGGCCACGGATTATGTTGTACTCACATATTCACAGGAAATCCACGCAGGATCGGGTTGCCGAGTGGAACCATGCTGGATTTGGGCCATCAGTCACTACCAGTTGGCATACTGTGCCTTCTTCAGGGGCGATTAATCTGTCGATTTTCAACGGATACATGCCTCGATGCGGGGTTGTCGTCGGGCACCCTTCATTTGAAAATAGATGTCCCTCTCCCCTGCAAAAGCACGTCGTCCTTTTTCTCATTCAATCTCCACCCTTCAACCACATTTCCATTCACACTTCTCATCACCATTGCGCCCTTACTAAACACCGACCCACGCACCGACAACGATAGACGCATCGGAGACATATAATTATTGTAATGCGCGTATCGTTCTCGCCGGCACCTGCAGAGCCGCCCACGACCAAGAAGGAGCTATGGGCCTGGTACAGCTATGCCTTCGCGAGTGAAGCATACGTGGTGGTAAGAATGCAGCCCCACATAAACATGCGCGCTTATACACAAGCGCATAGGAATTGTCAACTCGCACTAACCTCCAATGGTCTACATGTGTGGTTGCTGTAACGCCCAACCAAGGTCGCTCTGACTAGCTTCATCCCAATCACACTAGAGGCACTGGCGTCGGAGGAAGGTCATCTCTACGGGACGAACGAGCCATGCATTGCCCGTCCGAACATCACAGGCATCACAGGCATCACAGCATTAAATACGGGGACCAATGCCCAAGTCATGGAGAGGCCAAGGTGCATGATTAGCTTTGGACACCTGGAGGTGGATACAGCGTCCTTTGTGATGTATCTCACGTCTTTGGCAGTGTTCCTGCAGGTAAATGAGAGCGGAACTTGAATATGCGTAGTGTATCGACTCTAAAGGGCTTTCAGAGGACGCTAACGTCTCCTATAACATCAAGGCTTTGACGGTTGTCTCCATTAGTTCCATGGCCGACTATGGTTCATACCGCAAGAAGCAGCTCATCGCCTTTTCAGCAATCGGCGCCACTGCAACCATGCTTATCGGCGCAGTACCATATGTGTGGATGGCAGGTGCACTTAGTGTCATCGCTAATGTCTCTTTTGGAGCCGGAATTGTATGCTTCAACGCCTATTTACCCCTCTTGGTTAGAAACGTGGAGCGTCTGCGTCGTAGACGCGAGCAGCTTCTACAACTTGAAACCGAGGTCGAGGTTCAGTCAGGACATCCCATACAGTCACTCGCTGCAGACGTGAGCAATGATATGAGCGAGATGGCAGGCGCGGGTCATGTGCATGGTACGGATGATGCCCGTGCGACTCTACTTCACGACCAGGAGCAGCCTGATGCGGCCATACCAGAGATTCCAGAAACAGCGCAGACGTTGGAGCAAAAGAGATGGCTGGTCATGGAAATGTCCGAGCAGCTGAACGAAGATAAAGGACATCTTATGGGGCAGATCAGCGCTAAGGGCTTTGCGAGCGGCTATCTCGGAGGCATCCTACTACTACTCGCCTGTCTCTACATCTCATATCGCGACAAATCCTCGACAAGGTCCCTCAAGGTTGGCATTTTCCTATCTGGACTTTGGTGGTTCCTCTTTGCAGCGCTGGCTGGCGTTTGGCTGAAACAGAGACCTGGACGGGAACTTCGTCTTGAGGATCGCAGTCAGAAACATGGGTCCCTGTGGGTCGCCTCTCGGTATGTCCTTTACTCTTGGAGTCGAGTCGGGGCAACGATCGTCCAGGCTCGAAAGCTGCCCAGTGCGTTTGCGTTTCTTATTTCCTGGTTCTTTCTCTCAGACGGGTACACGAGCATTGCCAATGTGGCTCTTTTGTTTGCAAAGACATCGCTACAGATGCCACAGACACAGCTGATCCTGCTCTCACTCGAGGTCCCGATCTGTGCGCTGGTAGGCACACTTGCCTTTCCTAAACTGCAGCGGGTATTGGGCTACAATCAGAAGCAAATGGTTCTTTTACTGCTTATTATGCTGGTCATGGTCCCAGTATATGGCACGCTGGGTTTAATTCTCTCATTCTGGCCCCATCTTTCCTCCGCAAAGGAGCTCTTTGCTGTCGCCGCATACTTTGGTTTTCTGATTGGAGCTGTTCAAAGGCATGTATAATTTTGTCCGCATTGACGTTCTTTATTCCCAAAAATATCGCTGCATTCTACTAATAGTAAAAAAAAAAACTCCTTTCGCTCTGAATATTCTTAGCTTTTGCCGATCCATGTTCGCAGATCTTGTTCCCCGTGGCCGAGAGTCCGAGTTCTTTGGTCTTTATGCCATCACAGATAAGGGAAGCAGCTGGCTAGGCCCACTGGCGGTGGCAGCTATCACGGATGCGACGCATGAGATTCGGTATGCTTTTGTCTTTCTGCTAGTGCTGTTGAGTCTTCCGATTCCGATCATATACTTTGGCGTGGACATGAACCAAGGTCGCCTGGATGCAGAGAAGGCATCTCAAGAACTGCAGCAAATTCAAACAGCAGGAGAGCACGGTGAGCAGGACCGCGGTGAGGAGAGCGAGCGATTGTTGTCTTCAGTTTAGAGGATCTTGCTAGAGAACAAATAAACGTGATGCCGCTTATATCGTAGCTTTTAGCTTCAATCCCCACTGGGACCTAAATAATTTTCAGGCCAAGATTCCCAGGAGGGATATTGCAGTCACAGGCCCCAGGACGAACCCAAACCACTGGCTCTTTTCCCGGAGCAACAAATCGTAGCCTGATCGTCCATCGCACCATGGCAACCTGACCATAACCATAAGAATGGGCGAGTAGTGTCCAGAAATGGTGTTTGTTCCCAAGTTTGCCGCCTCATGGTGGTGCTGAGGCACGAAGGAACAAGGGTTAAAACGTACTAAACGCTTTGCATGAAAATATCAACAAAAGACTGGGTGACAGGCAGATCCCCGGCCAAAAAAAAGTTCCCCTGCGCTCCTTTCCCTTTTTTTCTCGTGGTTTCTACAAAAGAAGCGTCTTTCCCTCGTCCCTCACTCCCCACTCTTCTTTCTTTTCTTTTCTCTCCCCCTTCCCTTCGCTCTCCATCCTCCCAAATACCTCATCCGATTCTTCGTTTTCATTTCCTTTCTTTTTTCCTTTTTTTTTTTTCGCTTACTCCTCCACTTGGCGAAAAATAAAAACATCAAAACACTTTCGGGATCCCATCTCTTTCGACACCATGGAGGTATTGAACAACACCCAACAGTGCTCCTTCAACAATAACGGCCAGGCGCCCTTGTCCAGGGCTGCACTCCATGCTATGCTCTGGACCCTGACCATGTCGCTGGCCAGGCTGAAAAAGTTCTTAAGACAATGGATTAACCACCGTTTCGTTGGATCACCTTCTTGGACTCTGTTTATTCATATTCATAGGCCATTCTCGACTTCAACCGCGATCTGGACATTGACTTGCTTGATCGCGTTGTCCAGACATTCTTCTCTGGCACTGGACCAGACGTAAGTCCCTTTCTGTTCTTCCATTATTTCGGCAGGACATTCGTTTGGTGCTTGATCAGTCATGCTGCCCTGTGAAGTCACACTCAACTTCAGCTAAGAACTCGACATCTCGGAAGGCTCTCTCTACACCTTGTTTTTGGCTTGCCTCTGATATCTTCCGGCAACTAGTGGGTCCATTTCATGGGGCATGAGTCTCAGGAAAACGTCTGTCTGGATACAATTTAATAATAACAGCCGGCAGCAGCAAGGGTCGCAACAGCGGCAACAACAACAACCAAAACAACAAAACCAACATTGGCGTCAAAGCATACTAGCTGTGGATGTTCAAGATCGACCAGCCCCCTTCGCCCAGAGCCGCGGATGTGGAGGGTTGCAGATTGCATATCTTTCCCCATTGCCTTTTGCCCTCCCCTCGTTTTACTAATCTCGCTTCCTTGGTCGGTTCATCTATAGCACAAACTCGCGCAGCAGGTCTTGACTCAGTTCCAGGAACATCCCGATGCTTGGAGGAGAGTCGATGCGATTCTGGACAACTCAAAGGTTTCCCAGACCAAGGTATACATACGCCACCACTGCCAGCTGTCAGGACAATGCGACATGTTCGATAAACAAAAGGAGCTCTCAGACCACTCACACTGCATTGCCCTCGCTAAATAGTTCTTGGCTCTGGCAATCTTGGAAAAATTGGTTCAGACGCGGTGGAAGCTGTTACCACCAGAACAATGCCAAGGTATTTTCATCGCAAAGTTGTTTTGTCTTAATGATAAGCGTCATTTCAGCCCTGTTCTTACAAATTTATCGATCGCTATTTTTGCTATGACATATAGGCATTCGTAACTACACTGTGGGACTGATCGTCAAGTTATCCTCAGATGAGGCAACGCTTATTCGTGAGAGGACGCTAATCAACAAACTGAACATGGTTCTTGTCCAGGTACGTCTTTTTCGACTCTGGATTGATGGCATGATTGATATAACCGTCTTTGGGATCCTAGTTCAATTTTCCAATTGGTCTTTCACACAGCAATACTTATCTTTAACGCCATCCTATGTCTGTGTCCTTGTAGATCTTGAAGCAGGAATGGCCTCATGCCTGGCCTGGCTTCATTCCTGAGATCGTTGTGTCCAGTAAATCCAACCTGTCTTTGTGTGAAAACAACATGGTGATTCTTAAGCTGCTGAGGTATGTATGAACAAGTCTATGCCCCCAGACCTGATCGCATACTCTGGTGATGTCCAGTGCAACAGTTACTGATATCCTTATGTTTTTATCATTGACCATCCCTAGCGAGGAGATTTTCGATTATTCTGCAGAGCAAATGACCCAGGTCAAAACGAAAAACCTGAAGAACTCGATGTGTGGAGAATTCTCTGAAATCTTCCAGCTTTGCAGTGAAGTCTTGGAGAAGGCCAACAAGCCCAGCTTGATCAAGGCGACATTGAACACACTCCTTCGCTTCCTCAACTGGATCCCACTTGGATACATTTTCGAGACAAACATCGTGGCAAACCTCCGCTCGAGAGTAAGCATCAGGGATAGAAGCATTCAATCTTATTGACTTTTGTCGCGCCATTAAGATGTTTGCTGACTGCTTTATTCCAATCATTCTTAGTTTCTGGACGTTCCAGTGTTCCGAAATGTTACTCTGAAATGCCTTACGGAGATTGGATCGCTATCGGTTGCCGCTGACTACAACGACAAGTTTGTTGTTCTCTTCAATATGGTGATGACTTCAGTCGCTAAGACCGTTCCAATTGACGGAGGTATGTTCTTGTGATTCATTCATATATGTTATCTAACCCGTTATAAGGATAATGTGATCATTAAATGTATTTAAATGTAATTGTTGCTGTTATTGTAGATATCGCACAGATGTACGAGGATGCAGGAGATGATGATCAGCAATACATCCAGAACTTGGCACTGTTCCTTACCGGATTTCTTGGAGTACATCTCAAGGTGAGAATCCGTTCACGACCGATTCTCTACGCCGCAGCATAACCTGAAAGCGCACTGACGCCTACTTTTTCCATGCTATGCATATAGCTTGTCGAGAATTCCCAGAACAGGGAAGTGCTCCTCGTTGCCCATCAGTACCTGCTTAAGATTTCACAGGTGGATGAGCGCGAGATTTTCAAAATTTGCTTGGAATACTGGACCAAGCTGGTGGCAGAGCTCTACGAAGAGATTCAGCAGCTGCCTGTCATGGAGCTTCCATTGTTGAACCTCGGCGCCGGCGGCATGATGCAATCGGCCGCAGGAAATGTTGCTCTTCGCAAGAACTTTTACACCGAAATCCTCGCTCGCCTTCGCGTCGTTATGATTGAGAGAATGGTCAAGCCTGAGGAGGTATGGGTCATGGTCGCCAAATACGATGCAACCTTCTTTTATACTTTTTGTTTTCTTTGACTGAATCACTTGTCTAATTACTATAGGTATTAATTGTGGAGAACGACGAAGGAGAGATTGTTCGCGAGGTGATGAAGGAGAGTGACACAATCACGTTGTACAAGAGCATGCGCGAGGTTCTTGTGTATCTGACGCATTTGGACTGCGTAAACACGGAGCAGATCATGTCCGACAAGTTGACAAAGCAGGTCGATGGTTCCGAATGGTCCTGGGCTAACCTTAACAAGCTGTGCTGGGCCATTGGTTCTATCTCGGGTGCCATGAGTAAGTGAAATTGACTGCGCTGGTCACTCATTTAGCTCTTGTCTCCAGGGCCCCAATGCTAATCACAATACTCTCTTTTGCACTTTATTAGATGAGGATGCTGAGAAGCGGTTCTTGGTTACCGTCATCAAGGAGCTCTTGGGACTGTGCGAAATGAAGCGTGGCAAGGATAACAAGGCAGTCGTTGCTTCAAATATCATGTACATTGTTGGGCAATATCCACGCTTCTTGAAAGCGCACTGGAAGTTCTTAAAGACGGTGGTAAATAAGCTGTTCGAGTTTATGCACGAGACCCACGATGGTGTTCAGGACATGGCCTGCGACACATTTATCAAGATCTCACAAAAGTGCAGGCGCCACTTTGTCCTGCAACAATCTCAAGAGGTCATGCCCTTCATTGACGAGATCCTCAACACTCTGGACAAGATTACAAGCGACCTCTCTCCAGCTCAGGTAAGTCTCTAATTAAGAATCGCAAGGCTTAAAGTTGAGAAGTAACGAAGTCAAGACACTCACTCAATGCTGTGGTTGATTGAAAAATGTAGATTCACACATTCTACGAGGCCATCGGATACATGATCTCAGCACAACCCAACCGTGCAGCACAGGAACGCTTGATTGCCAAGGCGATGCAATCCCCTAACCAATATGTACGCTCTTTGCTTTTCCTCTTTTGCCAAGAACTACTTGTCTACCAGAGTTAGCGTTAAACATTGATGCTGATTCTTCTTATGGCCTTTCCTCTTTCATGTGGAATAGTGGGACAACATCATGCAGCAAGCGAACCAGAGTCTGCAAAACCTCGACAACACCGAGAACTTGAAGGTTCTAGCCAGCGTTTTGAAGACGAACGTTGCTGCGTGCGGTTCTATCGGAGCAGGATACTTTTCACAGCTCGGACGCATTTACCTGGATTTGTTGGGTGTGTATAAGGCAGTGAGCCAATTGATCTCTGAAAGCGTGGTCAAGCAGGGGCCTGTTGCGCTCCGTACCCCTCGTGTCCGTCAGATGCGCACAGTGAAGAAGGAGATCCTTCGTCTCATCGAGACCTATGTCAACAAGGCTGATGACCTAACCGAAGTGACTCAGAAGATCATCCCCGGAGTCCTCGAAGCCGTGTTGGGAGACTACCAGCGTAATGTCGAACCCGCACGCGATGCTGAGGTTCTCAGCGTGATGAGCACGATTGTCACTAAGCTTGGAGTAAGCATGACCCCATTTCTTCGCCACTATGTACATTTGTTTTCCAGTATATTTGGACGATATATCTCGCCTACCTAGAGATATGGCACAACGCGAAAGAGCTATGCACATTTACTAACCATAGTTCGTCTGGTGTTGTCTAATATGGTAGTCTCTGTTGAACGACAAGATTCCATTAATCCTGGAGTCAGTGTTTGATGTGACTCTGAACATGATCAACAAGGACTTTGCCGAATACCCAGATCACCGTGTTGGATTCTTCAAGCTGGTGCGTGCGATCAGCCAAAGCTGTTTCCCAGGTAACGCAATCAATACCGTCTCCATTCTGTATTGCCTGTACTTTTTTATATCCACTTCGATTGCTGACACTATCTACGTGTCTACTTGAAACGAATAGCTCTTATGAAACTCCCTCCTGCGCAGCTTCGTTTGATCATGGATAGTGTGGTTTGGGCTTTCAAGCACACGATGCGTGATATTGCCGATATGGGATTGTCGATTTGCCTGGATATCATCAACAACTTCACAGCCAGCGACCCAGTTATTGCCAACCAGTTTTACCAAGCCTACTTCTTGAACCTCCTCAACGACATTTTCTTTGTCCTGACAGACAACAACCATAAGAGTGGTATGACTATGAACCCCTATTATGAAGCAAGGATCTCGACGAAATGATACTGTGTATGAGATACTGATTTGTATGCGATATCTTGCGTTCTGCGTTGATAGGCTTCAAGTTCCAAAGCCAACTTTTAGCGCGCATGTTCTTCTTGGTTGAGTCGGGGGCTGTTCAGGCACCGTTGTTTACTCCTGCTCAAGTGACTGATCCTAACATGACGAACGGCCAATTCTTACGGGAATACATGATGAACTTGCTTCAAAACGCCTTCCCTCACCTGCAGCCGTAAGTGTTGAGTGCCCCTTTGCTTCTTTGATAAATAGGTTGTTGCTCTGTCTCCGATGTGTTTGTATTTCATGGTATTCATCTTTTCGTCGTTTGGTTTCTTTGTTCGTTTCGATAGATCTCAAATCCGGACATTTACATTAGCATTGTTTGAGACGAACCGGGATGCGAACAGGTTCAAGCTCCATTTGCGCGACTTCTTGATCCAGCTGACAGAATTTGGGGCATCGGAGAACGAGCGAAACGAGTTGTTTTTGGACGAACGTGAGGCAGAACAGGAGACGAAGCGCAAGATGGAGAGGGAAGCGGCGCTTAGGATCCCAGGTTTGGTCAAGCCTTCGGAGTTGCCTACAATGGACGAGGATGATTAATCAACAAACTGCCAATCTTTACAGTAAACGATGGCAGCATCCATGCGCGCAGGGTGTAGAGGGACTATCAAACCCTTATGGAGGTTTATATTGGCGAATGTTACAAAAATATAAAAACAACTGTACCTATTCTTTTTCTTCAAACATACAACCATTGCACGCAAGTTTTCTTTTTTTTTTTTTTCTTTATTGACGCCAAGCTGCATTGTCCAAGCCTCGGCTTTGTCAGTCGGCCGATAGTTACCTAAAGATAGCTAACAGAAGGCCTCTACTAAACTATGTAAAATGAGGAATCAAATACCCATGATGCACATTCTGAGTCGCATGGTTCCTAATACTTGAGCCGGGGCCCATAACCGCTACGCAACCTGTCGGGTCCGATGGGTCCTCTTCTAGTCAAGATCACCAGCCAATATGAGTTTTATCCTCCTTCCTCTCTCCACCTCGTTCAACACCACCTTTCCCTGGAGATGGTCCACTAGGCGGCTGTCTGCTCTTCTTCTCGCCGCCGTCGTAACTTCCTTTGGGACTGTTGTCTCACAAAGCCCTGGGCCTCACCTCCTACCTGGACCCCGGCTTTCTTCATCCTCGCGCATATGCCCTTGGATTTTTCCCATGCCACTATGGCACTACATCGCTCTTTTCATAGCTCCTCTCGGCAGAAAGCCTCGACTCGTTCTACAAAGCGTCCAACCGGGTAAGCCACGATACTCTTCGACGTCTTCAAGAGCAGTGCCCAATCCGTTGTCAGGGGCTTTGGTACGAGTCCGTGATATATCTTCGTCGCTGTCCAGAGTCTGGTGGGCGGTGCTGCTTGCTGTACGTTTTCTTGACTGCCCACTCCTTCTTCCTCCTCCTCGTGGACACTCCCTCTGTCCTCGTCACCACTGTCCCTGTCTCGCCACTCCTCCAACAGCCTTATCCAGTCATCACCCCGCGTATCCACCATCATCTCCACTTCCCGGATCTCACGCAGACTCCACCAAAGGGTGTCTAGCTCGCACGGGGTAAAACTCAGTTCGATGTGTGTGAATTGTCGACCATCCTTGATTGCCTCCTCCATGTCGCGCAACCACTTTTTCCTCGCCTTATCCGCCAAGGTGCGTCCAAGACTTAGAACATTGCGCGCAAAATGCGCGACTGAGTGTCATGTGATCCTAGATTGCATATCAACAAGAGCAACAGCAGCAGTGCAAGGGGGACATAAACAAGGAGGGCTGCCTTGTCCTCCCCTTCTCTCTTTCCCTCCTTTCTTTCTGTTGGGCTTCTTCACTCATTCCTTACTCATCCAATCATTCGTTCGTTCAGCAACTAAGAATTATTTCAAGGCGCGCAACATTCTTATGCTCAGGAACGCAGGATATCAGAGAACACCTAATCCCGGTTCAACTGCCGGGAGCACCTACGGCCTGAAGCAGATTTCGCTTAACAACAACAACAGCGACAACAAGAGAGAAACCACATCGTCCTCAGAAATGGCCAGGAGGAGACAGGTCAGGAAGGACAATGTCATACGTAAGAAACTGAACCAAGAACTTGGACGCAAGAAACCCTCGACACGGGCACATAGGTCCACAAAGCCTGTCCAAGGCACTGTGGGGTCACTCCGGTAAGCATGTCAAGCAGGAATTAGATCAACTCATGACATTGATATATAGTCATTATAGTAATGGTCGATCTTTTTATGCTTTTTCATTCTCGTAGACCGTCTCAAGCACTGACTCTTCTCGATTCAGCGATGGTAGTGGATGCTGCAAGGTAAAAATGAGACGCTGCATAAGCAAGGATGAAGGATACGGTGGCTTTACGACGAAGCGAAGACCGAAAGGAGGGAATGCGTAATATTGTCTTGTCCTTGTGTTCATACTCCCTGACCTAGACACGCGCGACAATGTTAACACGCTGTTGTTTATTTTCTTGACATCCTCATTTTTTAGAATTATGGCGGCAAAAAGGTAGAGTGCAGAGTACACGAATACATGTGCTATGTGCATGTGCCGTGTTTGTTTACGATCCCCTCTATCAAAAGTTGTTTATTAGACTAATAACATTAATAACTTAATTTTACATTGCAGGGCGGACGCGGTGTTGGTGATTGACCACGACTCTACACTTGTTGGAATCATAACTGATAAGGACCTGGCTTTCCGGGTGGTCGCAGAGGGGTTAAACATCCACATCACATTGATTTCGCAAGTCATGACCAGGGTATCTATTATATTACTGTCTTTCTCGCATATGTGTATAGGCTAAATGCGTTGACATGAACATGATGCTGACAGTGATTTTGTATATCTTTCTGGTGTGCAGAACCCATTCTGCGTCACCACAGATACAAATGCCACAGAGGCATTAAATAAGATGACCAGTGGAGGCTTTCGCCATCTGCCATGCTTGAACGCTGAAGGTAAGGAAACTGGTCTAAAGCAATAGAAAGATTAATATAATGTACAGCCAGAGGTATTAACGACTTTGATTTTTGTGTAAAGGTGATATCGTTGGGCTGCTGGATATCACCAGATGTCTTTACGAGGCATTGGAGAAGCTGGAGAAGGCCCACAGATCGTCGAGGCAGCTGGTCGAAGCCCTTGAAGGTATGCAAGAAAAATGGGCGCAGACTGCCAATCCAGAACTACGTAGCTACGTTGACATTGTAAGCATCTCCCTCGTTCGCCTTCAATAGATGCATGCCCACTGTTGGCTTGGGATACTGGAGTTACATATCATTCGGAGCTTGTGCATTTTGCTAATTCGCATCTACATGCTTTTTTTTTTTTTTTTTTTTTTTCTTTAACTACGTCTATAGATGAGAGACAGAATGGCATCTCCAGGTCTGAATGTCATTCTGGATGAAAACCACGGAGTGGCCGAGATCCGAGCTAGGACGACAGTTCGGGAAGCATCCAGGATAATGAAGCAAGTCCATGCTACTGCCAGTCTAATCGTGGAAGACGGCCGCATTGCAGGCATCTTCACCACCAAAGTACATCTTCATATTCATACCACTGTTTTGAGTATGCGGTCTTTGTTCATTCGCTAATTAATGGACCTCATTGTTCATATTATTCCAAAGGATATTGTGGTTAGAGTACTGGCTGCAGGATTGGAGCCAGACAGGACTTCAATTATTCGGGTGATGACACATCATCCTGATACAGTCAAGCCTAGCATGACTATCCTAGGCGCGCTAAAAAAGATGCACGACAACCACTATTTACACCTGCCAGTCGTGGATGAGTTAGGCCATATGGCTGGTTTGGTCGATGTACTCCAAGTCTCGCTCGCAATGCTGCGTCAAATGAACACGATCCAAAGCGACTGCTCGTCTGAGGGACCTGTATGGAATAACTTTTGGGAATCGAGTTTTAATAGAGAGGACACTGGATCAGATATCTCCGCGTCGGACGGTCGATCAGTGATGGTCCCGGCCTCTGAGCTGCACTATGGAACAGTCGGTATGATAGGATCAGGGATCAAGGTCGGATCTGCGCTGAGCAGTCGAGCAGGAGAGCCAGGCAAGGGATTATCGTCGCCAATGTCGCCAATATCTACAAGTCCGGTTGACATTGATCCGGAGTTCGTGTTCAAGTTCAAGAGCCAGACGGGACAAATGCACCGGTTTATGTCGAGCAGCCGCTCGTACAAGGAGTTGTACGAGAAGGTTGCGGACAAGATGGAGTCGGGAGGACAGGCCAAGGGCAGAGGAGTGACCCTGAGCTATTGCGACGAGGAGAATGATCAGGTGTTGCTTCTGCAAGACTCAGACGTGGTGGATGCAGTACGGATGGCCTTCCGCAACCGATGGCTACTGATTCGCTTGTCTGTCATGGTTTCTCCTTCAGAGAACGGCAGCAGCAACGGCAGCATCATCAACGGCAGTAGGAATAGTACAGGTCTAGGAGGCATTGGAGGATCGATTCCTCTGGTGTCAGGTCTGGACCGGGTTGTGTTGGCAGGAGGCATTGGTGTTGGCCTAGGCATGTGTCTTGCCCTGGTCTGTACTGTCCTCAGGAAGTGACACTTTTCAAGCTCTTTATCCCCTCCCTGCTTCCCTGTGTTCTTCGGTTCTTCGTCTAGTTTTTCCTATTATTTTTGTTTGTGTCTCGTACTCTTCTTTCACGTAATTGTTACTTCCACGTCTATTTTTCCCCTGGTGTGTGAGTGTCGCTAGAAAGAAAAGAAAAAACTTTGATTGAGCGATAGGACTGAATCGCGCTTTTTTGTACTTCGCGTCTTCTTCGTATAATGCTTCCTTTCTGACTACAGAACCTCTCGCCGTATAAAAGGAAGGCCTCAGTGCTTCCTTCTTCAACAACATACTTCACTCTCCTTACTTTTTATTCTTCATACAACATGGCCTACACACCTCAATGGCTCGCAACCATTGTCCTTGTATCGCTGGTCTTGATTCTCAGCTCTCCTGGACAAACCGCCGCCTTCGTCCTTCCCAAGCAGTACCCGTGGTTCAAGCAATCTGACTTGCACTCCCATGGCTGCGCACACCCCAACAGCAGGATCACCATGGCACGGGACTTTCCTCCTTTGAAGAACGACCTCCTCCTAAGAGCTGCTCGTGGTGAAAAGACTGAGCGAGTACCCGTCTGGGTCATGCGTCAGGCCGGCCGCTATCTTCCTGGTGAGCACTTGTGTCTACTTGAATGAGCGCCTCGAGATTCAAATTTACGAATGGGTGAATGAAAGCCATGGGGATCAACTTTGTGGCGGATCTCTTTGGGCGCGCCCCAGTCAGCTTTCCACGAAGAGCAAGAAAGATTTTCACTCAAACTGTCTTGTTCTTATTGGCCAATAGAGTTCCGCAAGGTCCGCGAACACCACGACTTTTTCGAGATCTGCAGGACCCCCGAACTGGCCGCCAAAGTGACCCTCCAACCCATCGAACGTTACGAAGGTCTCCTTGATGCAGCCATCATCTTTTCGGATATCCTGGTAATCCCTCAAGCGATGGGTCTGCAGGTCGACATGGTGCCTGGCAAGGGTCCCCAGGTGCCGAACCCGTTAGTGACGCCCGAGGATATGAGACGGTTGAGAAAGAAGGTGGATGTGCACCAGGAACTTGGGTATGCGTTTGATGCGATTACGCTGACGAGACATAGGTTGGAGGGACGGGTGCCTCTCATTGGATTTGTTGGCGGACCTTGGACTTTGATGGTAAGAGAGAGATCTTTGTTGGTCTTATTTATTTGGCGCGAAGTCGCACAAATGCATTCGGCTAGATGTTGTACTAATGCGATGGCATTCTGGGTATAACATGCTGTTTAGTCATATATGGTGGAGGGCGGTAGCAGTAAGCAGTGGGCGAGGGTCAAGTCTTGGATCTTCCAGTACCCGGAGGAGAGCCACGTTTTGTTGCAGAGAATCACAGATGTTTGTGTTGATTTCCTTGTTGGCCAGGTCCACGCCGGTGCTCAGGTAAAAAAAAAAAAAAAAAAAAAAAAACTACAATCTGCTTCATATATTACAGAAAATATGCCTTCACTTTACTCATTAACACTTGCTTTTCCATACTATGGGTCATTACAGATGCTGCAAGTGTTCGAATCGTGGGCTGGAGAGTTAAGCCCCCAGGACTTTGAACAGTTTTCCCTTCCATATCTCAAACAAATCGCCCAGCGCGTCAAATCCGAACTCGACATCAACGATGCCGCCGTGCCCATGACAGTCTTTGCGAAGGGCGCCTGGTACGCCATCGAGTCGCTCTCCGACATTGGATACGACACCATCTCCTTGGACTGGACTGTGAGTCCCAGCTATGCAAGGACTGTGACAAAGGGACGAGTGACGTTGCAGGGCAATTTGGATCCGGGCGTGTTGTTGGGTGGCGAGGAGGCAATTGAGAGGGAGACCGAGAGGATGGTGAGGGAGTTTGGAAGTTCAAGAAGGTATATTGCGAATTTGGGGCATGGGATTATGCAGCAGGTTCCAGTTGAGGCCATGGAGGTGTTCTTGAAGACGGTTCATCGTGTTGGACGTGAGATCGCGGCCAAAGAGGAGGAGGCATAGATGTGAGCGAGAGAGAGTGAGTGCGTATGTGTGAAGACAAAGCAGCGGCGTCTGTCTGTATATAGCCACAATAGTGCATCGTGCGAACTACAAAAAATAAAGAGACAAAGACGAAGGACGCGTTTTGCAAATGCGTCGTGTACGTAGGAAGTGTTATTGCGGACCAAAGAAAGGGAGGAGGAGGGCGGTGCTTAGATAGTCTACGCATGGGCTGTAGGCCATGGACTACGTGCACCATGTGGGCCAGGCACTCTGGGCTGGTTGGCTGTCCTGCGCCCACAGAATTAGACATGTGTCTGGAGATAAAAATACCACCGAGGCACACGAAGACGACAAAGACGACAAAGATGAGGATGGGCTGGAGATGATGGTGGTCTGGGAGCCGCCCCGATGCACTCACCTCTCCCTCTTCTTCCTCCCCTCCACTCCACCCGCACTTCGTCTTCCAAGAGCGCCCCAGCCTAGCTCCAAACGAAACGCGCATCCAACACTCATCGCTGGGCGTACCCCCCTACCTCGTCTTCACTGCCCGTTCCTCACTTCACCTCCGCACTACTCCTCCGTCCCTCCCGATTCCCTCTCTGCCTCCTCTTCAGCTGAACAACCGCCGCCGCAGTCCTCTGAGCTCCGAACTTCTGCAGACTAAAAAGGACCCTGCACCACGATATAATACTCCGCCCGCAACATCTGGACCAAAATGGCGCGTGGATACTTTGAGTTGCACGACGACCCCAATGACGAACAAAAGCACCCACAACCAAGGCACAGCAACAAGCGCGACCACAGCCACGAAGGCGATGTGGAGCTCGATGATCTCTTCTTGACCAACCCACAGACAGGCCTCTCTCACGAACAAGTCGCAGAACGACTCCAAACGTTTGGACGTAATGAACTGGTCGAGGTCAAGAGAAACCAATTCCTAAAGTTCCTGGGATATTTCATCGGACCTATTGCGTTCTTGATCCAACTCGCTTGCATCATCTCGGCCATTGTTCAGGTACGAAGGATGGAGGATGAAGAATATATTATGCCTTGAACGATTACTGCTACTACTACTACTACTACTACTGCTACTATTATTATTCCTGGGCAGTGCGCATACGTGCCAGCAAAATAACAAATAACAAAATGCAATACGAGTGGGGGGGGGGGAGCAGGTGGAAATTGTTTGTGTTTATTACTTTCTTTGTGATTGATTGGACATCAACGTTGAACGCCCAACTAGAGACCAGTCCATCTCCTTCTTATATACCCTCAGCAACGAGAGCAATCAAAGAAAAACTGGTCGCAAGCGATCGCTCGAACCCAACTTGCCATAAACTGGACAGGACTATCGAGAATGCTATCAAACAATCCCGTCTAACCATCCGGAAAACCAACGACTCTTTGCTCAACATAGGACTGGTTCAACTTTGCCATCATCCTCGGACTCTTGTTCTTAAATGCCATCATCGGCTATGTCGAAGAGGCCCGCGCAGAATCAGCCGTCGAGGCCCTTCGTCAAACCCTGGCTCTCAAGACACGTTGCTGGCGTGAGGGACATCTGCAGGAGATCGATACCTCGGGCCTAGTCCCCGGTGACGTTATTGTGCTGCGACTCGGAGATATCGTCCCCGCGGACGCACGACTCTTGGGAATAGATGCCTCAGGCGCAGACACGGACGGAGACCTCTTAGTGGACCAGTCGGCACTGACAGGAGAGTCCTTGGCGGTGAGGAAGAGGAAGGGTGATGAGGTCTATTCATCCACGGTTGTCAAGCAAGGACAGCAGAGGGCGATTGTAACAAAAACCGGCATCAAGACGTATATCGGCATGGCCGCTCATTTGATTGCCACCACGCAGGTAAAAATTTTATGCATTCGACATTCAGCAGGAACTTTTAACCATTTTGGCTTTATTAACACTTCCTGCTTCTGAAACTGTAGGACGAGGGTCATTTCCAAAAGATTATCAACAGGATCGGCAACTTCCTAATCTTCTTCACCCTTATCCTCGTGGTCTTCATCATTATCTTTCAGTTTATCTCCTTCCGCAACGACCCCATCCGCGGCCAGGTCCTCAAGATCCTCGGACCCGTCCTCATCCTCGCCGTCGCTGCCATCCCTGTCGGACTGCCCACCGTCATGGCGGTCACCATGGCTGTTGGAGCTCGTGGTCTGGCTAAGAAGCAGGTCATTGTCAAGCGTTTGGCCGCTGTTGAGGAAATGTCTTCCCTCTCCGTCCTCTGCTCCGACAAGACCGGTACTTTGACCCTCAACGAACTCACATTTGATGAACCCTACCTTTGCGAGGGCTATTCCTCCAACGACTTGCTATTATATTCGTACCTGGCGTCAGAGTTTGGGGCCAATGATCCAATTGAGATGGCAGTGCGACAGGCTGCAGAGCTGCAGGTGCCTGTGCTGAGGAACAGACCTGAGGAGAACAAGGTTCCTGGATACGAGATTACCCACTTTGTGCCATTCAACCCGAGCGTCAAGTATACCCAGGCGACGGTCAGGGATCTGAAAAACAATACGACGTTCAAAGTGGCGAAGGGTGCACCACAGGTCATCATCAAGTTGGTCGGAACGCATGATGCGGCCGTGAAGGCATACATCGCGATGGCGCAGCGTGGGCTTCGTGCGCTGGGCGTTGCCAGGACGGTCGCTGGAACTGACGATCAGTGGACGCTAGTTGGACTCGCTGCGATGCTGGATCCACCAAGACCGGACTCTGCGGAGACTATTGAGCGCTGCCACAGGATGGGTATCACGGTCAAGATGGTGACGGGTGACCAGCAGGTGATTGCCAAGGAGGTTGCTAGGCGCCTGGGTATGGAGCGCGTGATCCTAGATGCATCTGTATTGTCGGATCCAACGGTGTCTGAGGAGGTAGCCTCAGAGCGGTTTTATCGCGCAGACGGATTTGCAGAGGTGACGCCGGAGCACAAATTCAGGATCGTGGATGCGCTGCAGAAGCGTGGACTTCTTGTGGGGATGACGGGCGATGGCGTGAATGATGCGCCGGCGCTGAAGAAGGCCAACGTTGGTATTGCGGTCCATGGGTGCACGGATGCAGCGCGTTCTGCTGCAGACATTGTGTTGCTGGCGCCGGGCTTGTCGACGATCATCGAGGGCATATTGGCATCGAGAGCCATCTTCCAACGCATGCGCTCCTATGCCTTATATCGAATCACGTCAACGGTGCACTTTTTGATCTTCTTCTTTGTGGTCGTCCTCATGTACGACTGGACCCTGCCCGCTCGACTCTTGATCCTGATCTGTATCCTGAATGATGCTGCCACCTTGGTTATCGCCGTCGACAATGCCCAGGTCTCTTCCCAGCCGGACAAATGGCGCGTTGGCCAGCTCATCTTCCTCTCTTGCTTCTTAGGAACCCTCTTAACAGCACTTTCGTTCGGACACTTCTACTACTTTTGGAAAATCCACGACTACGAGCCTCATCCAGAGGCTGATGGCAACAACGTCGACCGACGACTCGAGTCCGTCATGTATCTCCATATTTCCTCAGCACCCCATTTCCTGATCTTCTCAACGCGTCTGACGGGCTACTTTTGGCAAAGTATTCCCTCCTTGACCTTCATCGTCGTCATTATCGGCACTCAGGTGATTGCACTCTTCATGGTCATTTTTGGATGGCTCACGCCCGCCATCCCCGCAGGCCAGGCCCTGGCCGTGTTCGCGATCTCGTTCGCATCATGCGTGGTCCTGGATGTGATCAAGGTCCAAGTCTTCAAGCACTGGACCGTTGCAGCTCAGTCCTTGAACTGTGCGCCCTTTGGAGCGAGACGCAAGATGCTGCTGGATCGTAAACGAAATACCGTTCAACAGCAACGCGTCTGGAAGAGCATCAACAAGGCCCACGGGATCGTCGCCAAGACCAGGGTCCTGCTGGCCCTCCGCGGCGCCGGCAGCACGATCCCTCAATCGATGCATAATGTCGACTGGGATCGTCATGCTGCCGATGTTGAGTACTAGACACCTTCCCCTCTTTCCTCTCTCCCGTCCCCTCCCTCTCTCTCTCTCTCTCTCTCTCTCTCTCTCTCTCTTCATTCCGTTGTACCTAGCTCATACCCCAACCTCCTCTTCAAACCCCGCCCCCACACTTGACTATATAGTTTTATATCTTACCCTTTACATACAGCCTGTAGTTATTACAATACAATATCCATGCATCGGCTATGCCTATAATTTCCATGATAACATCTGTATATTGACGACTCTAAGTACTAGAAACATTGATTCCCTTCAATTTGGCCACCCACTCCAATACCCTCTGCTCCAGCTCCAGCTGTCCAGCTATATCTTCTTCTGCAATCACTAACACCGAGGGCATGACAGGTGCTCCTGAGATCACCAGCGACACCTGCTGCGGATCTACCACAGCAGAAGACCTTTTCGACCTCGAACCGGATTCCTCCAGAGTGCGATCATATTCCTCCCTCTGCTGCTGTACCTGCTGCAAAGCCATCAAGAGTCCTGCTTCAGTCAGTCGCAACGCCTTGATCAAAGCCCGGATACTCGATGTAGGTTCAATCGCCAAGGATCCCAAGCAGGTGTCGACAAAGTATCCAAGATCCATCTCCAGTTGCTTGCTACCGGCATCAGACAATCGTGTCAAGTAACGTCGCTCCTTAGAAGCAGCACCCGTAACGCCAACTTGGCCACTAGACAATGACCCCGCGAATCGACTGAGTTGGTTCGAAGGAGATGTATTGGCTGCCTGAGATGCCGCTGTGGCCGAGTCCTTGGTGTGTCCCAAATTTGGGTTATATAACCGCTCGATAATAGTATGCATAGCAGCCCTCGACAGAGATGTAATCCACCGATGCATCACTGCCAGGTCGTCTTCTTCCGCCATCTCCTCCTCAGATTCCTTCGACTCTTCCGAAAATGTCAAGTCAGCCTCACCAACGCCCAAATCCTTCTCTGTGTCCCTTCCTACAATATCCACATCCGCGTCCGTAGACATACCCGATGTTTGCTCTGCCGACTCTTGTTGGTCCTGCTGCTGCTGTTGCTGTTGCTGTGCCAGATCGAACGGCTTGTCCGCATAAGGTAATGAATGGATCCCGAAACGAAGTCCAACGTCTCCTTCATACATTCCAAACGTAAGCGGTAATTCCAAAAGCTGCCTCAATAGCTCCTCCATATAATCACTTGGACTCGACCTAAACCTTATTACATCCGTGCGGGTGCCGCCCATAGTACTCTGATGAACTCTTCGGGCGCCCTTCGCGTCGTCGCTCTGGTTTGGCTGATCGATCCCCTCAGTCCAGCATGGAAGCAACGCAATATCCGCGAGAGGTCGTACCAAGGGGATATACACAGAGTCGAAAATAAACCGCTGACAGAGCCTTGTGAGTTGAACCGCGCGCTGATGGCTCTGCAAGAACAGATGATTCGCCTTGGGCTCCAGTCCAAGTTCCATCTCGGCAGAGAGGCGGTCCAAACTCGCCTTCCCATCGCCTGTGAGTCCTGCGCTGGCCGTCTGTTCCTCCTTTGGATCCGATTTCTTGACAATTTCCAAGATCTCCGAAAGACGATAGCTGTTTAGGTTCGATTGCTGAAGAAGTGCAATGGAGGCATTCGGAGGTTGTACGTTCGGCTTCAGACCAGAACTTGAAGATCCGTGCTCCAGTGATGTGGTGGGTGCGTGATGGTGCGATCCTTGAGATGACCGATCTTGAGTCGTTCTGTCGGTCTTGACCAAGTCCTCCACACCGCGAAGGGCCTTCTTCGTCTTAAGATCCAGCTGTTCCAGCTTGAGACAGAACTGCCGGCAAAGGACCATAAGACGAAGGCCCATTTGGAAAAGCCGCTGGTCCTGTTCGTGCACGTCTTCATCCCAGCCTTCAGAATCCTCATCTTCTTCATCCTCCGCAGTCTCATACCTGGTGCTGGGCCTCGAACTTCGGCCTTGATCACCCTGCCTGGCAGTACTATTTCCAGCGTCGTCCGTCTGTAATCCTGATCTCCGGCGGCACTCCATCAGAATCTCGGTGTAGCGATCCATGATGTCTTTGAAAAAACCGTTGAGACCGTCCAAGAGCCCAGACGCACCGAATCCATGTGTCAACCGCATGCACCGTCCAATAGCGCCTTCCGCTAAACTGAATGCCAGCGTGTTGGTGCTTGTCATGATCTTGACCAGGTTTGAGCTGCTTTTAGCAAGTTCCCGACTTTTGGCAAAGTTGTCATGATAAGCCGCCATCGACGGTACGGACTTGGAAAGCAGTGCTTGCAAATGTGCCCCTTCCAGCTTGCCATAATCGCGTTGGTATGCCATGAATGGTTCATACAGAATATAAGCCCACTCGTGCGGCTCCTGAATCGGTCCGAGCTCGAGCGACTCTGGTGCAAGCGATAAGCGCGAGAACTGCATTCCTTTGCCGGCCTTTGAGTTGCTGTCCTGAACAAGAGTACCTGCTCTTGGCCGATTTCCGCTGTGCTCGCGTTGGTTCCCGACCAGTGGCTGCGAGACAATACGCTCCATCCTTGTTCCGAAAGACTCTGTAGCTGCAAAGGCTGCGATTAAGATCGGAAGGCTGCCCTCGTCTCCTTGAGTCTTGCCGATATGTTGGAGGGCTGAATGCATGCTGGGATCAATGTGCGAAAAGATATCCTGCACCAGGCTGTGGATAGTGGCTGATGGGTCTGAGAAGATACTAGTGATCCACGCAAATTCATCATGCAACATGCTCGATGCGTCTGTGTAGAATTTTTGCAATATAGCGACAAAGTCCTTGGAGTCCGCAGCGGAGCCTTGTGGTGATGCAGCAGATCCACCTCTGGTGGTTATGTTCATGGTCTCAGTAAGCCGCCTCCATTGTTCCATCAGGGGCGTACGGCGTTGAGAGATGTAGAATTCCTGGAACTTTTCCTGACGACCGATGAGTGCGAAAACTTTGATAAGGGTCTGGCATGCGGCGGTATCCCTTTGCTCCAATGCCTCCTTAGCCTTACCCATGACCTGTAGCTCCAGTTGGCCCTTGAGCGCCAACAGCAGCGCCATTCGATCTCCCTCGACATTAGTGTTCTTGTAGACGACCAGAGAGCGCTCTGCCTCTGAAAGCCGTGTGGCTGCCCTGGTAAAATCGCCCTTTGCAAAGATGTCGTACGCCTCGGCCTCGAGGTTTCTCCAATTCTCTGCTTCTCTGAGTGCAGCATGCGTAGCCTCCATTCGGGTTTTGACCAGATCGAGATACTTGAGTCGATCTAGGGCTTGGACAGTGTCCGAAGTGTCAACAGTGTTGATGTCGTTCCTGACGAGACGGATGCCCTCCTGCAAGTTCTTTGTCTCCTGTCTCAATTGATCCAGCTCGTGAGTCAATCTGGGGAGCAGCTTGACCATGTCCTGTGTTGTAGTCGCCAGAGCAGCCGAAATTTGGCTGGCGAGGAGGTGCAACTTTGTCAGATGGGTTGTCGCGTACTGCGTCAAGAGGGCGTTCTGGCTTTTGGCGTCGCTGGTGATTGTCGACTGCTGTTGCTGTTGTCGCTGCTGGCTGCCCGGTGGTGTTGGAATGGTTGAAGAGATTCTTCCCAGTGTCTCCTCGTCAGTGTGTGCCTTGGCATCATCTATTGAAGAATAGAGCAAGCACTTGACTCAGAATGTGGTGCTTGCGCCGTCGGGGCGTATAATTCACACAAAGTCAGTGATCCTTACCGAGGACAGGGTCGAGTGCAGGTGTCTGTAAGAGGTCGAGGGAGGCGTCCAACGAGGCCTCTGCGCCATCAAGAGATGCTGACGAAACAGAAGTCTTTAACGCACCGCCCCTGGTTCCATTGCTAAGGGTCGACGTGGTCGCGTTGGTCGAAGGTATGGTCGCGTCTTGGTAGCGCGGGGCTGCATCGAGCAGGGAATTGATCCATGCCTTGACATCAAAATCTGGTGCTGTGAACGCGGGATCGACCGCGGGTCCTGGTCCCTGGGCTGGAGCACCAGACAGCTGGGAGTGAGCTGGTGGCCGAGCCATGGAAGGCATTGGATGTGTGTGTGTGGTGAGCGAGGCAAGGGATGATGGAGAATGTTGGTCAACTTCTGTGCAAAGAACGTTGAGCCCCCGATTAAGCCAAACGAACCTCCTTCCTTCCGCTCTCACGCCAACAATCAGCAACTTGCTTGCAATGTCGACGAGCCTTCTTCTCAGTGCCGTGGTGGTGCTTCCTATTCTCATCGGCACCCTTGCTTCACGTTCTAGAGGCCCCGCCAGGACAACCCGCATCCCCATCTCACAGGAACGTGTTGTGATCATTGGCGCTAGCTCTGGAATCGGTTCAGAACTCGCCCGTATCTACGCCCGACGCCAGGCACATGTCGTGGTGGTCGCTCGCAGGCTGGAACTTCTTCAGCAGCTCGTGCAGGAACTTAGTCCGACCGCAGGATCGATTCATGCTGTCCAGGGGGATGTTACCTCGCCCGAGGATGTTCGCAGAGTGACCATTGAGTCTCTGAGGGCGCTTCAGGGCGGCATTGATACGTTGATCATCTGCGCTGGTGTCATCTCAGTCCTTCCTTTTGAAGAGCTCGCAGGAATAGACCCCGCAAAGGCGGCTGACACCGCAGAAACCTCAGAGTTGGATTTCAACCACTTATTACCCATGAGTTCTCGAGCTGCATTGGATGCCTCCATCAAGATCATGAATGTCAACTATCACGCGCCATTGAACCTCGCCGGTCATTTTCTACCTGCCCTGGCAAGGACCAGCGCTGCCGGTAATCTCATCGTTGTGTCCTCAATGGCAGGCAAGGTCGGCGCACCGACTCGATCTATCTACTGTGCCAGTAAGCACGCCGCACAAGGGTTCTTTGAGTCGTTGGGTATGGAAGTGGAGAGGACCGGAGTCCACGTCGGGATTGTATCTCCAGGAACAGTGATCACAGACATTCGCCAGTCGGCAGTGGACCTGCCAAAGACTGAGTCATCGTCATCATCATCAACTGAACCCAGGAAGATTGCAGGGACCAAAAAGGGCGCCATGACAGCAAAGGCTTGTGCAGAGGGTATCATCAAGGGTTCTGATCTACGCCAGCACGACGTGATCATGCCTTGGTTCTACCGCGCGAGTCTTGCGCTCAAGTTGGTCGCCCCGGGCCTTGTCCGATGGTTGGCCAAGAAGAAGTATGGATACCTGTAACACAACAGAACAGCGCTTTTTTTTTTCTTTTTTTTTTTTATTGTAAAATAAAACGTTCTGCGTTACTGTTTTAAAAGCCTTTCGTACTTTGCGCTGGAGACGTCCTGCTACTTAGCTGTAGGCGTCTCTTCTAGGAACAGCACTCCACTCAAACTCCCCCTACCATTATAGTCAAATACCTCTTCAGGATCCTGACACACTAAAAACAACTAATGGAATGTGCAAAAGGTCTTGGCCTCCTCCAACCGAAATATACATAAACTTGACTACAGTAGTCAGTTTGCACAGACCATTTCGCGCCAATAAGGTTTCAATCTCAAAGCGCGCTTATTCAGTGGTGGTTCTATTTGTGTTATGAAGCAGGCGATACGGCCGAGTCGACTCTATGGTTGTCTATAATTACGCGTCCAACCCGGACCTCCTTGACGATCTTGCACCCCGTCACTGAAGCGTCCTCGGCAATAACCTTGGACCCCACACGCTGACTAGGGGCTGCGGGTTCGAAATCGCTCTCATCCAACTTCTGATCAGGTGGGCGTGCAGTTGGGTGGCAGTTGTCAATCTGTTTGAACCACTCGCTGTCGAGGACATGGGTTGCCTGCCATCGCTTCCTAGTGTCTGGCTCCAACAGATTTTCAACCACGTTGGCGATATGTGTCGGCCAGGAGAGCGAAATGTGGGAGGCTTGCTCCAGCGCTGTCAGGTTGATATGTGGAGGCACATGCTCAGTGGGGTCAAGGTTGTGCGACTCCAATAGCCGCTCACGTTTGTAAAGAAATCCACCCCAAACGGGGTCGCCATCCGAAGCTTCGTGCCATGTATAGCGACCGAGTCGCATGCACATGTAGATAATTCCACAAGCCCACATATCCACCTTGCTACAAAGAGCCACAATAGAAAAAAACATCAAAACCACGCGCGTTAATGCTTGCCAGTCCTGCATAAATGCCAATCAATCTTTTTTTTTTTTTGTATGCAGCAATTCCCATGTCCATATCTGGCCATACCGAGCATCGAACGTCTTGTTCGTGAATTCCTCGGGCGCAATAAACGGTCCAGTGCCTCGAATGGAGGCCGATGACCGGACCTTCTTCTCCCAAGGCATCCTAAACACTTCACTGTTCCCGAAATCCGCAATCTTGATACAACCATCGGACGTCAAGAGTAAATTCTCTGGTTTGAGATCCCGGTGGACGACGCCCATCGAGTGCAAGAACGCCACACCATAAACCAGCTGCGAAAAAAAACAGTTGGACTCGGCTTCGCCCAGTGTGTTGGCAGAGGCAATCAGACTGTGCATATCACCGCCCGCACAGTACTCCATGACTTCGCTGTAGGTGTCTCCGTGAATCTGTAGCAGGTCCATAGTCTTAATCACGTTGGTGTGTTTGAGCGAGGAGGCAATACAGAACTCGCTTGTCAGACGGCGCATGTAGAGCTTTAGGGACTCGCCATGGGTGTATTTGAATTCCTAAGTTATTTTGGGGTGGAAAATAAAGGAGGTGGACGACGACCAAACGTTACTACGCAGACAAAAAGGAGCTAGCGCAGATACGGACACATCTAGACATGTCGATAATTCACCTTGACAGCATAGACATGCTCCTCCCCAGTTTCTTGGTTTCGTTTGATGGACAGCCTCACGGTGCCAAACGCGCCTAATCCACAGACAAGAGTTTGACGGACAAAATTCACATGTGGTAAGTACAGAAACCGGCTGAAACCTCGTCCATGACACCATCCTATACACAGCACACAGCCCATCTCTGACTGCGCGCGAGCGCGCTGCGTGTGCGATCGGTCTGTCTGAAGGTGGAATTCGGAATCCGATGCGCCGTTACCTTTCCCAACGACCTGCTGCAGTTCGCCATATTTCTGCACAAAGTCCTCTTTGACGGACGATCGCCTCCGAACACTGGTATGGAGGCTGACGATCTGGTCTGTATCGAGGTCATGGTACTTTTCGTTCAGGAGTGATAGTGGATGTTCGAGGACTTCGGGTTTAAGTTGGTGAGGCCTTCCTGAACTTGGACTTGAACCTGAGGGCTGGTGAGGAGGTGGATGTGGCATTGCACCGACTCCATGGTCCTCCTTCATACTATGGTCTCGCTTGCCATCCAGGAGCTCTCGTAGGCGTCTGACTTGGTTCGACAGAAACTGTTGTCTCTTTGGGGCAGATAGATGATGCCGATGGCTGCCATTGGGCAGTTTCTCAAACCGAATCTTGCTTTCAATCATCGAGGTTGCAGAGGATGGAGCAGTATCGGAAGAAGCGATTGACCAGCTGGAGGGCGATGCTGAAGATGGGCCTGCAGACGAGTGGCATTCCGCGGATGAAGGGATCTCTGTCAAGAGCTGAGAACGGCAGATGCTGCGTTTTCTTGTAGGAGCAGAGGGCGTGACGGAGGACCGCAAACGATGTGGTAGCCCCGGTCGCTGAGGATGGTGCTGATCGGATTGGTCCGTGCGCTGTGGAAATGGCTGTCGCGAAGTCGCTTCCGACGCGGACTGGGGACTCCGCTTTGGAAGCAGAGTCGGGTCCCTGTTTAGGTGGTCATCTGCCGTGGGGAGTGGGGATGGATAAGGGGGTGTGATTGTGGAGGCGGGAGTCGAAGCAAAGGACGAGGACGACGAGGACGACCGTAGGAGTGATATCGATGGTGAGGAGGGTACCAATGTGGCCTGGCGGTCCTCAAAGGACAGATAGTCTGGAGTGTGCTGCTCACTCTGGAGCTGTATGGCATCATCTACAGGTTCTGATGCTGGTGACGATGGTGATGACGACGGTGCCTTGGCTGATATTGCTGTTGATGTCATTGATGCTGCTGTTGCTATTGTCGTTGTTGCTGTGGTGGTGGTTGAGTCCAGTGAGAGCTGGTCCACTGGGACCAGGGTGTTGGGGTGGTTGGTATGTGGAGGTGGTGTCTGCTCCTGCGAGGGAAACAGAAACCAATTGGCGGATGTACTGCTATCCATCAAACCGTTTCTGTAGTGCAGAGTGTATGGGGAAAGTGCAGGGATGGAGTAGGACACAGAGTGCTGTGCCAAGGTGGGTTCAATTGAAAAGCGTGCCAGGGGGTGAGATAGGGTGCAGATTTCTCCTATCCTATGTTGCGCTGTACACTGGCGCACCACATAAAAAAGAAAAAGAAGACTGGATCAGCTGACGAATGAGAAGAGGGGAATGAGAATGAGGGAGGATTGAGATCAAAGGAAGGATGCAAAGAAGGAGGGGGGCCACAAAAGACAGGAAAGCGAAAGCGAAAGCGAAAATGCCGAAAGCGAAAATGCCGCTGAGAGAGGAGCTCAAGTGAGTATTGCACGTATGGAACGCACGCACGCTTCCAACACTTCCGCTCCCTTGCTGCACTTGCAACTGGGCAAAGTGCATTTCGGTGGCAAAAGTGTTCAAACTGCGCGTGCGCAGAACGACATTCGACCCATATATACCACTGACTCAAACCACACCTCGACCACCTTCCTTTTGTTCATCCCGTCTTTCTTTGTTTCCGAACCCATCCCCCTTCAAAGCGACTCTCCATTCTCTCAATCGACTCATTCCACCCTACAACAGTACCCTCATTAACCCTCCCTCCCCCCAATGGATGGTCAGCAACACTCTCAGGATACCACTGTCAAGACAGAACCTCCTCTGGAGGAAGTCGAGACCATGACACAGTCCAATCCAACCTCAGAAGACCAGGTCGCAGGGGACCTCGATTCCTTGCTCGGGGTCGGCATGGTCAACCAGGATGACTTGGAAAGGGATATCATGGCCAAGGTACTTCATCACAGCAGAAACCACTAGCATCCGTTGTCTAATCAGTGCGTCATATCGATTGACTTTGAAATATTCTTACTTTGATTGTAGGCCAGCAAGGCCCTCGATGCGAAGGACAACGAACTGGACAAAAAGCGATTGGAAAAGACCCTCAAGAATGCAAAGCACGTCAGCTCAACGCAGAATCCGCGCTTAATCCGTCCATCGTCAATGACTGGCACTGTCGACCCTATCCTAACCTGCTTGCACCTAACTCAACAGTAAAGTTCGCTTAGAGATCAAGAAACTGGAGGGAAATCGCAAGAAGCTGGACCGGAGTTCCTTTGCATTATCCAATTTGGAGGAGCGTCTAGGCGAGTTGGTAGGGGCATATTCACCAAGCTCTCGTTGGGAGATGGACCGTACAATACTCTAGCTTACGCGCATTGGCAACCCCTTACTATAGAATGAGGAACTCGCACAGGCTGAAAAGGATGAACAGGATATCAAAGATCGAATCCGTGGGCGAAGGAATGGAGCTCCTCTATCAAGTAAGCATACGATCACTTGTCTGGTTCACGGCAGAGAGCAGTCGCGATGGCCATTAACCGTATATCTTGCTCATTCTTTCCTTCCTCGTAATTTATCCAGCTTCATCGACATCTACATCTTCTGGACAGCAGGATGGCGAATCTCATCGAGAGTATTTGATCAGGACCGGAAAGATCACACCGTTTGCTGCTGTGTCAGGCCTTGAAAAGTCAAAGCAGGATGCACCTTCAGGATTCACAATGGCAGGTCCCTCAACCACAGACCAGTCTCCAAAGTCACACGTCCACCTACCACGACCATCATGGAGTTTGATCGGTAAGGAATCGAAGGCAAAGAATCAAAAAGAAACCTCACGGAGCAGTAATGCTCCTGCAGAGCGGTCCAGTATGAGGAAAGCGCGGAACAAGATCGCTTCCAGGATAGATCGCGACGATGATGATGATTTTAATGACAGTGTCAACGGTGACGACGACTATAATGATTCGGATGCGCTCGATCCAGACTTTGTGAATCCGGAAGGAGCTGATAGCGAAGTTGACTCAAAGGACGACAGAGCTTACTCAGATATTCCAGAGACTTCTGAGGATGATGACTTCAAATCAGTGGATCAGCTGCTGGATGAAAAGTCGTTGAAAAAAAGAACTAAAGGAGGGACGGCTTACAAGTTCTTGTGCGAAGATGACGGGGATGAGATGCATTACCAGAAGCGTCTGTCCGACTGGGCACAGAAAAGGAGGCACCTCCGCTGGAGAGTGAACCACGTAAGTGGCAACGGTAGTGTTTTGCAGGTATCTTTGAAGAGTGTGAATAAAATCTCATGTGTATATATGAACTTTTTGTAATTAGCCGGACGCGTCCATGGAGACCGACTTGAGCGAAAGTTGGGAGAATCCAGAACAAAAGCTGGACCCAGCCATCGAGATGTATAATCCACACCCGAATATGCCCGACGCGGAACTGGAGGGTGGTTACAAAATTCCAGGAGATATTTACTCCAACCTATTTGACTATCAAAAGACTTGCACGCAATGGCTCTGGGAACTGCACTGTCAAGGTGCCGGTGGGATCATTGGTGACGAAATGGTGAGCCATCAAGCTTGGCTGGACTCTAGCAACCTATGAAGTGCGGTTCTGTAATGGTGAGCTTTATTCCTGACATGCGGAGCAAATTATTTTTATTGCTTTTATTTTTAGGGTCTTGGCAAGACGATCCAAATCATCTCGTTTCTGGCAGGCCTTCTTTACAGCGGAAAGTTGGACGCTCCTATCATCATTGTCTGTCCAGCAACACTATTGAAACAATGGGTTAAGGAGTTTCACCGGTGGTGGCCTCCGATGCGTGTGGCCATCCTTCACTCGAGCGGAAGTGGTATGCACAGCAAGGTTGAAGCCGAGGAAGACCTGGACGCCGATTCTTTTTCAGATGGATACAGCAGCGGCGGTCTGAGGAAGAAGCGAAAGGCTAAGAAGCGTTTCGGAGGCGGACCAAGGCGAGGAAGGACGGCAGCAGAGGCTGAAGAAAGGACAGTGGCAGACGACATTGTGGACCGGATCAGCGCCAAGGGACATGTTATCGTTACGACCTATGCAGGTCTTCGTATCCATTCCTCGCGGCTTCTTCGAAAGAACTGGTCATACATTGTGCTGGATGAGGGTCACAAGATCAGGAACCCCGATGCGGACATCACGTTGACGTGCAAGCAATTCAGGACACCGCATCGCATCATTCTATCCGGTACCCCTATTCAAAACAACTTGAACGAGCTCTGGTCCCTCTTCGACTTTGTGTTCCCTGGACGACTGGGTACTTTGCCTGTGTTCCAGTCTCAGTTTGCAATCCCCATCAACCTTGGCGGATATGCAAATGCCAGCAACATTCAAGTACAGACAGCATACAAGTGCGCCTGCGTGCTGAGAGACCTGATCAGCCCGTATCTTCTCAGGCGAATGAAGGCCGACGTCGCATCCGATATGCCCAAGAAATCAGAGCAGGTCCTATTCTGCAAACTGACTCCGCCCCAGCGCGCAGCATACGAGAAATTTATAAAGTCGGACGAGCTAACATCGATCATGGAAGGGAAGCGACATGCCCTTTATGGAATCGACCTCGTGCGCAAGATCTGCAACCACGCCGATATCTTGGGCCGCGAACATCATAAGGACGATCCCGGTTACGGCGACTACAAGAAGAGCGGCAAGATGGTGGTCGTGAAGGCACTTTTGCAGATGTGGCAAAAGGAGAAGCATCGCGTGCTTCTGTTCTCTCAGACGCGAACCATGCTTGACATCCTGGAAAAGTTCATCAAGAGCGAGGGTTATGTCTACAGGCGTATGGATGGCATGACACCGATCCAGAACCGAATGGGACTCGTGGACGAGTATAATGCGAGGGATGACATTTATGTATTCCTGCTGACGACCAAGGTTGGAGGACTGGGAGTCAATCTGACAGGAGCGGACCGTGTTATTATCTTTGACCCAGACTGGAACCCGTCGACGGACATTCAGGCACGAGAGCGAGCATGGCGACTTGGACAGACGAGGGCTGTGACTATCTACCGCCTCATGACATCTGGAACGATCGAGGAAAAGATCTATCATCGCCAGATCTTCAAGCAGTTCCTGACAAACAAGATCCTTAAGGACCCCAAGCAGCGGCGATTCTTCAAGAGTCATGATATGGCTGATCTGTTTTCGCTTGAAGGCGAGAATGCAGTTGGTACAGAGACAGGTGGGATATTCCAGGGGTCTGAAGTGTCTATCAAGACCAAACCGTCCAAAGGCAAAGGACGGTCCAAACGAGGCGGCGATAGCCTGGATGAGCTTTCGAGACTGGACGGTGTTCGCAAAGTCGAGAAGTTGTGAGTGATGTGCTTGATGTGCTTGATGTACCTGTTGTTGTTTTTTTTATTGAGCGCGTTTTACTAATTCTACACGGAATTATTTCTGTAGCAACGTACCACGCGAGTCCAGCTCCCTTCCAGGCGGCGTGAAGGGCGAGGAGGACGAAGAGCTGAACTTCAGGCCGAACAAGGATTCAGCTGGAGAGACTTCTCATGAGGGCTCTGAGGTTAATATTCTTGCCAGCCTTTTCGAGTCTTCGGGCGTTCACAGTGCACTCAAGCACGATGAGATCATGGACGCTGCGAAACAAGAAAATTTGATCGTGGAGCGAGAAGGTATAGACCACTTCTCTTACATTATGACGCGCTGCAGCATGAAGAATGTTTCTGACACGTATAAACATATATTTTTCTGTGATATCGATTAGCGACAAGAGTCGCGGAGCGCGCAATGGCGGCACTCAAAGAATCGAGAAAGCGACGCCGGCGACAGGACCTCGATGTGCCGACTTGGACTGGCAAGTCTGGATCTGCTGGTGCACCAAAGACGTTTTTGATGCATCAGCAGTCGTCATCCTCAGCAGTATCGTCGACACCCAAGCCGAGGTTTGGAACGGCCAATACGTTTAATCCAAGTGTCGCCGCTGCATTGAATAATGGTAATAACGGCAGCTTATTAAAGTTTGGTCGAGGAGCTGCGGGAACGACAGACACAAGCCGACCTCAATCTGGATTTGGAGCATCATCTTTAGATGCGGCCAGCTCATCGTCTTTACTGGCGGGCATGATGGAGCGCAAGCGATTGGAACAGGAGAGTTCAAGTGCTGTGAGTACGAGCTCGCGATCGTCCTCGCGCGATTCCTCTCCCACGATTTCTGACGCATTTGTTGCAACGTCTGTTCTTCAGGACGGAACGCGCGAGAATTTGATCATGAAGATCCGGGACTACATGTTGGACCATGGCGGACGCGTTCGATCTGCAGATTTGGTGGCGCATTTTCAACACCAACTAGCAGAAATCGAGCAGATCGTATTTAAAAAGATGCTAAGGGGCATTGCAGTCTTTGAGAGATCGGTGACCGATGGTCAAGGATGGTGGAAACTCAAGCCTGACTACTATTAAATACTATTTTACTCAATGTAGAGGGTGATCATCTCTTTTTTTTATTTATGATGATAGAAATAAAAAATGTACAAAGGATAAAAATATACCTGAGGACTGATTCCTGGACAGTACAAGGAAGGGGATGGAGTGGATGGTTGGATAATCATTGCATTGTGTTGTCAAAAGAGTTGGGATTGGCAAGAACAAAGAAAGAATGCCAGCGCTTTTCGGTTATTGTACAATGACGGTGAGGGTGAAGAGAGAGCGAGAAGAAAAAAGAGAAGTGGCTGTTTTATGCGCCCTTGCCACCGCCGAGGAAACTCGTCAGCCCACCGGGGACACCATTGAGGATGTCCTCGATGTTGGGGGGACAAGCAAGGTTGACGTGCTGGTTCTTGATGGTGGGACTGATGGAGATGAGGAGGATACGGATGGTGAGCTTGAGGTCGTAGTTGATGGTCAGCTGTGTCGCGGCTGAGCCGAGGACTCCGCATCTGCTGAGGATGTCCTTGACGACGGTGAAGCCCGCATCCTGAGATCCCTGGTAGCTGGCGGCGATGGGGAACTGGATGGTCTTGTTCGAATGACTGGGGAAGTCGACCTGGGTCAGATTTCCTCCTCCAATGGGTGGAGCATAGTTCGGGTAGTAGGCCTATTAAAAAAAAAAAATGGTGTTCGTTGGTCAGTCAAGGTGTTCACCCCAGACCTTGCGCCGTTGAGCTTGGCACCGCCACTGGGCTCCAATGCATCACTTCAAAAGATCCACAAAGACAAAAAAAGACATTCAAAAATGAGATGACAACAGCCTTTTTTTTTTTTTTTTTCATCCCTGATAAATTGAATGAAAGTTGTTACGTTGCGCCCATCCATCCGACCCCCCACCCTTTACCCGTACAACCCAAGCATTCTTAAGATAGATGGATAAACAATGGCGGTAATCAAATAAGATGTGAATAGGAGGAGACATACCGTGGCAGTGATGGCCTCAAACTTGAATCCAATGGGGTTGGGGTTGACGACCTGGATGTTGGCGACGAGGTTGACGCCGAGGGTGGTGTTGCCCTGGTTGAAGGCAAACTGGGGCTCGCCCTGCATGCCGAGGTATTCGACCTTGGGCACCTTGAAGACAACAAAGACGACAACAGCCAAGGCGATGATGGCCAGGAAGAGCAACAGGCAGATGCAGCAGGTGACGCGACCACAGGTCGAGCGGATACAGGGGAAGCAGGGGAGGTACTTTGACTTTTCCTTGCCGTACCTGACCCGGGTCACGCCGCTCTTGCTGCGGGTGAGGCCCTCGCTGGTCTCCATGTCCTTGTGGGGCCGCATGGGAGCTGTGTCGTTCGAGAGGGAGGGACGGTCTTCGTCGTAGCCATTGTAGTACTGCTGGTTCGAGTAGGAGTCGCGGTTGTAGCTGTTGTGGCTGTTCTGGTTGTTGCTGGGGAGATGCTGCATTGCATAGGTCTGACCTCCGATGGCGTCTGGTGAGCCGAGCTTCTTTTCTGAGAAGGAGGGGGAGAGGGCGTGTTCCTGAGTGTAGTTGTTGTTGAGGGTGGCGCTGTTGGTGTTGCTCTTGTAGGACGAGGGCATGTAGTCGGGGTTGTAGGGGTTGTCGTAGGGAGACTTCTCGTGGCTGTTGGCGGGGGGGACGGGCTCGTCATCAAAGGGCGAGTCGATGTAGGTGGGGGCGTGGGCGACGTAGGCATTGGCGGAGGAGGGGGAGTTGGTGTAGTGGGGCTTTGTGGGGGCGTAGGTGGTCGAGGGGGCGTAGGCGGCCGAGTGGCCCTGCCTTGGCGAAGTCGAGTTGGTGTTGTAGTAGCTCATGCTGGTGCGATGTGATAGACTATGCGATGCGACGATACGACGATGCGACGATACGACGATACGGTATGCTGGGATGCAGGAGAACGAAGGGGACTGGTGTGGATAGGAATCGAGGGAAGGAAGGGGTGTTCGACAGCGGCCGCGGGGGGGTGTGGTAGCAATTGAAGGGTGGGAGAAGGAGAATGGAGGAAAGAAAGAGAGAAAGAGAGAAAGCGAGAAAGCGAGAACGAGAGAGAGAGCAAGAAGGAGCGAGGGAAAGAGAGTGTCGACGAGTGGAAGAACTGTCGTCGCTCCCAGTGGATGACACCTTTTTTCTTCGTTTTGCAATTTGAAATTTGAAATTCTATTTTTATTTTTCTTTTCTCTCACAAAGGCACAACGGAGAGGGGGACGAGTGAGAAATATAATAAATATCCGCACAGCCCGGGCCAACACTTTTCCTTAACATGCCACCACGCCTTCCCTTCTTACCGACTCTCTCCTCTCCTGCGTCGCTTTATCGCCTTGGACCCAACCCAGGGCAACCACGCTAGTCCGATGGAAATGCTCCGGGAATATCTTGCCCAGGCTCAGCTGCATCAACTAGCCTGGCTATAGCGCGCTCAAAATGCCAAGATGCCTCGCATCACAATGATCAAACCTTCAGTCCACCTTGAGGTTAGAAGAAAAAATTACAGCAGGACTGTAGCAATCTTCCTGATGTTACCGTCTGTTCTCCGCGTTTCGCGAACAGACACCCTGCACCCCAGACCGCGGAGGCGATTTGGAGGTATCAGATTGGTCTGAGCCCTATCTGGAACAGGGCGTTTGTCCTGAGCGTGGCGAAGACTTCGCGCTGCGGCCCTGACACTCAAAAAAAAAAAAAAAAAGTCACACACTTTTCGAAAGCACAACGGCTTTTTTTTTTTTTTGACATTCGACATCCTGCAGATGGTTCGACATTCGACAAAAGAGACCACAACAGCAAAGCAGCGACACACTATATATACGGCGGAAGCGTAGAACAGAAGAACCCAATTGAAACGAGCAAGAAGGCAAACAAACAGCTCCCAAGAAACAGCCAAGGATGGTTCTGTACTTTACATCGAACGGTAAGACCTTGTAGACCGCAATGTCTGGACTGGATCCCGATGAGAGACGAATCACTCAGCGCATCTCCCCTACTCCTTCTTTCAACCTTCAACCTTCAACGGCATAGTCGTAAGCCCATCCGCCCTTATCTACATGGGCAAGGACAAGTTCGAGAACGAAGATTTGATCAAACACGGGTTCGAGGAAGACGTATGGTTTCACGTCGATAAACTGTCCAGTGCGCACGTCTACTTGCGCCTCGGTCCCGGTCAAACATGGGACAATATTCCAGAACCGCTGCTAAATGACCTCGCACAACTGGTCAAGGCTAACTCGATCGAGGGCAACAAAAAAAACAACCTTACGATCATTTACACGCCCTGGTCGAATCTCAAGAAGACAGGAGACATGGATGTTGGTCAGGTCAGCTTCAAGAAGAACAATCTCGTCAAGCGTGTTTATGTTGCCGAGAGGGTAAACGACATTGTCAACCGACTTAACAAGACTAAGGTTGAAAAGTTCCCCGATCTGGCCCAGGAGAAGGCAGATCACGAACGAGCGAGCCGGAGGCAGCAGAAGCAGCTGGAGCAGGAGCGTCAGCAGAAAGAACTCGAACAGGTCCAGAAATTGAAGCAAAAGGCGTCCGAGCGGGGATATGCGTCTATATTTGACAATGTGGATATGAAGGGCGCATCTAACTACAGGAATATGGATCACGATGGCGATGTCGAAGCATTCGAAGAGGATTTTATGTAACGCTATATGTAAAATACCCCTTCAGAGAGGCTGTCGCGAGACAATGCCAAGCCCAGCAAAAATAAATGACGTGAGCAGTAATAAAGCGCGTCGACTTCTCTAGTTCCTCATTTCTTTTTTCCTTCCGCTTCTGCTCCTTCTGCTTCCCACCCCTCGATTGACAGACCGATTCGAACCAAAGCACACAGGATTGACAACATCACCTGCCTGACTTCAGGAAGTACCTCAGCGAGAGTAACGCAGCTGAGACATCACCTCAATCGCAGCATCACCCCGACCATGGACGCGTCTTGGTACAGGCCGACAGCCGACAAGGCTCATCCTAGGGCCACTACCACCAAGCCAGTATCACGACTCGCTCGCTTGACCAGTATCGTCTCTTCGGTCAACCTCTTGCTCGCTTGCGTTCTCATTCTGGGCGCCAACTTCGTCCACGCTGCGCCGTCAGACCCTGTCGTGACCGAAAACTCATTCGACTATGGACCGCGAAGACTCAACTATTTTCCCGATTCACCTGTAAACCCATCAATCCATATTCCCCCCCTCCTCTCGCCTCTTCTGGATGTTCTCTTCTTCCTCCTAACCGATCACCCATCACTCTTGCTTATTTCTGACTAGATTATACTCTATCACGACACTGCCCGCAATGTCTTTCGATCTCAAGACGAGGGAAAGTCCTGGAATAGGGTGCGGGATATACCTGGAGAGAGAGCCTTGAACCTGATTATGCATTCTTTCGACCCAAAAACCGTAAGTAGTTCGATGGCGATGACCCCTTATGCGACCCTGCGTCATATTGAGCCTTTTGCCGTACAAAAGTTGGATATCTAACTGGCTCGCACTACAGGCATTCATTATTACGGGAGATAGAACCCATTACAAGACCAACGACCAGGGCGCAACCTGGACACGGTTCGAGACTGAGCTCCCCCCAATCGAGGAGCACTACGTGCTCTCTTTCCATGCCACTCGGCCCAACTGGATTTTGATCCTTGGCAACTCGTGTGACGGTCGCGGTCGGTGCCATCAGGAGGTGAGGAGCGATTCCCTGGATAAATGGCTGTCTTTACACTTGTCATTCCCTCCACTCAATGGTGTAGACTCATGCTTGACATTAAATATTCATGCCTCTAGACATACTATACAAGGGATGGATTCGATACGCCACCAAAGAAACTGCTGGGATACACTCACAAGTGCGAATGGGCAGTCTCAAGCACCAATTTCGACGATGCACCAACAGAGTTGATTCATTGTTTGGAGTTCAAGCAGCTAAGGGATGACGGAACCACCACATTTGATGATGCACGTCTGGTCAAAAGTCAAGATTTCTTTGAGACCAAGGAGCCTGTCGTGTTTGGCAGCCTTGATCGATCCGCCATCGTCAACTTTGTGACCAAGGAATCATACATGCTGGCCGCTGAGGTATGGTGTCTACCACGCATGGCTGCTTTGCACTATATGCATTGAGATACTCAGGCTGAGTTGCTGACTTGACTGATCATGCGGCTATTTCTGGCCCTGACGCTGATGCGAGAATAGAAGCACCTCACGAGTGGCGATATGTCGCTTTATGTCTCGGACGATGCAAGAACTTGGGCTAGGGCGAACTTCCCAGCACCTTCAAATCTTCGTCAAGATGTAAGGATATCAGCAAGACCAGATGGCATTAACTCTCGGTATTCAAGACTAAAAGTATCGCTCTGACTTTGCCATTTCTTTTATGTGGTGGACATTGCATTAGTCATATACCATTCTAGAATCAACGCCCTATAGTCTGGTCGTGGATGTCAAGGCGAACCCCGAGGATACGTTTGGAAGCCTGATGCTCAGTAACTCCAACGGCACTTATTTTGTTCGATCAAAGCAGTACACCAACCGCAACAGGGATGACACCGTGGACTTTGAAAAGATCCAGAATATCGATGGCGTGTACATTGTCAACATCGTGGACAATCATGCCTCTTATCCGCGAGACGATGAGAAGAGATTGCGCACGCAGATCACATTTGAGGCTGGAGCGAGTTGGCAGTACATCATGCCACCAGAGACAGGAGCCGATGGACGGCGACACTCCTGCACTCCCAGCACAGTATGTCTCCCAGACCTAATACTTTGTGTGTTTTCTTCTATTCTCAAAAATTGACGCGGTCGATTAACGTTTTCTTGAATTTATAGGATGGCTCATGCAACCTGCATCTCCACTCGGTAACGTCAGCCATGGTTGCCCCTCCAGTCTTCAGCTCCAAGGCTGCCCCAGGAATTGTCATGGGTGTTGGAAATGTCGGACCGTACTTGCTTCCATGGGAGGACTGCGACACATATCTGTCAGAAGATGGCGGTATCACCTGGAAGGCTGTGCTGGAGCATCCGCACAAGTACGAGTTTGGAGACATGGGAGGTCTGATCGTCGCAATCAGAGACGATAATGTCGCGATCACATTCTTCCAGTATAGCACCGATCGCGGCAAGACATGGTACGATATATAGGAACAAAAGCAGGAAACATCAACAGCTTAGTGGCCATTATTAATACTAACTAATGTTCTCCCAATATCTGGATTACAGGCACAAATATGACATTGATGTAAGTTTCAGGCCTGGAGCATTAATCTCTGATCCTGAATCAACTTCACAAAAATTCCTGTTTCTTGTGCGTCTCGGCAACAAGTTCAGCACATACCAGCTGGACTTCTCGAATGTCTATGGACGAAAGTGCGAGCTCAATGAGAACAACCTGGACCGATCTGATTTTGAGAAGTGGTATGCGCGCAACTTGCGCAACAACCCTGACTGTCTCATGGGCGTCAAGACCTGGTACTGGCGCAGAAAGGCGGAAGCGGAATGCATGGTCCAGGAGTCGTTCAAGGACCCTCACAAGACCGATGAAATCTGCCCGTGCACGGATGAGGACTTTGAATGCGACTACAACTTTGTGCTCAAGGATGGGCAATGCGTACAGGAGGGCAAGGAGGCGATGCCAGACGGATCCTGTAAAAAAGAGGGGGATACCTACCTTGGATCGTCAGGCTATCGCAAGATCCCAGGCAACAACTGTGACTCTGAGAAAGGAATGAAGAAGGACGAACCGGTGACAAAGAAGTGCACAGCCGAGACCATTCCCACCGACATCACCCATTCCGTGACCAAGTTCGACTCGCCCATGCTGGGCAGCTTCCACTACTTTCTCAAGTCCTCCGTAGTCATGCTGTTGACAGAATCCAAGCAGGTCTGGCGGAGTACTGATGATGGATCTACCTGGAAGAGAGTTTTACCTGACGCAGGACGGTTCGTGGGTATCTTTATTCATGACGAAAATGAGAAGCAGGTCTATCTATTTACATACAAGGACGTCTACGTTTCGCGCAACCGTGGCGATACCTTTGACCGTCATGACCTGCCGGCACCACCCAACCAGTTTGCTTTCCCGCTGGTCGACTTCCACCCTGACAGCGACAAATACGACTGGATGCTCTATCTCGGCCAAAAAGAGGATGAATGCTTTACTCGACTTTATCGCACACAGGACGGCGGACGCAACTGGGCCCAGGTCGATACGTGGGTCGACAAGGCGGTCTATGCAAGTCATCGGAAGCTCGACATGCCCGATCACGGCGTCTTCTCCATGGTCTGGAAGAAGCCCATGCCAGAAAATGTGTGCCAGAACGAGATCAAGTCGACCGCTGCCCACCCGCTTCAAATGGTGTACAAGTTCGACTCCGACAAGACACATCTGGTCTTCTTTGATCATGTTGTCCAGTTTTATGTGATCGAAAGGTTCTTGGCCGTAGCGGTGGTAAGGGCATTACGGACGAGTGCTTTTATTGTATTCGTTATTATACTGGCTGTTAGGCGTCCATGCTTACGCGATATTTGTACCTTTCTGCTCAACTTTTGCAGGAGGTTGGAAACGACTTTGTCCTGCATGTATCCATAGATGGTCACAAATTTGCTCAGGCCGTCTTCCCACTGAACATCAGAGTCGACAAGAACGGGTTCACGGTCCTGCAATCTACGACCGGCGCCCTCATTGTGGACGTTGCCAAGTCCAACGTCTTTGGACGCGAATACGGTCGCCTGTTCAAGTCAAACAGCAACGGAACGTTCTACTCTCTCCAGCTTGACAACACGAACCGCAACGAGATGCAGTTGGTGGATTGGGAGAAGATTGGAGGTATTGAAGGAGTCATTCTCGCAAACCAGGTGATTAACACCGCTTCTTTGGCCAAGGACGGCGGAAAGCATATCCGCACTTTGGTCTCCTTCAACGACGGTGGTACTTGGAACCCCATTCGTGCTCCTGCTGGAAGCAATTGCGATAGTGACGACTGCTTCCTCCATTTACACAGTGTTACCGACTATGATGGACCTGGCGCAGTCTTCAGTGCGTCCTCATCCGTGGGTCTCGTCATGGGCGTTGGAAACGTGGGCAGGTACCTCCAGCCGCTCGAGAACTCTCAGACATATCTCAGTCGCGACGCTGGCAGAACCTGGAGAAAAGTCAGCGATAAGAAAAGCCTCTACGAATTTGGAGACGAAGGCGGTGTGCTCGTCCTCATCGATCCCTCCACTCCAACGCAGGAGGCATCATTCTCGTACGATTTTGGTTCCACATGGCAGAAAACTGTATTTGCCGATGCGCCTCTTCTGATCGACTCCCTAACCACGGAACCGACGTCGCGCACCTCCAAGATCACGGTGACAGGTATGTACGCCAATGGCGACCGGGAGGCTGTTGTGTCGACAATGGACTTTAGCAACAGGCGAGAATGTGTGCTTGACAAAGGGAATCCGGAGAAGAATGACTTTGAGAAGTGGTCTCCATTCGATGGCGAAGATGATCGCTGTATCCTGGGCAGAGAGGTATGTTGCTGTACTTCTCATGGCAAGTTCAAATACGGACAATGGTCCCAGTGGAAATGTTATTGTGTTTAACATATGTCGCCTATCTGTCACGTCTTTTCTCTTTCTCCAGATCACGTATTGGCGACGCAAAGGCGACAGGGCCTGCCGTGTCAACGACGACGATGGGGTTCCTGATATGGAGCAAGCGAATTGCAGGTGCACAGCGAGGGACTTTGAGTGCGATATTGGATTTTTTATGGATGAGGATGGCAGCTGCCAGAGATTCGGGCACGATCCCGACAAGCCCAGAAAATGCGACGATACCTACATGGGCAAATCCGGCTTCCGAAAGATCGAGGCCAGTGCCTGTAAAGATGGCCTGGATCTGGTGGACAAGCAGGTGGAGAGACAGTGCGGCTCTGCAAAGGAGGTAGTGAGCAAGGCGTCGTCCTTCAAAAACAGATACGAGCACAATCAGGACACCGTCTTTTACTTTCCTAATTCGGATGTAAGCATGTTTGGTTGCTAAGTTTTCCTCTCGAATGAGACGTGTATTGAAACTGACGACTGACCTGGTGCTTGATTCCCCTTTCCGCAACGCCTTGTAGGTGGCTATGCTCAAGTTGGAGACCCATGTCCACATCAGCTATAATGACGGCAAGGATTGGGACGAGATCGAGCTTGAGGACATTGTTACAGGGCTCCAGCGCCATCCCTATGACGATACTAGAGCTGTCATAGGGACATCTGGACACAGGCAGCACCTTACCCAAGACAGAGGACTCAACTGGGACATAATGGAATTACCCCTGGCATCGGCCGCAACAACTTTCTCTGCGAACCCCTGGTCTTTCCACCCCTCAGAACCCGAGTGGATGATCTTCTTGGGCGAAACAGGATGCAGCTACGATAGAGACGACCACTGCCATATTGAAGCCTTTTACACTCAGGACTCTGGCAAAAACTGGCGCTCACTCGCGACTTGGGTCAAATCGTGCTCATGGGCACAGGATACGAACTTTAAGCAGGTTGCGTTGCAGGGCATTTACTGCGAACAGTACAGCGATAGGTCGAGATCACAAAAGGCGCTGATGGGCGCGTATACCTCTACGCAGCTTGTCTACACGGACGATTTCATGAGGAGGAGCCAGGTGCTGTTTGATTCAATCATGGGATACGCCGTTTATTCTGATTATATCATTGCTGCTGAGGTAAGGACAGCAGGAAGAACGATAAGAGGCTGTTGGTATGAGTAGGTGTCTGAAATCTGAGAAGTAACCACTGTACTTGCATCTCTTTCCCACATGCTGCTAACAATATAGTATGTGGCAAGTCAGGGAGCTTTGCGTGTGGCTGTCTCGATGGATGGTATCAAGTTCAGCCATGTCCGTTACCCGGACAACGTCGATGTAGTCAATCCTGCCTACACTGTTCTGGACTCGACTACAAAATCCGTATTCATGGCTATCACCGTCATTAACCGTCAGGGCTCCAAGGTCGGAAACCTCTTTACGTCTGACTCTAATGGAACTTACTTTTCGCTTTCGAAAAAGTATGTGAGCGAGTCGGATTATGGCAACGTTGACTTTGAAAAAATGCAAGGTGTCGATGGGGTCGCTCTTTTGAACGAAGTCATCAATGCGAATGAGGTGAATCAGGGCAAGCACAAGAAGCTTCGGTCAATGATCACAGTCGATAACGGTAAGACGGTCCCTTCATTTGCGCCGCTTTACACTGAGCTTCATGGATATGCACCGCTGAGTCAAATCTAATGCGTGCCACTGCTTTGATGAAATAATCTATAGGAAAAACTTGGAGTCCCCTGAAAGCGCCTGCGCTCGATTCTGACAACCAGTACTATGACTGCACAGTAAGAAATTTGGTCCTTGACCCTAACAATGAACTAAAAAAGCGCCTCTGCAACCCTATTTAACATCTTCTCTACCCATTTTCGGTTGCATAACTAGACAACCGACTGCAGCTTACATTTACACAACTACCTGGATCGCGAGCACGTCGAGGACATGTTCAGTTCGCCATCGATCCCTGGAATGGCTATTGGCGTTGGCAACGTGGGCACCTCTCTCGGTGAATATGCAGAGGGCAACACTTTTCTGACCCGAGATGGAGGCCATTCCTGGAGAGAGATCTTGCATGGGCCCCATCAATACGATTTTGGAGACCAAGGAAGCATTATCCTGCTGGTAAAGGATGATGAACGCCCAACAGACCATGTCATTTACTCGCTCGACCACGGCAAAACTTTCCAGGAATTCGAGTTCGCGACCGAGAAGGTGATTGTTAAGGATATTGTGACCAAACCTGGCGGTTTCGCAAAGTCATTCTTGCTATTTGCAGTACCTCAGCCTGGGGGATCAAACTCAGCGAAGCAGCTGATCTACCAGATCGACTTTGAGGGTCTAGATTTCCCACTGTGCCGCCTGGACCTGAACGACGAGTCGAACGATGACTTTGAACGCTGGAGTATTGCTGACCTTCGTGGAGAGAAGTGCATGTTTGGGCGTCAAGTCGAGTACTTCCGAAGAATCGAGGACCGCAAGTGCTTTGTGGGTGAACTTCCCCCTAATCCCAGACATATCGATAGCAACTGCCAGTGCACTGCCAACGACTTTGAGTGCGATTTCAACTACGAGCCCGATGGCACAGGCAAGTGTGTGCTGATCAAGGACGCTAAGCCCGTAGTCCTCAATGAGAAGGAAATATGCGCCTCCTTGCCGGAAGAACAAGACTTTTACTATGAATCGATTGGATATCGCAAGATGGCCTTCTCGAGCTGTGTTGGCGATCACGAGCTCTTTGGTCGCAAGCATTACTGTCCTGGAAAGGGAGGCATAGGTTTCTTTGGTTGGGTTGGCATTCTCGCTGCATCTGGCGGAGGTGCCTACGCGCTGATTTTCCTACTAGGCAGGTACAAGGGCTATTTCCGAGGAAGCCGCGGTTCGTTTATCCGCCTGGGAAACGATGTCTACGACCAAATTCACTTGCCGCGGTCGTCATCACTGCCATCGGTGAACATGCCATCCATGCGAGTGCCTCGGTCGTTTTCCAGGTCTTTGAGTCGAATCCATGTCCCTGATTTCGTTTATCAAAGCTGGGATAAGGTTGCAGCCATGGCGTCAGCGATCGTGCCAAACCGCGTGCGAAGATTCTTTGGTGGTGGGGGAGGCTACAGGTACCATAACCTTGGTCAGGAACCCGGCGAGGTCATCATGGACGACTACTTTGATCACTATCTGGACGACGACGATGAAGAGAATACAGCGGGCGCTGTTGGCTCGGATGGTCTGCTCGGTCATGGCGACGGTCTCCAAGACGCGCAGGAAAGATATCGCGACGATTCTGATGACGAGGATGATGGAGATGAGGAGCTGAACAACATGGTTTAAACGAGGAGGGGATGTGAACACTGGCTGATTCTTGTAGAAGCAAATGTATATAGCGACACAATAAACAGAGTTGTCTTTTAGCGGTACAATTACATGTACTTCAGGATCCATCTACCCTTCTACTGATGATACGAATGAGAATGGAGTAGCGATTTGTGCCCATGGCTGCAATGTGCTGTGCCCGTGCCTGAGCCCACCCTTTAATTTCTGACACCCTTATTTTTTTCTCACACTTGTTTACTCCACCTCTGCTTCGCCCATCAGTATCTCTGTTCTGTTACCAGAGCAAAATCCAACCCGGTCAATGATCCAAGAGCAGCAGTAGCCATACAACTGCAGCGGATCACCGCAGAGGTCAGCAGAGTCTCAGAAAGGTATGTCTTAGAGGACCAGCTTCTGCGATTCTCCCTCTTGTGGATGATACAAATGGTGTCGTTCTTTTTCCTTGACACCAAAGCCTAGTGCCAGAGAGTGCTTGCGACTTGGCTTTCACAATGCTTCATCTCTTCTCTTCACTACCAGGAAGCAAATTCTCTCCTACTCGGCCGCATCTGGCAGCCGATTACAACGACCTCGATGACGGCGCGACTCAGCCCACTGAGATTCGTCAAGGAGGAGCTAGGAGTTCACAAAGGTACGGTTGTAGATGATGGGTGCCTGTATGTCTTTTCCTCGCCTCTTAACTATTACCCTTCTTTGAACTGTTTCTCTTGCAGCTTCTGCTTCCTTCTGCCTCGAGCGAGATGCGGCATCAACCATGCACCGTTCACTCACAGCAAGGGCTCCAGTCCAGTCAGGCCTAGTGCAGCACGCGCCCAGCTTCTGGTGTTCCATCGAGTCCCATCGAGCCATTAAGACTAACAAAGCTGAGTGCGCTCTATGCTCCCCTTACTCTCTTTCTCTCTCCACTCCCTCCCTGACATCGTCTCACTCGACCCTTCCACTTCCTTCTTCGTCGTCAACGGATGGCCCTACCCCACCCAGAAATACCCTCTCGCTCAGATGGAAAACGAAGCTACTTTTGCGCGTGTCCTCTTGGATAAAGAGGTGTGTTTGTGTTGGATGCAACATAAAGAAAACAGCGACATACTGACCCACAATTTAACTAACCCTTCCGTGGTAGCACCAACGTCTCGGCAATATCAGGCCTAGCAATGCTCCCCATCTAGGCGTCAAGGGAGAGAGAGAGCTCGCCGCAAGGATCCTGGCCCTAAGCTGGACACATGCAAAGGGACGAGTGCGCAATGAGTTCAAGGTAGTGGTGGAGCGGGTAGCGAGGAGGTAGGGAGCAGTGCTGGTTGTGGCCGAACAGCAGACCACTCTCTCGCAGCTGAAAGGTGACAGTCTCCGAGACCCGGAGGTTGCTGGTCGCGAATTCGGCGGAGGATGGCCAATGTGTACAAGGTGTAAGAGGGAGTGGGAGAATGGGATGGTGTCAAAGACGATGGGGAAGACAGGTGTGAAGGGGTAGCAAAAGAGTGCGGCCGATGAGTAGTGGAAGAGATCAAGAGGTGGCACAAGAGGAGCGTGGGGGAGGTAATGGGGAGCTGCGCAAGAACCAACGCGAACTTGGACTATCATCCAGGTAAGCATCGTTTTCCTCAACTATGTTTCAATGGCATTCCGAGTCGGGTTTCTTACTAACTTTTTTTTTTTTTTTTTTTTTTTTTTTTTAGAAAGTCCTGAGTCGATGCCATACTGGCAATGAGACTGGTTGTCACACGCAGATAGCAGCGTCAGTTATACAGCTGCATCGGTCTATGCCTACAAAAGCAACTCAGCGCACCATCAAGATATCACTGTCATCAGCGATGACAACCAGAACGTTAAGCGCTAGCTGTAGTAATAATGATGCACATAACGCGCAGATCAGGATCGCGCTTGGGTCGCGCTCAAAGAGATGATATATAGGATCACCAAACAGTGTCAGGCGGCATTCCGATTGAGATGCAAGTTCGAAAGTCCAAAGATTCACAAGCAAGTGGCACGGTTTGCCATATCAATAAAACGAAACCAACCGAGCGATACAGTCCCTGTGGACTTAATGCAATGGATGCTCAGGCGGGGGATTTATGGTAACCGACATACCATTCAGTTCGTTGCGCTGTCGGCCACAATCCGCTTCGCCCACCGCCAAAAAGACAACCACGGAGGCAAAATATATATGCGTGGTCCGGGAATCGAACCCGGGTCTACCGCGTGGCAGGCGGTAATTATACCACTAAACCAACCACGCTTTTTCTCGTTAAATGTCGCAGTCTAGAAGTACTATTATTTTGTATAGATTTCTCTCCCTATCTGCACGCCATTCCCTATTTGCAAATTTTCTATATATGCAATATTTCATATCTGCATATAATGTTTGTATAGCGCTAGACGCAACGCAGCACCATGATTTGAAATGCCACGCACAGTTTGCAACGCACAGTGCAGACCTGGACTTGAGGAGGATACTGAAGTTGCAGTCCGCGGTACGGCACCATTATCAGTGGACATTGCAGCATCGAACGAGGACCTACATCAAGGATTGGCGGTCGGTAGCATGGGCGCCCACGCTACGGATCTTACACGATAACAACCCGCCAAAGCGCTTATACACCAGCCTGGAAGACTGTCGTTTACGTTCGCACAGGATCAAGAAGCTGCATGGAGATTTGCCAACATTGCAGGCGATGAAGAAACGACATCCAGATACCTACCAAACGGACATATGTCGTAGGTGTGAGAGGGAACCAGAGACGAACGATCATCTTTGGCGTTGTTCAGCTACCTTGTGCGACCAGCGACAAGAGTGGAGGGACGCGGTGGAGGAAGTGGAGTTGAATGGATATCGTGCATGGAGACAGGCAGTGCGAAAATGGGAACAGGAGAGAGAGGAGGCCGAACGGAAGGACAAGCCCTTCACTGCGACTTGTCCCAACTTCTCGGCAACAGGAACGAAGGCTATCTGGGAGTCAATGCAGTGGATTCAGGGGACAGCGGAAAGACGAGGGACATATCGGGTTGCGGAAGGAGAGGAGCCGGAGAGTGAGGCAGATTGGGAGGTCAAGGACTTATACCGAGGTTTGGTGCCAACGGGACTCATTGAGACCTGGAAGCAGCTATTTACCACCACCAAGTGGATTGCGACGATCATGGTGACAAAGTCCGTGAGCAGGATCGAAGAGTTTGGCAGGACCAAGATATGGAACAAACGATGCGAGGACACTGTCGCCTGGGAAAAGTCAGTTGGAATCACCTTCATGAGCAAACGCGCCGGAGGACGCAACGGTGATCGGGGACACCAACGTAGTGTTGGTGATTTCTCTGGTTTGAAAGGGAGACGGTTACTTGCAACGGAGATCCAGGAAGGTAGACGGGCCGCGGATTATAGGGTGCTACAGCATTGCTTGGGGCGAGGGAAGTTGTACATAATGGAGGGTTTATTCGGTTTAAAAACAACTTTATTAACATTGGATCTGGATTAGGAGACGTGTATCGCGCAACAGGTCACGCAGGAGTTAGGTTAGGCTAGCTATGCGACATGGGTTATGAATTTGACGCCTCAAGCCAACATAGTTGGTAGGGGATGCGGCTCTGCCGTGCATGGAAGGCATCTATGGCTTCAAGGCCTTTGCGGACCATGCGTCTTGTGCTCATGGGGATTTATGTTAATAAAAAAAAAAAAAAAAAAAAAAAAAAAAAAAAAAAAAAAAAAAAAACATATAATGTTTGTATAGCACAGACACCTACAGACTTTTTGAGGTGAACAAGTGCTCATGAGGATTTATGTTAATAAAAAAAAAAAAAAAAAAAAAAAGACTTGGTGAGGTGGACAAAGAGGACACGCAGCATCTATGGCGCTGCAAAATGACGATGCAGCAACAGCTGGACGGTTGGCAGGAAGCGATCGAGAAGGTCAACACGGATGGACGTAGAGCACGGAACAAAGAGCGCAAGCTTTGGGAGACGAGGCAAAAGCATGTCAAGGAGCGAGGACAAGCCGCGAGAGGACAGGGACCAAGCTTCACACAGGTGACAGACAAGACCATTTGGACAGTACTCAAGGACAAGATCAAGGGAGCTTCGGCGATCCGGAAAGCAAGCAACACACTCGGCCGTGTGGAGGACGAGACAAGGGACAACGATCAAGGGGCCTGGACGGTTCAAGATTTGTACCACGGACTGACACCAGCGGCTCTCACCAAGGACTGGGAGAGCCTATTCAAGACGATCACCTTGATCGCGAGGTACATGGTCGGCCGATTTGTCAAGGCCATCGAGGAATTCGGACGGACAGAAATCTGGAACAAAAGATGCAAAGTCACCGTCGACTGGGGAAGAGAAAATGGGATCACTACCATGAGCAAACGCGCCCGGGGACGCAACTGTGTTGGAGAGCACAGACGTAGTGGTAGTGGTTTCGTTGGATCCTCCAGGAGACAACGACGCGCATTGGATGTGAAAGAGATCGAGGAACGAGCGGACAAGCGAGTGCTGCAAAGCTGCATGCAGCAGGTGGAGCTAAACGTGATGGAACGCACCGGCGACTGTAAATTTTTGATGATTGAGGAACGCGGCTAAAGGATGACCTTCGCGCACAACAGGCCAAGTAGGGAGCAGGGCTCAGTCACCGACCTCAGGCGGGGTCGAGTTACCACTCATGCTGACTGGGATTGTGAAGGGGATTAGAGCTGCGAGTGACCAGCAGCGGTGCGGCAAAAGCCGTTTATTAGAATATTGAGCACCCTTTACTATGCCTCTAGCAATAGAGTTCCCTAGTCTAGAGTCCCTCACTAATAAATCCCCACATATCCTCGTGGGTTCTAGTTATCAAAAAAATAATAATAATCCATATCTGCATATAATGGAGGATTTATTCGGGTTAAAAACAACTCTATTAGCATTAGATCTCGACTAAGTGGACATGTATCGCGCAACAGGTCACGTAGGAGTTAGGTTAGACTAGCTATGCGACATGGGTTATGAAACCAAGACGCCTCAAGCCAACGTAGTTGGTAGGGGACGCGGCTCTGCCGTGCATGGAAGGCATCTATGGCTTGCGGACCATGCGTCTCGTGCTCATGTGGATTTATGTTAATAAAAAAAATAAAAAAAACCCATATCTGCATGGCTCGCGCCGCCTACCCTGTCTAATCCGAACTGCGCTTAACATGAGCTGTACCCGGGTTCCTTTCCATCGCTACCTTTTCCATCTTCACGCGCTCCGCCTCGGTAAGGATTAGTAAGCGCGACACCGGACCGGGCTCCGTTAAGTATAAAAACGCGTTCAAAATCATGTACAACAAATCAGCTACGAAGATCTAGAGAAAAGACATAGTACCTTTCACGATTAACCAGTTCGTTTATTCCCTTTACCCCATTTCCACTTACCTCACTCTCTCTGCTATCCTACCTTCCATCTACCTACTTCCATCTACCTACCCAATCTCGCACCTACCTTACTCATTACCTTTCACTTAGCTTGCTCCATCCCCCTCTATCTTGCCCTGTTCGCGTTTTACCCATTACAGAAGGCTGGGCTTTAAAGTAATAATATATATTTCGCTCTATCTGCCCAAAAACTTACGGTGGAGGGGTTTCGCGCGCAAAAAGAGTGATGGCACGGACCGAGCAGTGGTCAGGAGCGCGAGAAAGACATTAGATGGAAGAGATAAAGGAAAAGAATGAAAAGGAACGCGACATTAGCAAACGCAAACCAACAAAGTCCAAAGAGGCCGGGGTGGATGCAATTTGGGACGCACTCGAGGTCATAATCAGGGGCGTGAGAGATATAAGAGGGGAGAGGTAGCGATAGACGCCAAGGAACAAAGATTCGAGGGAATTGAGTGATCAGTGCAGGATCTGTACCACGGTCTAACACTCAAGTACATGACTCAGTCTTGGAAAAGCATTTTTAGCATTACAGAACCGATCGCAACATAGGTGATCAGCCGCTTTGTGAAGGCCATTGAGGAGGACGGCAGAACAGAGACATGGAATAGAGGTTGTAAAGTCACCGTCGACTGGGAACAGGAACATGGGATCACCGCTGTGAGCAAACGCACCCAGGAATGCAGCTGTGATAGGGACTACAGATGTGGCAGTAATGATTTTATGGGATTTTCCCTGATGCCACGACAAGCACCCGAAGTGAAAGAGATTGCGATGCCGCGGATGAACGAGCACAGGGGCACTATCCGGAACAGTTGAGACTCGATATGATGGAGCGATTGGAAGGATTTTCAATATCTAAAAAGTCAAAGGATTGTAGCTAAGGATGTCTTTCACGCACAACAGGCCACGTAAGGAGTAGGGGCCATCGGTTCACTACTCATGCGGTCATCGATTGGGGAATATGGAACCGTTACATAGTCGGAGCGGTAGATTGCTATTTGTTTTCTATCCCACTCGCAGGTTTCCTTGAGACTGTAGCTAATATATCCCATGTCTTAGGGTTCTCGTTAAAATAATGAATAAGGATTAGTTCTGCTTTGACAGAAAGAACGACTGTAGTAGATCATTACTAGTTTGCTACTCGAGAGGCAATTGTAGATCATGATCTACGACGTAAAATACCTGGGCAATATTTTTTGGAGGGATGAAGACCTTTGCTTTTTGATGTCATAGAGTAGCCGCTGTAGTTTATGCTTGTGGTTTGCCTCGATCGGCTAAGTTGCCGGCACTTATTTTAATAAATCGTATAAAGGCCTTCCCCATGTCTCGCATCGTCAAGATGTATTGGACTGGGATTCAACGTTACCAGTCGGTTAGATGATAGACAGAGTCCTTTATTTTGATGCTTAATAAAGCGATAAATCGAATCGTGGACGTTTTTAGCCCTGTTTGCGGCGATTTATTACTTATACATACGGATACTGCCACTCCTGGAGTTATAGAAGGCTTTGATGTCGCCTTCAGTTCTCAGTACCTAGCATGTCTGCATGGCGCAATTAGAAGCGCCTTGGTCGACAGAAAGACGCGTCGACAAATCGGGATCCCCTGGACGCACAGCCCAGCCAAGGAACCTGTTGCCCTTCGTCTAAACTTAAAACAGTCCAAAGAGCGAAAGCAACAACGACTGCAGCATCCCTTTCACTTCCACCATCGTCACCAACTCTTCTCCCTCGGAACCGACGCGGATATGAACGCCAACCCGCTGAGCGTAAAGCTGACAAAGCTACTCTCGTCCTCGCTTGATGACCCAAAACTCAGGACATCCCTCTCGGCCCTGTCTGAATTCTACACAGTCAACGCAGTCAACGCGCGACACAACCTCAGGGGCGATATTGAGCGCCGAGGGACAGAGGTCAACTACGAGCTCCTACACGAGTTGGAAAACGTCAAAAACGTAAGCAGCAGGCGCTTCATCTATTCAGGATCCATTCCAGCTGGAATCCACCTTCATGGGAATCAGCACCATGTTTGCCATCATCTTTTTGACACGATCGTTTCGCCATAACCTTTAGCAATTCCTGGAACTGGAAGCAGAGATGAATGCTATGAACTCACTCTGCCAGGAAATGCAGGACAGGCTGAACCTGGCGAACGACAAGACTATAACTCTTCTCGAACAGACGGATGCCCTGCGGGAACAGAGGTATGCTCATAGACGCGAACGATGAGTATTATGGACGTGTCGTTCACGCAGGATATCTAACGCAGCGCTCCACTCCGAATGTTCATCTATAGCAACGTCTGCTTGGTCCGGCAGACGATCATGGAGGCGTTTCTGGATCTATTCACGTTGTCAGAGTCGGAAATTACCATCTTGTGCTCGACAGCTATGGATATTACTCCGTCGTTTTTTGACGCTCTCGAACATCTGGAGAATATTCACGCCGACTGCAACGCCCTTTTGATCACTGAGCACCAGCGAGCAGGGTAAGCGCAACCGTCCCGATGAATGATGTAACGAGAGGGTTGCTTTCAGAGCTTTGCTGACGTTTTTCTTCCGCATGCCGCATTAGTCTGGAAATTATGGATTCGATGAGAACATATCGCAGCATCTCATACGATAAATTATACCGATGGATGCAGAACGAATGCAGGACTATGAGTCGGCCCGATGGCATGATGGAGGTCCGAGAAGTCACTAAAAAGGCCATCCAAGCATTGAAGCAAGACGATCAATATTTCCGGTCTATTCTAGAAGAGTTGGTCCATGTGCGCCGCAACGCGATTCTCCGAGCATTTATTGATGCACTGACTAGAGGCGGACCTGGAGGTACACCACGCCCAATTGAGCTTCATGCGCATGATCCGCTACGATATATTGGCGATATGTTGGCGTGGATTCATCAGACCGTAGCGAGCGAACGCGAGTTTTTGGAGAGTCTATTGAACAGCAGCGAAAAGAGGAATCGGGATCGTGGACAGGCAGAGGTCAAGCTGCCGAAGGCCAGTCCACTTCGGCTTGTTGAGAGCGATGTCTCGGATGCCGAGATCGTGAACTCGCTCCTGGACAAGAACGTGGAAGGAACCTCGCGACCACTGAAGGTACCAGGCCTGAAATGCTTTGGTGCCTTACGTTACTTTCCTGGTGCTGATACCAGAGCATGAACTCACAATATCCCTCACCATGCTATTAGTCCCGAGTAGAGCAGGTTCTGATCTCTCAGGCAAATGCTATTACGGCGTTCAAAATATCGAATCTCATCAAGTTCTACTCATCAACGATCGACAAAGCTATTGGATCAGAAGCGTCGCTCTCCAAAACCCTGCATGAGATATTGGAAGCATCGATGCATATGTTCTTCGAGGCAATTGGCAAACACTCGGCCGATTTGCTGCGCCGTCCTGATGCACCAGCTGCGGATTTGGGACCTACGCCGGCCGTCAAAGAGACAGTGTCACAGCTGAAGGAGATCATGAAGTCTTTTGATACCTCCTTTGTTCAGGCGGATGAAGGCAACCAGGACTTTGCGCCGATCTTAAGTGCAACTATCGATCCGTTATTCCAGATGTGCGAGATTGGCGCAGCGAACCAAAGCGCATTCAATCGGGCCGTCTTCATGATGAACTGCCTGCATTATGTTCAGGTAAGAAGGGAGGCAAGCGTTTGAGGACGCAATTGCGTGCAAAAAAGGCTTTTGAGTATTGACTGAAGATCATTTATTTCTCTGTTTGCATTCCAGTTGGCCCTTGTATACCCTTTCACGAAGAACAAGGTAGAAGATCTGGAGAAGCAGGTTCAAGAATACGTTGATATCGTTGTTGTTGAGCAGGTATGCTGAAAAAAAAATGTATCAGATGTACCTTTCAGCTTGCAACAAGTTCACTGGGCTGACTTCTGTCTATCTTTACTCGCTGTATAGCATATTGTGCTGCTGAAGCAGTCAGGAATCGCATCACTTATCCAGGCCATGGAGACAAAAGATGAGAAGGTACACGTACTATGCTTGAAGAGTCTTGGTGCTGTTGTTCTATTAATTACTGGATTATACACTAACAGTCATCGGGTTTCCTTGAATGTTGTATTTGAAAATGACATAGACGCCTCTGTCGTTGGTACCAGGGATGGACGCTGCAACTGTCTCCACAGTGCTGTCAAGGCTTGACCACTTTCTGGGCTCTGTCAACTTGGATTTAACATCATGGCTATCGAAGATTGTGTCCTCAAGACTGGCCAAAAATATTAGCACGCAGAATGTCAAAATGTTCGTCGACGCTTATAGACGGCTCTGCAGGGCGATAGAGGACCCCAAAAACAAATACGAGTTTCCGGCCACGATCCTCGTACGTACTGCCGATGAGGTGGAGATGCTGCTTGTGGAGGACTGACGAGCTATCTGATAGACATCCGCATAGAAGATTGCACAAAAAATAATGAAGTGGCTGAGTCGTGCAAATGTGTTTTGACCTTGAGCTTGGAGAGACCCTGGAACGTTCCTTATTCTTGCATCGCCCTTCATTCACCTTTTCTTTTTCTTTAGTCCGATTCCTTGCTCAACTTTGTCCTATTACCGTTGCTGTCCTTGTTGGCATTCTACCGCTGATTCCATTCCAAATCTTCCCATAATACTCTAATATACTATGTCTCGCGGAGGTGGACGCGGAGGAGGACGCGGCGGTGGAAGAGGCCGAGGAGGACCTGGTATACCCATGTTTGGGCCCGATGTCATCACGGCAACATTCAAGAACCCCGGTGAGACCTACCCTGTATGGCGGTTCACGCAATTGATGATTTCTTTGGATATCCTGCAGAGCATTGGCACTGAGCTGAAGTAGATCAATGGACACTGAAACGGCACGCTGTTTTTTTTATTTTTTTTTTATATTCTTTCTAGGATATCATAGTGCCTGTTGCAAGGCACCCTACAGATGATGAAGGAGAAATGTATATTGCTATGAAGAGGCTGAAGGACGCATTATATTCAAGTCCATATTACCTCACGGAACCTAAGAAGCCCGGCGGTAAACAAACGTATTTTTGAACATACTCATTGCAAGGTCCTTTGCCTCTGTTTCGATCTCGTTCAAAGCTGACTTAATGGATGGGCCTATGTTTTCTGTAGCAATTGTAAGATATACGGATCGGTATCACCAGGACAAGGCTGCAACAAGACCAAAGCTCGACACTATCAAATCAAGTATGTGCTGGAGAAGCAGACTGTAAACCAGGAGCCATGTTTAGGGATCGGGAATGGCCAGGGAATGTAATGTTGTCAACAGAGGTCCTGAACTCGCCAAGGATGGCAAGAGTGAGCAGCAGGAACAGCAGGGGCAGCCAGATTGGATTAAAAAAGCGATAAGAGGTGAATAGGAGAAGCTCGGTACAATTAACGCTGTTCGTTCAAGAGCATCGATATCTCAATGAGGACATTCATGTTCGACGACGAAAAGAACGTGATCTTCAAAGAATAATGCAACGATAACGGATAGTTTGATTTGCATCGATCCGTTGATTTGAGGATATATGCTGACCAACATTTCGTCTCTGTTGCTGCCTCCCTGGATAGGCAAAGCGTTCTTTCCTGATGAGCTCCACTCGATCCTGGATCCTAAGGCCGTCAGGAGTACGTATCTCGATTTGCTACCAAACCAGACCAAACATTTCTATAAATGGCATCTCTCCTGCCAATCGCTGATCCTGATGCTATGACAACGTACTCTACCTGCTATGATAGAACGCAAGGCAGTCAAGAGGAATATTGATATTAGCAAACTGGGCGAGAATGCGGATGAGGACGAGGACGAGAACGAGATCGATCCTGAGACAGGATTGCTAAAGAAGAGTGCTGAAGGCGATGAGGAGCTCGAGGAGGAAGACCTTGAGGATGAAGACGAAGGGGAAGGCAATGACTATGGCGAATCTTACTTTGATAACGGAGAAAACGATATTGATCTGGATGGGGATGAGGATGCGAACGAGTACTAATGGTCTCCGCCATTTTGTAACGAGTCTACAAATAAAAAACTCCGCGCGACGCATTATATTTTGGTTTGCGACCAAATTGTACCTTGATCTGGTGTGAACACATCCATTGCCCTGAGTGTATGGTGTTGCGTTTCAGTACTACAGGGCGATGGAGCGTTACATGACAGCTGGCGCAAAATAAAATAAATATCTACTATAGTCTACAGCACATTCGGATTAAGGTACACCTTGGCTTTTAACCCGAGGTTTTTTATTCTACCAGCTCAGTAGATATATCGGCACTTTCTGCATGCGTTCCAGATCAGCGTGAAGCTCGCGTGTTCGTCGATGGTCAACGTCGTTTACTCGACCATTGTTCTGGTCAGCTTTGAAAGGGTCGATAGATGGACCAACTGACAGCTATTTCTGCTACTTTTAGCACAAACTCACCCTTTTACGTTCGGCAAGGGTCGCAAAGAAACCAATTCCGGCTACTCTTCAAAAGTATGGCCACCCTTCTCGCTGGAATACGGCATCGGAACATCGCCACAGGGAAAAGGCACGACTACGAGCCCCCCCACCCGCTATCCATCAACATGGAAGTTTCGACCTCAAAAGAAGAAAAAGGAACTCCATGGGTACCGCAAGGCCTCATTTCAAGCTGACGATGACAACACGAGAACGATGAAGGTGGAAGGAACGATCTCAGCCAACAGCCTCGTCCTTAACATCCTCGCCTACAACACCTCCATTTTACACCCAGGAGCCGCCAAGAGAGCCGCAGAGGAAGCGCTACAGGATAACACCCAGGATGATACCAATGATGATACTAGCGATGAGGACATGCAGAATGAGAATCTGGCTATCGAGGATGGATGCATTGATCTGGACGATAGTCTCGATATTGAGGACAGATTCGTTGATCTGGACGACGCTGAGATTGACGACGGTGACATACATCTGGATGACAGCCAAGGGTCGGACATCATTGGAGGTGGGTCTGGTGCCACTTGTGGACGCAACGCAAGTATCACTTTCGCCGCAACATAGAACCTTTGCCCGTCGAGCTCCCCCCTCCCCCGTGTTGGAAACAACTGGCGGCAACGATCGAAGCTGGTTGACAACATCGAGATGTATTTCGATAACCTGGAGGATCGCCTCCCAGCGGACAATACTATTATAATAAGGCTGGACCCTAGGGAACAAATAGTTTGACGGCCTCCGTACTGGATCTTGCCCATCCCAGCAAACGTCATGTTGTCACTATACGAAGATCCTTCCTTCACAAACCCGCCATAAAGTTCCGCTCGCTACCACAGGGCAGGAAGCGAGATGTAGGGGTGGATGAGCTGGAGTGCCAGATTCCAAGCTTTATTATGGAGACACTTGACAGCTATTTTAAATACATGATCGGCCCGCGTATGCCAAGCGTAGCTGCAGGATCAGAAGAGGGCCAGCAGATACAGGCTCCTGCAAAGTTCTCCAACAACAGCAGCAGCCTCGGGTCCGCTCATATCTGCAACAATAAACAGGAACAAAAAAACGAGCAGTTGACCAGGATCCGTCAACACCAATCGCAATGAACAAGGGCCAGAAGTATCAAACGCCAGCAAACCCTGGCCCATCAGTCACCACATGCAAACTGCAGTAGGAGTCGCGAGGACATCGCTAGAACAACACGATTTATTGGACTTGAAAGCTCCATGAACAATTTGTAAGTTACAGCATTCTGTCTTTGCTTGCTTTGCTTGTTGTATTAAAAATATGCCTTCTAAACGCGTATTCCTCTGAATTGGACGCAGACGCTACTAGTAAATATATACTTTAGTCTTTGCATTTTGTTTCCCTGGCGCAGGCTTTTGTATAAAACGAAGTTTTACGACGATGGAGCTCGTCGTCTGTGGATAGCTGGTTCTTGGATTTGCGCTTTGCTCTGCCTAAAGCCCTTACCAGCGCCAGCGCCAGCGCCAGTACCATTGCCACCTCTGTGTATTGTTTTATGTGGCCTTCTTTGGGACAAAATACGGTGCTGTTTTCGAGCGTCTAAAGATGCTGCCGATGTCTTCTGGGGGTCCATAACTTCTGCGGTACACATCTGGGCGTAGTCAATCCGCTGCCCCTTTTGAATTCGTTCATCCGTGGTGTAGACAACACGCTGTATTACGATTACAAAGCCAAGGAAAGTAAAAGTGAAAGTGAAAGTAAAAGTACTACATCAATACCTTTGTGGCTCCTCTTGTTTGTCCCCCACCCACACCCATTTCTGTCCCTTAACTGAAACCGAGCACTTTAAACAGTTCCCCGTCATCCACATCCGGCCCCACTGTCGTGAACCCATCCTGGGTCGTAACCTCTTTCTTTACCGGCCGTGGTGCCTGCTCCACGAAGGGCATATCGTCCACCTCGCTGTTCGCATCTATCGAGCCATTGAGTGACGACAGCGACGGCACCGTACCGTTCCTTATGTTTGTACTCAATAAGTGGCCTTGCGGGTGAGTATGCAACCCCAGCAAGAGCTGTGGTTGAACATACTGCTGTGGCAACTCCAGATCAACTAACTTCTGCTTCATAGTCAGCTTCTCACGTTCCCGTTCACACGCCATATCCATTGAATCCGCCCGTCCCCTGTCCATGCCATCCACGCCTATCCCAAAGTCTTCAAACTGCAAAAGAGATTCCACCGAGAACGGCGGAGTTGTGCCTGAACTCGAACCCGAACTAGAACCCGAACTCGAGCCCACTGTGCCGAATCCACGCACAAATCCATTCTGCTCAACGCTCATATCCGATCCCACAGACGCAGGCGCCATTCGGACGCGCGACGCGATGTCGCATAGGTAATCCCAAGCGATCCATGCAAACGTGTATGGTTGCCCCGGCTGCAGATTTTGATAACATACCGCATACCAAGCTGCAGCTTTCATCTCGACGTACTGCTGGTTGATGGGCGACACGACCTTCGAATCTGGCGCATAAAACTCGCCCTCGAGCTGCGTGCGGAACTGGCGCTTGATGGCCGCGTAGGCACTAACGATTGCCTTGCGGATGTCGTGGTCCCTCTTGTTTGTGATTACTTCCACTCCCGTAATGTAGCCGCTGACGACCTCTAGATCGCTATGAGCGTAAAAAATAAAATTTCAATAAAAATCTGCTTCGCCCAAGCGTGTACAGAGGTAAGGACAAATGAATGCGAGCTGAAAATCCATACCTCTTGACTCCGTATTGGTTCATCAGAGACAAGACTTCATCGTCGTACAACGCCTTGCATCGCTTCGCATCGTTCATATAGCTCTCGTACCCATCAATGAGTAGAAGTCGATTGAAGGACTGTCGATAATTCTTCGGCGTGAACGCCTGCTGCTTATTGCAATCACGGTAGATCCGACCCAGCAATCGTCCTGATCGGTAGCTCCTTTCTGGCGGTTTTTCCATAAAATCTGGGTATGACCTTGGTCGGAGCTCCGAAGTGATCTCTGCAGGCTTGCCAGTCTTTGGAAAGTCGACCGCGTCCGAGTGGAGTTGAGCCAGTCTGATGCATTTTCCGTGATGCGGACCCTCCTCTAATCGATCCGATAGCGCCAAGTGCGCGTTGGCGATTACTCCCAAGTTGTTCGACACAGCGTACTGGACGAAAAACTTTTTGATGTCGTGGATCGTAACATCGCTACTCGTTACTGGGTCGCGGCTAGTGTAGTCCATCGGCGGAAATTCTCTAATGTTGTTGACAATGTCTGGATCCCAGATCACGCTATCAATGCAGCGAGCAGAGCAACAATACTGTTAGTGTCGATTATCCTTGCAGATAAAGAATAGCATGAACCAGATGATCCAATTAGCTCCGACTACTTACGTAAAGTCTAGAGTAAAGAGCACATATGAAATATATTGAGTTGTCAGTTGGGTGTATCAAATAATCTACAGTCAATCATATCCAAGATCTGTCCTCGATTCTGACTTACCATCTCCGTCAAGGTCACCACCGCTGCACATGCTGGGAATGCCCCGTGCACCTTTGGTATTGAAGACAACTACGTCGTACAGATGCCGTAATCCAGGCCGGTTCACCGCTTGGACGACCCTGATGTCGCCTGGGTGGAAGCAAGGACATCGCACAACTGCACACTTGCCCTCGATGATGGTGTGCTTGGTCGGGTTCTCGACGCTCGATACCTGGACAAAAATTTCGCCCTCCTGCAGCTCTCCAGTCTCGTCGCAAACCCCAAGGAGGTAAGCACCCTTTGGGACAAAAATCCTTGCTTTCTTGGAGAGTTCCTCCAGCATCTGCCACTTGAATAGCGTCAATAGATTTTTTATAAAGGGATCCTCCGCTTGCAGAAATCCTGCTCGAATCATGGAAACCATCATTTTCGATGTCCCGTTCTCATCCCAATTTTGATAGAGCGTCTTTATGGCGATCATACCGTCTGATTCGATCCTCTCCAGGTCCCGCACCATATTGTTCTTGAGAGTCCAAATGACCTATTGACAAGTGCATCGCGAGTGCATGTAAACACGAGAACTTAAATAGAAAAATAAAATAAAATGCAAGTTTACAAAGGTTTGTGAACTTTTAAAACATACGCTGTCTGGAACTCCAAGTGCCGTTAACAGGATGATGATCTGACGATTAAGGTAGCTTGAAATGAACGAAGACGTCTTGATGACCTCGAGAACATAGTATGCCACATTAAACTTCTTCATACTCGGTCGGATTTGAACTCGCTTTTCACGCAGTGGCGGGTACCACACCAAGACGCCCTTGGATCCACCCAGACGAATCTGAAACGCAACCGGGGTCGTTTCCTTCTCCATTTCGATGCCGATCAACTTCGCAAGCGCCAACGAGATTCTCCCGCAGCCGTCGGAAAAGTTGTGGCGATCGCGCTCAATGTCGCCAATCATTTCAACCTCGGAAGCAGTTAAGGTGGCGATGGCTCTCGTCGAAGAAAAACATTGACCCATGCGCGCTGCATACTTGGCAATCGACTTGATGTGGGAGAAATTGCCCATCCACCTGTGGATACTGTTGACTGTGTGGCTACCGCCCTGAGAACAAAAGAACCACGCGGCATTGTCGCGCAGCTGACTAGCAGAAAATGCCAGGAACTGATACTCCCGATTACCGATCCTGATTCCGTTGGTGAGCGCGGAAAAGATGCGGTTGTAGATAGCATTGTTTTCGTTGCTGGTACTGTCCCTAGACCAGACTCTATTGTTACCCTCGTCTGAAAACTCGACCCGCAAAAAGTAGTCACTCAGCTGCGAAAAATTGCGGATGATCCTGTTGGACGTCTCGATCGTCGGCGGCTGCATATGGATGGTCGTGGGCGTCACGATCACCTTTCTGAGATACACACACTGCGGAGGCACGATGCGAGGTCGTGTCGAAACCCTGGCCAGCTTGGCAGCCTCGGCTACCAGATATTGTTTCAGGTTCCAGACGCGGCGACGGCTCGATACGATGTGCTCGAGTATCATAGAGGCCTTCAGCGGCTCCAATTGGCGGAGAAAGTCAGCGACCTCAGATGTCAGGTCGTACTCCACGATATAATTAAAGGAGAGGGCCGACTCCAACATATACAGGACCTCGAATGAAAGGGACCTGAAGGCTTCCATCTGGGGTCTTGCTGCAAGCGATCCATCCCGTACCGTGTTTGGGGCTACTTCATCCCCAAAGAGATTGAACGTCCTACATCTCCCGACAAAATGAGGCAGGTTCCTGGCGTTATCATTGCCGACCGTCAAGCGGATAACTGTCCATCGTCCTAGCTTCGCCGAACGGTTCGTCGGATTGGGTTCAACTGGGCCAGCATCGACGGCTATCGGGACGTTGAAATCAACGTCTTCTCTCGGGATATCGACCACACGTCGTAAACAGGTGCCCACTGACCACTTTTGCGGATCCGAACTCTCCATCTTCGGGTCATAGCGCCAGTACATAGGCGGTGACCGTAAATGGATTGTGATCGTCGCATAGTCCTGAAATTGATCAACTTGGATACAGCCTTTCTCCATGTCCTGAAATTTCATCTCGACCTGGTACTTAATGGTTGTATCCCTGAATTTGCGCTTGAAATTGATCTTGATCATCCGCTTCTGCTCCATGAACTGCAGTGTTACAGCGGACGTGGCAGAGAACTCGCGGCAAAAGACGTCCGGAGCAGTCTTGACGCCGAGTTCAAGCTTGTCGGCGGGTACAAGATCTGATCGGTGCCCATTCCTGGCCTCCGGCACATCCATATCGAGGAATCGGCCTTCAAATTTCGCCTTCGACAGCCCTTCAATGTCATGGGGTCGCGCCTGGAATATGACGATGGCATAGTTCCGAAGAGAGCTCTCGCTTCGCTCTATTATAACGTCTGAAATATCCCCAAAGGGTTCCAGGACTTTCTTCAGCTCCAAGGCTGTGGCGCTGTCATCCAAGTCATCCAGGTTGGTTATGCGCATTCGCAGGGTATCGCGCTCTCTTCTGGCTTTGATCTCCTGCATGAATTTGAGGCGACGAACCTCCGCATGCTCCACATGGGAGCTTAAAGCTATGGCAGGCGGAATGGACTGTCGTTGTCGTGTTGGTGAGTACAGGGGCTGGTTCCTTTGACCCTGGTGTCGCTGATTCTGCTGCGGTTGTTGTTGCTGTAGCTGCTGCTGATATTGGCGTTGATGTGATGTTGTTAATTGCTGGGAGGACAACGGGTTTACCGGCAACGAGACACTTCGGCCACCACTGAGGGGTCGATACCAGTCGTGAGAGTTCATCATCGGTAGTAAGGCAAAGGAGCGTCGAAGATAGCTTGAGGACGAGCGGAAGACGTGGTTGGGGGAGACTCGTCCGGGCGTCGCTCACTGAGAAGGCGGATGTTTGATGGAATGAAAGAAGGAAGATGAGGTCAAAAAAGAAAAAAGGAATGGTCGCTTACCACCTTTGGGTGTGATAGCCCAATTGCAATTGAGCATGTGGAAGCGCCACTACCCATATTGTTTCAAAAAGATACCACATTGGCACACTTTCAGGATCAGTATCACACACGCACGCACAATCTACATCCATTCTCAATGGGCGCAACCTGTCTTGTCCACTGGAAGGATGCCAACGGCCAACAGTCTCTCACATTGCTCTCGGACAGGCTCCTCAAGCAGTTCCATGCAAGCCCCATCGGTCGCTGGACTATCAACTGGAAGGTCTTCAGAGACACCAGTCCTGTATCAAAATCAGGGACGGGCAAGATGATGCATGTGGTTCACGTTCAGGGCGGTGCCACTGCTCGGGGTGTCCCTGCTGGATCGCAGGCTGCCAATTCCTCGGCAGGAGTCGTCTTCGCTGGAACAGGAGCAGGTGGAATGGGCGGAGCTGGCGGATCAGGAGTTGGTGGAGGTGTCGCAAGTCAAGGTGGATTGACACCTGGGCTAGCAGGGAGCGCAGGGATACCCGTGAATCCGGGTCTTGCTGGACCTGGAAAGACCGGATTAGGGGCTCTTCCATCGGGTGCAGGGCCTTCTGGAGCGGGAATCGTCGGTTCAGGAGCAGGAGCAGGAGGGGTTGGCGGTTCAGGACCATCGCAAGTGGCAGCAGAGGCATACAGTTCAACAGCATGGTGCCTTATCGATGATGGCGCGGTTGGTGCACCCTCAACCTCATCAACATCTGTTGCAACCAGTGCTGTTAACGCGCCAATGAGTGCCGCAGGCGCAGATAATATAGCAACACCTAAAAAGAGAGCAGTTCTGGTGGAGGTCGAGAGGGATATTGAAGCGTTGATTGCAAAGCTGAAGAACCTATGGGTTCATCGACAGCATGCTCAGGTGGAGGTGCGGTTTTGCGGACCTTTTTTTTAGAACCATCATGACACTTTTTGGCGGATCCCGAGCTGTTGTTGACCATGTACTGTATGCTTGAACCATTTTAGGGGCATGTGTTCGACCTTGGCGATTTTATTGTTCGCGCTGGCAACATCATGGTCGCTTCCACAAGTTACAAAGGGATACTACTAGAGGTACGTATGCCGGCAATGTCGTATCCATCCATACCGTAAGAGATGTTTATAGGACATATGTGTTGATTGCCAGCCGATTCTTTTCGTTTATATCCATCAGATCGAGTACCTCCCGCAAACTTCAAGCGCCACAGCATCAAATGCCATCCTTGAAGAATTTGTCCGCTTGATCTCCCCTCCTGGAGTGAACCTGCACTCGCCGCAGATGCTCGACTATCCATACGAGCAAGTAGGACTGAGTCCCAAAACCTGGTCTATGCTGCACTCTGGCTTCCAATATATGACCCTCTTCAGGCGACAGCACATCTTGTAAAATAAAAGCAAAATATTTTTTCCAATCCATCGTGATTCGTTTCCATGTCTACAGTTTTATTGTTCCTGACAGTTTGAGATCTACCGGAACTATCGACGTGCCTTTATCGACAAAAAAATTGATGTTCAATATTTACAGCACTACAGATGAATAAAGAGATTTGATGACAACGGTTAGCAAAGATGTCGCTTACTCAGTCTTTTGATCCTTTGGTGACGAGGTGAGCACCTTCGTTATCAAATGTATCACTTACTTTCATCATCTCCTTGAGGGGGTTTGGGGACACCACCAGCGCCGCCCATGTTGCCCATCAAACCGCGCGCCCTAGATATCAGTGTCAAAGTTGAGATGATAACCAAGTTAATATCTCGTGACTGAAAGCCAAAATAATGATGTCTTCAATTCAGACGATAGAGAACACTTACGCCTCGGCGATCTGAGGATCCCTCATCATTTCCTCAATGTTGGGGCGCCCGCCGCCAGACATCATGCGCTGAGCCATCTGCTGCATAGCTGGGTTGCTCATCAATTGGTCCAAAGCTCCGGATTGCATCATTTGCTGTGCCATGTTCATCAATGCGGGGTTACCCATCAAGCCAGCCAAGTCGGGCATGCCACCAGCGCCACCACCCAAGGCACTCAAGTCAGGGAATCCAGCGGGAAGTCCGCCGGCGCCAGCACCAGCAGCACCGCCGCGGGCAGAGGGTGCAACGTCATTGTCGCGGGCCTTGGTGCGAGCAGTAGCGAGCGAGCTCTTCATGGTTCCGTTATTGGGTTCGAGGGCCAGTCCCTTCTCATAGGCAGTGACAGCTTCCTTGTACTTGCCAACGGAGAAGTATGCGTGTCCGAGACGGCTATACGCCTTGCTGTATGAGGGATCGACTTCAGCTGCCTTCAGAGAGTCCTTGATGGCATTTTCGTGGTCACCCATCTGGCTGTGCGCAGCCGCACTATAGCAGGGAATAACAAGATACGGTCAATGAATGTCTGAGGCCAATATAGAAGAAACTCCGGATGATCGACAGCATAAAGAACGCTTCTGATGACATACCGATTAGCATAGTAGACGGCGTTCACAGGGTTCAAGACGATGGCCTCACTGTACAGGCGAATGGCCTCAGCATAGTCCTTCTCATTCACCTTGCGATTACCTAAGTGTCCGAGACAAAGCATTTGAAGCAGATTAGTAACCGAGCTCGTTTAAGTGTCATTTCGTTAAGCAATGACCGCGTGCAAAACAAAATCAAGATCTTACCGGCAACCTTCAATTCTTCGGCGTTCTTCTTTTGTTCAACAGTGGGCTCGGTGGGCTTTGGAGCAGGGGCCGACGAAGCAGGAGTGGAAGAGGTGGAGGAGGTCGAAGGGGTAGCGGCAGAATTCTATGCAGTCAGAGGGTAGATAACGTGGTCAGTCCATAGTCTACATTTGATCCAATGCTCTGATCTACAGTGTCCTCTCACTGTCGCGGGTGAATAAAAGTGTATCCTCGCAAAGGTCCTGGCTGCTGCTGTTGTACCCCTCTTGTCCAGATGAACTTTGGTGGCATCAGGCGTGCGTACTGTGTCTGAATGCCCATCACCCACATCTTCCGAGATCCTGATCCTCATTCGCGTAGAGTGTGAAGAGCTGATGCCACTGGAAATAATTGCTGGCGCATACCTTATTGCCAAGTTTCTTCTGAGCGTTCACAAAGACTTCAAAGATAGACATCAACGTGGCGGGTTTGGTGCTGTATGTCTGTGCCTGGGCGGGGTCATTCAGGTCGACACCAAAGGCCTCTCCGATGCACTGAATGGCAACTAGATGAAAATTGTAGATGTCGAGCGTGGGTGCCTTGGTTAGAACATCACTTCGTCAAAAAAGTAGCGTCTAAAAACCTCTCTCATAAAGGAGCACCAAGGGACCAGGTATCTCAATAGTAGGCATTCTGAAATGGTATCGGACATGATGAGGTTGTGATATAGTGTACCTTCGACGCCCTCAGAGTCATCCTGCTTGATGGTGCCGTTGTTGAGCGAGGTCTGGAGGAACTCGAGGATGGAGAAAACGAGGTGCTTCTGCTTTTCGTCAGCCATTGCAGTGTGAGTATGTGGGGATATGTCTGAAGGTAACGAAGAAAATGAAAGAACGGCGTGGAAACGGCCTGAATGGGAAGCTTGTTCGAGTTCAAGCCGTGTCATGTGATAAGGATCGCTCTGTAGATGTAACATGAAATAAGGTCGACTTTATTCTTTTTTGTGTGTGGTTATACAACAGCGGGTTATTGCAAAACATACGTCAGAGTGGCAAGTATCTGCTCCAGCGGATATTTATGACCAAGGGTGGACCGCAAATCCACAGTATCAATCTGAGAACATACAAGTTCTCTAAATAACATTGAGCAAGGTGTCAGGTCAGTCCTGCTGTAACCCGTCAGAATTGCCAGCTCCTCGCTCCAATCTTGGTGTATCGCACATAATGCTATCCACACAGCCTGAATTCCAAAAAAAAGAGGTGTATAGATGACCATCAGTATCAAGATGTACACAGGAACAAAGAGATGCACTGCATTAAGAGAATCATGACTTACTGCTGCCGCGATCTGAGAGTTGCTGAAATCCAAGAACTTGTAGGATATCAGGCTAAGATCACACAAAAACTGATTGGAAATGTATGTGTAAATGAGTTGGGCATGCACGCTAACGAATCCAGAATGCAGGATATTCACACTCGATGAACGCAAGACATACATCAATCAGCTCTATCACCATGGGGGGTGCAGAGATGGCGCGCTTAAAATAATCCGAAAACCCGCTGGCACTGGACACCAACACCTCGAACTTCAAGGCCACGAGTATCGACAGCTCCGTGCTGGCTATCTGTCTAGGCGTGTAGAGATCGCACAGCCTGCAGAGCTCAAATATTTCGAGTTTTATCGTGTTCTCTTCCATTTTCCTATACAAGAGAAGGCAGAAGTAAATAAATAAATAAATGATAGGAAAACCATCGGCTTTACGCGTGTAGTTGAATGCGAGCTATTGAAGGGCTGAGGATGCAGACATACCCTGCGATCATCAATGCGCACATTCCAACACATTGAAGCTGGTCCAAAGGCACCAGCGTAACACCGTGAGCGCTCAGATACCGATCCAAAAGGTTTACTGCATGATCATTTTTTTAGAAAAAAAATTAGGAGGCAGGCTTAAAAAGACATTCATTTCTCAAGAGATGACATTACCAGCAATATGGAGAGTATTGGGCTGATAGCTGAAACAGCCATAGCATAGTTCTACGAGCCATTGTACGAGGGTTGCACGATGACTAGGGAAGTCAACGTCAGGTCCCTTGTACATGTATCGATCGTACCGCCCCTAAGAGAGAAAATTAAGTGGTATCAACAGTTGTTGAAGAAGGATGGGTGAGATATTTTCAATAGGATCGCAAGGAAAACCATGATATAGTTCGAATTTCTACCTCGATCTCGAGCAGGTAATTCAAGGTGTCCTCGGCGTACTCGTTCCAGTAGGACGGATTCATTGGAAACGGGTCTAAGATCTTTAGCCGTTGACGCGATGAGGCTGTCATAGTTCAGAGCGACAAAAGAGAGAGGGGATGAGCCCAAGGAAGTTATATTCGTATGTTGTGCGACATGTGGTTCATAAAAACACACACGTCCAAGTAAGGAACACTTACTTTGTCGTGGTTGTCTAATCATCAGAGGACCGAGGGGCATGGCGCCGAGCACTACAGTAGGCTATATAGAAAATGGGAAGTAATAGATGTGTTACTTTAGTTCATTGCCATCATGTCTGTATGAATCACAGTTGACCTACTAAACCTAGTAGACCGCGTACTGTATGAGTGTGTGTACAAATAAGGAAACCTGATTTTCAGGCACGAAAATGATTCGCGCGTCAAACTGAACACACGCGATCGGAGGTAAACAAAAATAAACAAAGCAAGCAACAGCCGCCCTTGCTAGATTTACATCATGCCGTCAACCAACGCGTCTTCCCTAAAATGTAAAATGAGCACCACTAAAAGAGAGCAACAAACAAAACTATAATCAACCCTACAGCAAAATAGTCAATTGACGCGCTGCCGGCGGATAAGTTTCCTTTACCCTGCGGATATATTCGCATTAGACAATAAAACGTACAAATCCTACTTTTCTTCATGCCCCCTCAGTATACGATTGCAGATAGGGATTACGATAGAGAGAGGGTACAAATTGAGATGAGGAACCAGACCCATACGCACACATGCACGCAAACATATACAAGTACTATACATGCTTGCATACACCTAACATCCAGGAACCAAACGCCATGCTATAGCAATCGGCTCTAAAAAAAAGATAAAAAGACAAAAACACTCACCGAAGTATCAACTGCTACCTTTGAGGAGATGTCCATCAGAGGTTGCCTCGACACCTTTTTCAGAGATGGTGACTGGAGTAACTCGTTTCCCTCATCCCAGACCTCGCCAGCCCAGGCATGAATAGAGTGATTGTCATGAAGAGTGTGCCGCTGTTCCTGGGCCTTTTGGCCAATTGAAGTACTATCTCCGGCGAGGTTCATAACAAGCATCTCTCCACTGAGATATGAACCTGTTGAGCTTCGACGAAGCGGCGGCTTCTGATGCGAGGCAACCGTGCGTGCTTTTCGACCCTCCACCCCTCGTTGTGCACTCTTTTGGCGCTTGTTGCTCTCCAGTCCATCCGCATCTCCAGTCTCGCCAAAGAAGTTATATTCACTTGAACTTTGCCGCGATCCTGAGGAGGGATCTGTATCAACGACAGATTTGGGAGTGGGAAGGAGGTTGCCCCCGTTCTGCCTAGGGGGGAAGGCAATGTAATGTTGCGGATAACGTTCGCCGCTGACAATCATAGACAGAGGTCTCTTTCCACTCAAATGGCTCGAGGACCGCGGTCTGTTCGAAGGACTCTGTGGCACCATCCGGTTGGAGACCTCGGCTATTGTTGAGTTCGAGATATCGGACTCTGACCACGGACGGACATCCTCATAGATCACGAAGGTTGAGCTGCGTTGGGGATTTGTGCGGATCGAGGACATACTGATGTCAAAATCGGAGATTGTTCTGCACTTGAAAGACGAAGCACTCTGCCGCAGGGGAGGAGTGGTAGGGATGGGACTAAGATTTGATGAGGTCGATTGGACGACAGTATCGATGAAAGACGAGGGCGAAGAGGAGGAGGAGCTATCGGGAGGGGACGATAATTGCATTGCGGTTGCTGTATGGGAGTGATGGGGGCGAGTATTGGTCCGTGGCATGGCGATGGCGTCTCCAGGTAGAGTGGGAGGGGTTGTGTAGAAGGTCATGACTTTTTAGGTGTTCCCTTGGTAAGTGCAGATGATCAGGATGCGCGGAGATGAGGGATGTCGAGGTGGAGGAGGAGGGGGGAAAGGGGGAAAGCTGGGTATGCGTGAAGGTGACTACGCACGAGGGGTAGTTGTGTTAGTGTGTATGTGGGAGTGCACTTTGTTTTCTTCCTTTGAAGGGAGGGAGGGAAGGAGGGAGGAAGTCAGGGCTGCGAATGAGAAGAAAAGCGATAGAACAGGGCATGAACTGCCGAAGCTGCTGCCAGTCGCTGCCAATCGCTCCACTGCTGCTGCTGCTGCTTTTTTTTATTAGCGCCACGCGGTTCAAGCACGAAGGAGGGGGAGAAGGGAGAAAGGGCGGATGTGGAGGTGATAAGGAAAAGGGAGACGGAGCAAGACGAGCCAAGAAGAGAAGAGGGAAAGGGAAAAAAGAAGAAAGAAAGCAATTGAGAGAGAGATAGGATGGATAGATGGACTTCCGCTCACTCAGTCGAGTTAAGGGGAAGACAAAGTAAAAGAAGACCAGTGAAAGGAAGGGAGGAAGGGAGGGGGAAAAGCAATCTTTGTATGAAATGACTGGATTTGGTTGGTAGAGTGGTTTGTAATAAATCGTCGATAGAAGATGAGCCCTTCAGAAGGAAAGGGATGATGGTGTGATGTTATGCTGTTGTGTTGCGTTGTATTGCGTTGTATTGTCTAGAAGGGATAGAAGGGAGGGACAAATAAAAGTGGTGGCAACAAGACAAAGACATGGGAAGCAGCAAGACAAATGGAAGGAATAAGACGAGGATGTTGGAACAGAGCGGCAATAATGGTATAAGAGATATGATAGAAGAGATACGAAGGAACGGTGGCTGTTTGTAGGGTGCCAAAAGGCCGATGAGGTTTGCGAATCCAAGATCAAATCAGATCAGATCAGGATCAGATCAGGATCAGACCTGTTGATCTGATCTGGTCTCGAAGTGTCCAAGCTGGTATCTCCTGCAGTCCTCGTGGGAAGGCACAGCAAAATAGTATATGACGTATATAGAGTATATGAAGGAAAGAAAGCAAGGAACTATCTACATAGGGAGACCACAGAGCCTGCGTTGGTTTCCCTTATTTGTTTCCACCTGGACGCTCTCCTGTGGTTCCCTGGATCTGTGGTATCGTCATTGCGAAAAGAGGGAGTGAGGGATGTGCATGGCAAAAGAGTGTCAACAAAGGCAGGCATCATAGACCAATCTAGTGTTTGTTGCGCAAACTTGTACTGCAGCGGAGACACGCGCATCTCAATGAACTTCCCCACGGCGCCCTGGGCTGTAGCTTTGGTCCCTTAGTATAAATATTCCCAGACCCCGAACAAGCGTCTCCTCCTCAATTGCAACATCTTCACTGCCTGCTGTATACATTCCTTGCCTTCACATTCATATGTCCTAAAAGTACCAAGCACAGCGCACCAAGTCGTGCTCAGGTACTACAAACCAACCAACATCTTCAGCCATGTCCAGCACTACAACTTCGTGCCCACTACCCTTCACCTTGAGCGTCCCCTCCCCAACAGCCGACCTCACCAACTCACTTGACCCTCCACAACGACACAACCCCTCCGATACTCTCCTCATCATCATCGCCATCGTCTCCTGTATCGGTCTCCTCGGTTTCGGAATTGGATACCTTCGACTGCGCCAGATGCGACTCGTCGCCATCCGTTTTCCCTCTTCCTCCTCACTGGCGCTGCCAATGACGACCTCTTTATCTGGCGATCCCAGTGATCTGGAAGCAGGCACTAACTGCAGTCGTACGAGATTGAACATACAATCGCCACAGCCTCAACCTCCACTACCAATCTATACAGCAGCACAGGTACCAGAGAATCTATACTCCGAACATCAACACACAGGCAAAGCGCCACCACCGCCGCCTTATTACCAGCACATGGCGCAAGAATAGGATCAGCCCCCCCGCTTATCGCTGGTCGCACGGATTTTCCCATTCCCCCATCTTTCCATGCGTCCATGCAGCCAACGTCTTGTATTGTACCTTGTCTAAACAGCCTTGACGCATTTTCTAGATCTTTTTCTTTTCTTTTTTTTACGCCGACTTGCAAAAGCCCATCAGGCTAAACGGTATATCCAAAATACAGACCCACAACAGCCTGTAACACAACAATTCCATCCTCTGTTCCGTTCTCTTTCGCTGCTCTTTGATCTATATGCATCTTTATAGCCCCCCGGGACGCCTTCTCTCTTTCCTTCTTCCAAATACCAGTTAATGTTGCATCCAATGATCTCAGCACAGGCACTTTCCCCTTTTTCTTTTCTGTTTTTATTACTATCGGTGGGATCGGTTTTTTCTTCCTATATCTCTAGAGCTGCGCCCGATCACACACGTTCATCGGAGTGAGTTGAAAATCTCATCCGCAAAATTTATCAAAACTATCCAGCAACTATTATCCATTTGTAAATTAAATGTCGTTGTTAGTTTCATATACCATTTATCGCAGTAGCATCAGAAATAAAGATAAATACATGCCTGATCCAACAATCTCATCCGCTCTCTGCAAGGCCTCAATCATCTTCTTGCACTCCTTGCGACGGTTCTGTGTAAATTCACTCTCCTTCAGTAGCTCGTCCAGAACATCAGCCTTGTACAGCTCCTGGAGCAATTCGCGCTGGAGCTCTTCCTTAGCATTATTAACGAGTTTGAGCATGATCGCCTTGGGAACCGTGTCAATGACCGTGCGCTTGACAATATTGAAATACGAAGAGATCAGCAGCTCTGAAAAAAGTCATAAAAGATGTTGGGCCGTTTAGAACATACGTATTTCTGTAAAAATAGCCTGAGTAGCACTACACTTCGCTATGCCATTAACAAAAGACCACTTACTAATAACTTCAGTCTCGATCTGTTCGCGCTCCGAGAGGTTTCCGGAGGCCTTAAGGACAGATGGTGGGGGCTCCATGACACCGGGGCGCTTCTTCTTGCCAGAGAAAAAGCTTCCAAAAAAGCCATTGTTTGTGGGCTCCGCTTCGAGACTTGGGGGTAAGTTTGCAATTGCTGAATTACGGCCCTTAGGATCAACGGGCTGAGGGTTCTTGGCCTGATTCATGCGCTCATTGATGACAGCCATGGCTTTGTGTCCGTTCAAGAAATCGGGGTGACCGGTGTTGATATAAACTGATTCCATGCTACGCGCATGTGCAAAAAAAAAAAAGAAAGAAAGAAAAGAAAAGAAAAAAGGTGTAAGTATTAAAGTCTAGCAAACATAAAAGAAAATACAGAACATTCAGAAATGTTATTGATAGCCGTGCAGTACCCAATCAGATCTTGAACCAACTTGTTGGTGGGGTTCAATTGCTTGCGGAAAAAGTTAATGACAACCTGGTAGAAGCGATCCTTGAGCTGAGGAAATCGCTTGAAGAGCTGTTCATAGAGGGAGCGCAAAGGTTAGCTCATGTTTTATGTCATATCCAACAATTTGACGCCCATAACACTTGATACAATGTATTCATACCTGCTTCGCCAGGAGCTGGGTCAAAATGCGAACCAATTCATCAAACACCAAGTTGACGCAACGCAAACTAGGGTCCTCCAAGCGCTTGATCTGCTGCTTGATAATGACTTCGAATGCTGTGGTGCCGACAAACAGAGCTGGCGATGAACCCTAGTTGATGTATATCAACATCAACGAAATCGATTAGAGGGGTATTCAGCATTAATATTCGTTTAAGCTTTGAAGGACATTTCGCAATCGACACCTGTGCTTACAGAAGAATTGTAGAGGATAATACGGATGTCGAGGTCCTTAACCTGGTCGAAAGGATCCAGAGATTTGACTCCGTTGGCGTATAGTTCATGGAATACAAAGCTGATGCGGGCGCCTCCAGAGAGCTCGAAAGAGGAGAGATCGGTTGAGTTACCATCGATGATGGTGCGGAACTCTGTGCAAAATTCCGTGATGATGTTGAGAACAATATTGGCCTGTCCGGCTCCCTCCATCATTCCGTCTCCAAGAGTGGCGAGCTCAGCAAGGTACTTGGCAAGGGCAGCCTGAATCTTTGCTTTGATCTCTGGCAATGTGTTGCGGATATGGTGCATCAAAATCTATTTAGTACAAAAGGACCCATGCTGTTATTTAGTACTTCCGGCCTTGGTTCGCCACGTTCCCACGTTCCCATGTTCCCAATACTATCCAAAAGCATCAGCGTACCATATTCAATTTCCTCGCAAGGTATGGGGTACCGCAGTACTGAGCCTTGCTCTTGTACGCTGCGTGATTCTCAAAGAAGGCACGCTCAGCATCCAAAGATCTGCTGATAGGCTTCTTGGTGTCGATATCGCGCTGACCACGGTTAACAACAGGGACATAGCCAAGACGAAGAGGGATAATACGACCAGCCAAAATATCCACGACATCCGTGCCTGAGTCCCTATAAGATCAAGACATTATTGGGCGTTAATAAAAGCATCGGAACCATGCAGTAAAATATCCTCACAGTGCTTGAAATGATTTGATTGCCTGTTGGCTTACATCAAATCAACTTTAGTCAAGACTCCGATGGTTCTGGCTCCCTCAGGATCAACATCACGGGCCAGGCGAAGTCCGTCAGAGTTGGCGAGGTCGACATTGGCGGCAGTCACCGCGAGGATAATGGAATTGGGCTTAGTGATATACTTGATGATCATATCCCTAATCTGCTTCTCAATATCCTTTGGTTGGTCTCCAACAGGCAACTATGGTCATTTCAGACACGGCATATATTGGTAGTGGTTAGATAGGCACAGCAGGGTTATTTCATAGTCTTTTTAACAATGATATTGTGGATGCAATACCCTGGTCAATCCGGGCAAATCGACAAGGGTGAGGGTCAAGACATGAGGGGAGTAGATGCGGAGATTGATAGGTAGAGGGGAGATCCCTAATGATAAACGAAAGACAGGTAAAATCAGAATTCAGTATCCGCTCCTTTCATGATTTTCTTGAAAATCTATTTTGCCACCACATTTGCAAGCAACAGGCATACCGGCGTTCTTTCCAGTCTTGGCTTCGGTGTCGCGGACAATTTCTTCACGGATCAGGTTGAAGTCCGTATACTTGACTCCGGGCTGGTGCAAAAACTCACCCCATTCCTCAGCTTCCTTCTTGTCCTCATCAGCGTCTCTCTTGACATCTAATTTGAACAATTGCCCAATACATATGGCAGATGTAAGTAAACTGCGTCGGTAGGTAGTCGCCTGGTCCCCCTATATCTTCCATTCCATTCAAGCTCAGGGGATCAACGTTCGAGATGGCATGCGTGATAGGGTTGAATCACATGAATCCAGGCACAGTCGCGACTCTGAAAGCCTGTGATAGCGCTCTGTTGACATATCCCTGCTGAACAGCAACTGAAGGGTAGCCAGTAAATATGAACTTGCCATTCTCCTTGTCTCCTTCCTCTGCGCTGGCATTGCCCGAGGGCCGGTTGATCAGTTGTAGGACCTAGAGCATAAAGTGCCGTTGGATTGATGAGTATAGCGAGCGGATGAGAGCCATTCCAGTACAGCGTGAGAACTGGCATGGACACAGCAGAGGAGAGGGTCAACATACCAATGGGCGGCGTGTCACAATGCCAGAGCCGCGGGGCAAGAAGTCGCGTCCAACAATGTTTTCGAGAACGGAGCTCTTTCCAGAGGATTGAGAGCCGATGACGACGATCTGTGGCAAGTCAACTGGGTTGTGGACACCGACAGTTGAGAAGGCATCCTGCAGCTTGTTAATGGTCCTGATGAGTGTTGCGTCCATGGTGTGTTTCGATGCACAAACAGAGTCGAACAAGGATAGTAAAGGACGTTTCTCTTTTGTTTCGGTCGGTGGTCCTTTCTGACTTGGCAAAGAGCGGATGACAGAAAAGGAAAGAATGAAAGAATGAAGAGAAAAGAGACTAGATGTGAAAGAAAAGGTATTGAAGTACTGTGTCTATTCTCTTGTGTGAGTGCCAAGACAATTTTCCTGCGAAAGACCCAAGGAGAAAGAGAGTGGAATAGGACTCCATTGGAGGAAAGGTCAACCATACGAGCGCGGAGAAAGCCCTCTGTGTCCCCAGTGACAAGTTCGCGCAATTGTGCATTCTTGTTCAGAGGCATATCCCGCCAAAGCCGCGCTGGACCTGAGCCCGTCTGCGGCATGGAGGTTCTTGCAACAAAAAGGCGGGGGAGGATCGCATCTGTAATCCACGTGAGAGACAAGGAGGACCCCTGGAAAGATAACCTTATTTCGGTTACACAGACATAAGAAAACTTCCATTTCTCACATGCCACAATCAGTTTCACCATTCCATCATCCACCTTTCACCTGCTGTATGCTCTCCATGGACTGGCCTCGTCATAGGAGAATCCGACTCCTCCTTCACCGGAGACTACGGAGCTTCAGGGCAAACTTTCGATTGCACACTCGAAGGAACGTCCTGATCCTCCTGATCTCCTCTTTTGTCCTCCTCCAGCTCATCTCCAGGACGACACAGTACTACAGCTCCGTCGAACACCGCTGGCGACAACTGCAAAGTCTTGCAAAACCAGGCATTTTTGGTGCGCCCTCAGATGTGGGCCTGAATACGGAGGACGATGTACGCGTGCAGCTGTGTGACATCGACAATATCCTCTGCTCCTCATGGGACATGCGGCGTGTCTGGAGCGGCGAAGAACTGATGATGGATGAGTCGTGGCTAATGCCTGGCCGGATCAAAGTGCCAATTGGCGTTCAGGCTGTGCTGACGATGAAGAATAATCGAAGACAGATACTCGGATATGGTCAACACATCTGCGGTCGTGGAACTCTCACTTGCAAACAGATAAAGACGATGGAAGTCGAAGGTAAAGCGAAACCGGCTCCTTGATATCCGTGCCGACCTTTCCACATTTCAAATTACGACAGCCAATAATAAGCAATTGAGCAACTTACATAATCATTGTTCAATTGTTATGCCTAACCCAATAGAAAGTATTCTCTCTGCCATTGATGCTATCTCACAAGCGTGTTCCAAAGAGCATTGGACTACAGAACCAGCAATCGTGCACACAATCCGGCCAAAACGAACCTTCTCCAATAGGGATGTCACCATGATCGCACAGTTTTCGATCAGTCGCTTGGACCGGTTCGAACACGCAAGGGTTGTCTGGGATGGTCCCATATCCGTCGTGATGTAAGGTGGATGCTCCATTTTCTTTTAAAACGCGATATTGCTTTGTGGATAACGCCATTGACGAGAAGCTGCATTCACCAACTACGACAGATTTCTGGCGACCAATTTGGACATTGTCGAGCTCCGAAAGTACTTTGAGCGCCCTGGCAAACTGGCATTATATGACTCGACTACGTTGACTATCGTGAAGCCCAATTACTCCCTCGGCACTCATAAACGGTACCCAATTAATCACCTGAGGAACGTCGGCATTCAAACCGCCTCTACCGATTATATTTATGTCATCGATGCCGATTTCGTACCCACCTCAAAACTATACAATTTCGCCCGCACAACGCTCGTACCACTTTTGGAGAAGGCGACCCATCCGGTCGCGTATGTGGTTCCCTGTCTTGCAATCAAGGAGGACTATAAAGGCAGGTACCCGGACACGATCAAGGAACTGCAGCCACTGATGAAGTCGGGCATGGCTTACATAACAGATCCAAGGTCAGGACACGGACCCACGTTCACCTCCATCTTTACGAACACGGCGCTCCTCGGCAACTCGCCTGCATATGAAGTCTGCTACGAATCGCAATGGGAGCCCTACTATATAGTCAAGCGCACCATTCCCCATCCTTACTACGATGAAAGATTCAAAAATCAAGGCGGGGACAAGCAGAGCCATGCGCTTCTTATGAACGCGATTGGGTTCAAGTTTCTGGTTTTGAGAGATCACTTTATGTACCACTTAGATCACCCAAAGTTGAAGTGGACAGGTGATGGCCTCGATCAGGCGAAGCAGAAGGACTACACGTACTTTTCGGATTATGCTCCTGCACTTGAGAGGATATTCGGGAGCAACTACCGGTGGCCAAGAGGATGCTCCCGTCCGCTTGTCCAATCTTTCAAGCGCGATCTGCAGGGCATCGGAACCATGTAACATTAGGTTGCTCTTTGTTGTTTCATTTTCATTTGTAAACTTGTACTTTATCATTTCACATAGACCCGTGTTGTAGATACTATTGACGCCTCAATAAACACTCGTCGCTGGCAACCTCCTTACTCTACATGCCATGAGATTCATTCCATACCAGCGTTCTGGATTTTGCACTTGAGCATTCTTCTTTTCGGATCGTAATTCAGCACTCTTTTCTCTTCCTTTAAAGTTTTTGCGTTTCGCTTTCCTTCTTGGCCTTCTCTCTCATTCTCGTATTCTACTCCAGTCATCAACCCAGTTTCGATTTCACTCTCTCACTACAGACCATGAAGTCGCGCTTCACTATGTTCGCCCTATGGCCTATGACGATACTCCCTTCCATACTGATAACAACTCCATCACAGGTCAAATCCAGGAACGTTACGCTGAACGTCCTGACAAATAACGTGTACTTTTTAACAGAAATACCGAATTGGGGACAAAGTATGTATTTTCGATTTGACGCGTCGCGCGGTGTCGATCTGTGATTTCACATGGGCTTCATCCTCACATCGTTCATGGGCTCACTTTATTTTCCTTTACATAGGAACTCATATCGTCGGCTCGGATTATATCAAGGGCTTTGATGTGGTGGTCTTCGAGGAATGCTTTGCTGCTACTCCTTGTAGCATTCTGCGCGACGGACTCAAAAACCAATGTAAGTGAAGCGTCTATTTTGCTGCCTACTGGGGGGTTCTGTTAATTATAAGGTTGGCATACTAAGAAGGGTCTCGTTCTTATTTTTGTTATCCTTGTCGCTTTGGCTTTCCATGGAATTGAAGACTCGTATCACAACTTCGGAGTAGGACTCTACATTGGATAGCTTCTCTTCGTTCCAATTGAAGAATGGGGGCGTAGTCGTCATAAGTAAGTGCCCCATCAAGCAAAAGCACCAATACGTCTTTCCTGGTGGATGCGGTGTAGACAGGTAAATCTATAACGTATTAAGCGAGAAGAACACGCGCTCCCCTGTTTCTATATTTCTCTAATACCTTTATTTCTTGTCTACTGCTCCGGGTAGGTTTTTTTTTTTAATGCCTTCCAGACTCGCCAATAAAGGATTTGTCTATGTGGTGGTCGACTACGAGGGCATGAATCTGCACGTCTTTGCGACACATATGTAAAATGACGATGTCAACTGCTACGCAGGCGAAGCAACTCTATACAGAGCTCAAAACATGGCTGCTTGGCGAAAGTTCATTGACAGCCGCCAGATCCCGTCTAACGAACTGATCGTAGTGGCGGGAGCCTTTAACGTCCAGAGAGATAGCCCTGAATTCAACAACAGTCTTGTAGAACGACTGGGTGTTCATCCACCCGATGTGTACGACGGGCATGCGTCCACCTGGGACCCGATTGAGGTAAACCATTAAAGAACCAGCAAAGAAGAAGCGCTCTTTCTGAACAAAAAACGAACCGGCGCAATACAACTAACACTAACTTCTTCTCATTACGAACCGGGACCTTTGGTCTTAGAACTCCATTGCGCATAATAGCTATCCCGAGAGGAAGGACGGCGACTACCTCGATTTTGTGTTTGTCGACAAGTCACACAGTAGTGGTATGAACACTATCGTGCAGACGGTGCTCAAGGTGCGTTCGCCCAATCTCGTGCTTGGACGCGAAGTCTTTGACGACTTTTCAGACCACTTTCCAGTCAAGGTTGCTATTGATCTAGTCTTGCTTGATCCGCTAGAGCCAAAGAAAGAAGCGCCCGAATCCAAAGAGGAGGTGCCACCAGTCGTGCTTCAAAAACCGACTCCATGAGCCCCTTCATATTACAAGAACCTTTTGTATTCTTTGCAAGAGTAATTTTACTTGTAACAATAAATAACGATTGTCCAATGTTTTACTTTCATATAGGCTGGTTCTTCGGAGCAACAACAGTGGGATCACTGGAGCGACGGAAAGAGATCTTGCGCCAAAGTAATCCTGGCGTAGACTTGGCTGGTATCTAAGAGATGGCGAGGATGATAATACCGGCTACAATGGCGGCAATAAGTAGCAGGTAGCACGACTTGCTCTGTGCCTCCTTTTGATGCTTCGCTGCGACCGTCAGTTCCTCTGCTGCTGTTTGTGTAGTCATACTGACCGACGTGACATTGGACTCGATTGAATCTAAGGATGTTTGAGGACGGATTTTAATTAATACTGCTATAGGTAAGCGCAATATAGAAAAATAAATGCGGGGATGCATAAAAGTCAGCTTACCCAACATGTTGCCCTGTTCATGGACCATGGTACCGAGATCACGGAAGATCTCATTCAGCTCTGTAATTCCTTGCTCGATCTCCAGGATCTCTCCCTCACGCTGCGTAATCATGGACTCGTTATACTCCAGTTCATTGTCGACGACAAGCAGTTGCATGCGCCTTTGATCATTGTTGAGCAACGGCTGTTCCCCACCTTGATTAACCTCCTCCTCCGTCTCGCTACTAAGCGCAAAAACATAGATCACAAAGGCATTGGTTATCACTTCTTTTTTTTTTTTTTTTTTTTTTTCTGATTGCAGAAACGATGGGATGCATAAAGTATGAGGGAGAAGACTTCATAAACTTACGAATAGCTATTGCGTGAGCCCACTTGACGCGCCTTGAACACAAAGTCGCGTTGCTTCTCTGCCGAGACTCTTTGAATCTTTTGGAACTCGACCAGGATTTTTGAAAAGTCCTTTGAGACCTTTTGGGTCTCCAGTTTTTTCTACGGTGGGCGAAGCAAAAAAAGACAGAGTTAAACCTCTAAAACATTTGTTTCTCATTCGTGGGGTACGACATCTTCAACGGCGTAGCTATTAGATCTTACACCAGCCGCATCGAATTTGGTCAGATCCTTGATGTCTTGGCTGGTGTCACGCACAAGGTTGCGGGTCTGTTCTGTCACGTCTTGTCTATACACGTCGATACAAACACCAGAAAAGGGTGTTAGGTTTCCATGATGTCTTTGCAGCACCATCGTACACATCACTTTGGCCATTATAAATATGAGCATAAGTTCAGGATGCATGGTAAGTCTGACATACAGTTTTGTCCTGACATCCTGCGAATCTTTGGTTGTACCGAGATAGCCGACAAGGCGCTGTATTGACGAGACATTGGAGGAGATGCGGAAGACCTGCTGCGAGATGTGATTGATCTTTGCTTGAAACGCATGCACGCTCACTAGAATATTAGGTGCAAAACGCGAGAGATAGAGAGAAAGAAATAGAGAGGGAGTAAGCTGAGTAAGCTAAAGATGGACAGAGGATGAGGGGCACTGGAGATTCAGGCACAGAGAGGAAGCCAGGTGCAAAATAGTGGAAGTTGAAATGCAACTGGGAACTGATAATGGAGAATATATCCAATTGGGGTATGCAATTGGGCACGCAGCGTGTTGCAGGGGGGAGGGGATTCAAAGTGCTATGTTACCATCTCCAAGGTCTGGTCCTCCTTGGTTCCATCGTTTGGCATTGCCATGGCCACCGGCATTGGAGCTGAGGCTGCTGCGATCCATTAGATTAGGGCCGCCTGAGACACGACCTCGGTTGTGTCCCCCGCCCTCGCCTCGTTCCAAATCAGCAAAAGACATCTATTTTTTTTTTATCTTCTCGGGTGCAGATCAGGGGATCTGTGGTATAGGGATGAGTGAGTGGGGTATCAAAGGGAGGGAGGGAGGGAGCACGGTGAAGTAAAGAGGAGAGAGTAAAGTAAAGAGGGCGGATATTGGTTGAAGTTGCACAACAACAACAACAAAAGGAACAGCAGCAGCAGTTGTAAAGAGAAAAAATAAGGGCCTTTGGGAGGGCAATTGGCAATTGGCGACCGAGGGGAGGAAGAGGGACACACATTCTGCGCGCTGGAAAGTGACGTTCCTTTCTCCCTGCTGGCTCAGGAGGGTTGACACAGAACCATCACCCATCGACTCCACCCGCCATTGAGCCCTCTCCTCCTCCTTCCTTTCATCTCCACTGTCGGGACTAGCACGCGTCATCGTCCTTGACCAGCAGCACATTTCGCTTTCTCAACTGACCACAAGCACCTTTTCCATCACTCCTCGCACAGAATGCAGCACGACTCAGCTGCTCCACCCAACGGCAATGGCACTGCTGGACTCGGACTTGGCTTCAGCAACGGTTCCCGTCCTTATAATCGCAATGGATATCCTCAGACTGAGTCTAGTCTCGACCCAATTGCCTCCAGGCGCCTTCACGGATCCACCACCTCGTCCTCAACTTCTTCGTCTTCCTCGACGCCTGTATCGTCCCTCGCCACAGGCTCCTCCCGACCTTTTATCCGTCCACACCATACCTCACGACGAGACAGCACAGCCTCAAGTTACAGCACTCTCTCTGAAGCGTATGTGGATCAAAAAGCTGGTGGTGTTGATCTGGTGTCCCCCCCTCCCCCACTATAGTACTGACGCAAGTTTCTTTATACTATTTTGTTTCTTAGTTCACAGCCATGGACAAGGGCAGATATCGGATTCAATGGTATGTTCCGGGTTTAGAACCGATCTCAGATGACTTTTACTTGCAGATAGTATAGCGCTAACGCCTTCATACTTGGGACTCTTTGCTTTGTGGAACTAGCCATCTCTGGGGTTCTGAACAACCCAACGAAGCGACCTTCATCAACTGCAAAGCCAACCAAAACCGATATACCCCCAGTGACACCAGTCCCGATCCGCAAAGTAAAGGCATCGGAATTCGACAGCTACATAAAACACATCACGCCCGTGTTTGAAAGATACCAGAATAACAGAGCAGGAGTCAGGCCATCAGATGGAGCAAACGCACACTCTCCCCGCTCACCTTTTGAATCGTCTTTCGAGTCATTGGCGAGTCAACTACAACCACAGATAATGAGCCCGCCCTTAACACAATCGTCAGCAATGGTCATGGACAGGACCGAGAGCGCGCGCAATCCATATTCAGTACCCGATATGCCCGAGACTAAGGAACCAGTGCCGATGAAGCCCTCTCTGCCTGACACACCTGCGCTTGACACGGTGCCGTCCATCTTTTTCGATCCAAACTTTAACTTTGAGAACCCAAGAACATTCGACCTTGTCTGCGAGCAAACTGGACCATCGGATGCAAAGAATAATACCACGTCAATCGTGACCAACAGCATCCTTCAGGAGAAATTGTCCCATTATCTTGACACAGTCGAAATTCACTTGATGACCGAGATTTCACGGCGATCGACTTCGTTCTTCGAGGCGCTTTCCAACCTTCAGGCACTGCATTCCCAGACATTGGAGTGCGTATCCCAAATCCACGTCCTTCGAGCGCAATTGGCAAGAATCGATAACACGCAATCTAAACAGGGACTGGAGGTCGTTCGTCTCAAAAGACGCAGGAGGAACCTTGGCTTATTGCACAACGGGATTCGCATGGTCAAAGAAATTCGATCGACGCAACCAATGATTCAAGTCCTACTTGGTAATGGTAACTACTTTGGTGCACTGGATCTCATTGATGGCGCTCAAAGAGTCCTCATAGATGGAGACATGAAGCACTTAGAGGCGACACCTGGATTCGACCCGAGTCTCGCTCTTATTCCTTCCTCCTCTGCTATCCTCTCTTCACCACGGTCACTGGACATTCGTGGCGTGTTGGCTCTTGTTCACTTTGGTGGTCAGCTCACAGAGATGAGGAAAATGATTGGGAAGATGATGGAAAGTGACCTTGTGAACCTGCTGCTGAACGACTTTCGTGCGCGAATCGGAAAGCTGGATGTTGCCACTCTATTGACAGACCTTGGAAAAGTCGATACTACCAACACAAAATTCACGAAACCCAACTTCAACCGAGGCATCAACCCGCTCCTGTCAAAGCAGGTCGAGCTTGAGCGCGACCTTCAAGACAAGATGCTGCCATTAATTCAAGGGCTGCTCAGGACGAATCGGGCAGGAATCGCACTTCAGACGTACAGAGAACAGATTTTACAGGAGATCAAGAACATTATCAAATCTGTAAGTCTTTATCTGCGGCATCCACCAAGCCCGACTTGCCCTCAGCTGAGGAGAGCTACTGGTTTTAATGAATCATTCTTCTATTAATGACGTTAGCAATACCCACCTCCTGATCCAAACGCAGCTAACTCGATTGGTCCAGTATCCGCCAAGAAAAAGGACCAAATGTAGGTCAAGCAACGTCTGGATACGAAATCACTGAATCCTATGATAATCCATACTAATATCTCGACATTTTATACCATTTAATTTGATAGGGCGGCATTGACGAAACAACTACGGGAAATGGACCCATTGACTTTCTACAAGATGCTGTCTTACAGTTATGCATTCTTGTTAGGGGCGTTCCAAAGGGTGTCGCTCTATCACCAGCTTATGCTCCACTGTGTCCGGAAAGCGGAGGCTCAGGGTACGGGCCAGTTGATCATAGTTGATTCAGCGTCAGATTCCGACAGCATGCAGGAGTCCGCATCGATCCGTGAGATGAAAGACGGGGAGGATGAGAATGGTGAATATGAGGAACCAGAGGAAGACCAGGGCAGATCAGATGGAGAAAGCGCTGGTTTCAGTCTAGGAACAAATACGCCAGGATCGACGCCCTTGCAGTCAGGTAGGAAACGGATAGTCGCCCCTGGAGGTAGCAAAATAACATCGCCAAGGACACCCTTTGGTGGCACAGCTCAGTCTCCGCCAATCCATGGATTCGCAGCATTGCAACTCGAGGAGAACGAGGACGGTTATCTGAGTGCTAGTGCCGTAACTCAATTATTTCGCCAGCTCGAGACAGAGTCGGAGGAAATTCTGTTCGCGGCCGCAGACTTGGCCCATTCGCGGTGTGCAAAGCTGATGGGCATGAGGAGCGAGCAAAGCGCCAAGCTTCTGCCAGCGGAGGTCTACAAGCTGCTGAGGCTGACTTGGTCCTTTGTTCTTCAAAGCGAGCTCTTGTCTGGGTATATGTGTTATGGCCTGAGAACAGCTATTCTTTCTCAGGTGAGCACCTTTTATCTTTTGTTTGAGCTGTCTACATGACTACGCTCGTGCAGTACTAACGAAGTGTCCCGCTGTTTGAAACCCAATTACATCTTTAGTCCAAGGCATTCCTACTGCAGTTCCATATCGAAAAGACAAGCCAACTTGCGCTTTCTGTCGGAGAGGATCAGTGGGTCCAGGTAGAGGTGCCATGGTCTTCTCAGGCGACTGCGAACGGGATTGTCGCCATATCGACACTTAGTTTGCAGGAGGCCCGCAACGAAGACTTTACAATGGCGTTCAATATACTTCAGTTGGCAGCTCCACCGCCGGTTCAGGGAATAGACGATCACGACAGCTTTATTTCATCACATCTGGCGTCCAAGGGGTCGAATGGATCGGTCAACAGTGGCAAAAGGGGCGCCAAAGCAGAAGTTCCGGCACCAACGCGCGTTCTCTCGATTCGGGATGAAGTCTTTTTCGTTGTTAGCTGTTCATTGGTGCTGCTGGACATTTTGGCAGAGTATCTCGATATACTTAACAACATCTCGGCACTTACAACGGATGTCATGCAGCGTGTTATCGAGTTACTGAAGGTACAAATCCTTCTTCCATTTTGCAAAGCGTTCAACTTTCAAGGACTTTTATGCCAACCACGAATTATCAAAAAAAATTTCTAGCTGTTCAACTCAAGGACATGTCAAGTTATTCTTGGTGCTGGAGCAATGCGATCAGCAGGACTAAAAAATATCACAGCAAAACACCTGGCTCTAGCGTCGCAGTCGTTGAGTGTCTTTGCCACACTGATCCCGTATGTCAAGGACTGGATACGCTCCAAGATGACGGACAAGCAAATGGTTATGCTGACAGAGTTTGATAGGATTCTTCGGGACTTTCAAGAGCACCAGAACGAGATTCACGCTAAATTGGTGACGATCATGACAGAGCGTCTCGCTCTCCATATGCGATCCATGGTCAACCCTGCGGTTGTCGACTATGATGCACTCAACAAACCTGCCCAACAGCTCGCTAACGGCGGAGGAAACGTGAATACCTTTATGGATTCTTTGGTTAAGGATGCCATCACTCTTCACAAAGTCTTGAGCCGCTTCCTGCCTGCCGCATCCATGCGGGTAAGCATGTTGTGTTAAGTGAGTTTTCTCATATAAATCCGGCCCCATGATGCTAACGACATCCTTTTATTGACAACTCTAGAGGGTTATCGACGAGGTTCTGCAAATGTTTACCACAAGACTCGAGGAGGAGATCCAGAAACTGCCTATTACGACGCCACTTGGGAAGACCAGGTGCGTTCATATTGATGGTACTTCAATGTCTGCTTGCATTTGCATGTTGACTGACAATGTCGCGCTATATTTCATTTAAATAGGTTACAGGCGGATATGGCATACTTCGGACAGAAGCTGGGGCCATTGGATCCCAATGGCATTATCGGAGCAAGGCTGATGAAGCAGGTCAAGGAGCTGGATCTCGCGGACAAGAAGAGCGGGACAGCCGCTGCTGCTTCAACAAATGCAGTCATTGCTGCAGCCACCGTCTCCACAAGCACCTCCAATGTTTAAGCGTACGAATTTCCATAGATCACACAGCCTTGAAAATACACAGGTTCTTGTGTCGCTGTCACTAAATTTTATGGCCCATAAGACAAAATGAATGTCACAGCACTGGGGTTCCTCCTCTTTATTCATTAATCCACAATATGGGTACGAGAGACTCTGCAGTTGCCTTATTCGGAAGGCGCTTGTGCTCCACGTTATGATTGGACTCTTGCCGACTGCGGCTGCCATCCATGTGTTGACCATGGCCCAAAGACATGAAACTAACCATCGATCTGTGCATCTTGTCTATCCATCTGTCAATATATCCATCGGAATTACCGTTATCATTAATTCCATCATCCTCATTGCCGTTGGTGTCGCTCACCGGACCACGATAACTACTTGGAATCATAATCGCCATTAACCTCGACTTTGTCTGGCATTCAACACAACAACTCATCTTGGACCCAAACGAACGACGATACCGGAAACAATCAACAAACGTGTCGTAACGCTGATTCACCACGCTTCCGCACTGACCGTGATTCTCCATCCACGACGATCTACCTCATCACTATGATCTGCCGACTGTACCCAACCCCTCAACAGCCGTTGGAAAGAATAAGCGTCTCTCGAAAGGCAAGAAGGGTCTCAAGAAGAAGGTGTAAAGTATCGTTCCAGGACTATCAGACTATCAGTACCCATCTTCTTTGGAGTCTACTCGTGTACACGCAGACAGAGGGTTCAGTCAGGAATCTGGATGGAGGAAGAGGTCTTGTAAAAATGAAAAAGCAGGCCCGATGAAGGATTCGTGATTCATTCGCCTTTTGTTCAGCAACGGATCAGTCTTTATTCGAAGATTTGGGGCAGCGTTGGCATAGGTCCAGCCAGAACAGGCGATTTCACTATTGCTTATGGCAGCAGCACCAGCAATATGATCTATGCAGCGAGCAACTTCAGCAGATATTAAGGCGGCGAACACGCGGCTTTCTCTATCCAGATGGCGGCAGCACAGTACTGGACTTCAGTGAGGCCAGCAGACAGAAGTCGGCGCAGGGTGCGCTCAATTTGGGCACTGAAAACATATCATGTAGCATCCAGCTCCAGCAATTCTTACACATTCATCAGTACACACCCTTGCACCTTACCAGCGACAAACATCATCTCGGCACTATCTGCATGGAGCAATAGGACACCAATGAGCGGCATGGGAATTTCGAATATTCATATCGAGCAAAAGTTAGAGAGGCATGGATCCATGATGCTGATATTGCTTTTATCATCGTTGGTGCAATACATTAGTGTCGATCCCTTCACCCGCAAGGACTGGTATGATATCAAGGCTCCTTCGACCTTTGACGTTCGCAACGTTGGCAAGACCCTCGTCAACCGTACCCAGGGTATGAAGAACGCCAACGATGCCTTGAAGGGCCGTGTCCTTGAGATCTCTCTCGCTGACTTGAACAAGAACGAGGAGTACTCGTTCCGCAAGGTCAAGCTGAGAGTTGATGAGGTCCAGGGCAAGAACTGCCTCACTAACTTCCACGGTATGGACATGACCTCGGACAAGCTCCGCTCCATGGTCCGCAAGTGGCAGGTACGATAGCACGCCTCATTCACTTAGTTTTCTTGGACTACAGGGATCTCGAAGGCGTCGAATGAGCGAATCCTGTTTTTTCAGGATGCAGCTGCTAATATTGTTTCTTTTATTATGTTGTTACAACAAAATAGTCCATCATCGAGGCACACGTCGATGTCAAGACCACTGATGGCTACTTGCTCCGCCTCTTTGCTGTTGCCTTCACCAAGAAGGGTATGAACCAGGTCAAGAAGACCACCTACGCCCAGTCTGCTCAGATCCGTCAGATTCGCAAGAAGATGTTCGAGATTATGATTGCCCAGGCTACCTCGTGCGACTTGAAGGAGCTCGTCCACAAGTTCATCCCTGAGGTCATTGGAAACGAGATTGAGAAGTCTTGCAAGTCCATCTACCCCCTCCGCGATGTCTTCATCCGCAAGGTCAAGATCCTTAAGGCCCCCAAGTTCGATCTTGGCAAGCTCCTCGAGCTCCACTCTGGTGCTGACAACGAGACCGGCGCCAAGGTCGACCGCAAGGACTTCAAGGAGCCCGAGGTCCTCGCTGAAGTTTAAGAGTTGCTTTTGTTTCGAGCAGTTTGAAAGACTTCTTTGAGTTCCTACCACCACATTGAGAAAAATAAACACTTTTCGTGATCGTGCGACACGGCCATCTTAGTTCTATCTTTGCCCTGTGCTCAATGCATGTCTAATTTGAAGTAGATTTTACGCAAGTGTCCTGGCAGAGAGCGAATGATCTTCTCTGTGACATGCTGGTCGAAGCATGTGTACTACAGCGATGTTGTCTGTGATGTTACCTGTTAAGAGTCTTCTGGATGGTCAGCAACTTGCCAGTTTGGTGTTTTTCTCGACTGAAAGTTGGCCCATATTTTAGTGTACAGACACATGCCCTTCTTCCCGTTACTGCAGGGAGCGCACCAGAACTGCCAGACCTCGAAGATTGATCATCGTTTGATCAAGTACATACGGACACGGCTCCAACGTTACATTTCTGGAAGTCATCAAGGCTTTAAACAACCACTTGATAAGGAAAAGATGTGCAACGATGGCGATAGCTGCAACAGCACCCACACCAGCGGCCATCTACTCAGTAACTCCTACGGATGCGACAAGCGCAATCAACGACTCCTGTAAAGTGATGACTTACATCTTCAACTGAACACATCAAAAGCTTTGGAAAACCAACACATTTTACATTTAGAATTATGGTAGAACCCCAGACATATCCTCCCCTTCAGTACCAGGACATAGCATGCACTTATCAGTAATACACGGTTGATCGCAGCACATTCATCGAACAATTTCTGCCCTTCCATTGGATGCACGAATTGTCTCCGACACACCTCAGTCACCGACAGCTTTAATGCAGCGGACACATGGTATTCAACACCTGTCTCTTCCAAATGACCTGCCACCATACGACTCAAGGGATATAGACATGTTTTCTCCGGTTCCATCCGCAAAACCTTCCTCTTCCTTATCATTGGTGTCTCCTGTTCTGTCCTCAGCAACCACTACTGCGTCCTCCAGCTGCTTTGGTGCACGAAGGAACAATACCCCAAAGTCTCATGCGCCCCCTAAGTCAGGCGCCGGAGGTAAAGAGAAGGGACACATCTTTACGCGCGCGCGGGAGACGTATATAGCTGAGCTGCTTGCAGACCCAGATACTTGGGCACTTTTTGACGATCCAGCAGAGAGGAACAACCACCACAGGCCGAAGACAGACGTTCGCGAAGGAATTGCCTGGAAGATTAACAGCAAGTTTTCCACTGGAGACAGCCCTGTGAATTTTGACAGCTTTCAGATCAAGAACAAGATTGAGAATATGAAGAGGGTCTGGAAGAAGGCAAATAATCTCTTCAGCACAACAGGCAACGCGGACAAGAGGAATCAGAAATTGAGAAAGAGTCATCCTGATTTGCCATTTTTATTACAGCACGGAGCAGGTCTGATCGGCGTCTTACCGGAGAATCGTTGAGATACCGGATCTGATTTGGGTTTTCTTGAGGGTCTATCCAGTGCAACTTTAATGAAATGAACTCAGGCATCGAAAACTGGAATCTGGAAGAGATAAAATTCAGAGGTCAATTGTCGGTACCAGGAAGCACAGCTAGCCTTGATGGAGGGAGATACAGAGGAAGAAGATGCAGGCGGAAATAGCAAGAAGGCGGGTAGAACTTGAATTGGAACATATAAGGATAGAGTTGGAGGTCAAGAGAATGGATGCTGAGCACATGAGGCAGCAAGTAGAGCTAGAGCGCGTCAGAAGGAGAAGATAAAGTCCACCGAAAAGTCCACCAAAACGCGCTGAGTAACGCTTACGATAAAATCGCTTATATTCATCAACATCCTCATAAGTCGTTAACTGCCTGTGCTCGCCCCCTCTCCAAACTGAGCCAGGATTAGGCCCTACCCCTCCTCATCATTGTCACTATCATCGTCTTGATTGTGGTCACGGGCGTCTCCACAGCATCACCGTCCCTCTGTCCTACATGCGTGGCCTCTCTTTGCCCCAGACTTTCCGCAACTTCCTCCACAAACGGGTCATATATACCAGACCATACAAGGATATTGTGTAAGAACGACGCATGCTGAAATATGCCTGTTTGCCCTACGAACCCTTCAGTTGTTGTTGATAGGATTCGCGTGCGGATGAAAGATTTGAATTGTTCTTTAAGTAGTTCGAAGCCATGTTCCACCTTGCTTCGAGCTCCACTGTACTTATTGAATTTCTCCTGAGCGGCTGTGAGGTTCCCTTGAAAGCCCGTTTTGGATGTAGGAGATGATCTGTACACTTCCTCGTCAGTAGTGTGCTCGTTTTCAGCAAAGTATCGGTTGCTGAAGCGGTATAGGTTGGTGTCCTTGTAAGTCGCAGAGTCGTGTTTGCTGCCAGGACACCCAGTGGAGAAGAAAATAAAAGTCCCTTGGTGATCACAGGCATCTGTAACGCCGATAGTGAAGTTGCATTTTCTTATCACGTAGACGTTCCTATCCATCGATGTTGCACAGTAGACGGCGGGAAAGCTTTCCTCGTCCATATATTTAGAGAACACATTTTTAATTCAAACCAGATTTTTTCCTCCCGAAAAGTGATCTATTCTTCGCGTCTACCCTTCCTGAGGCCATCCTCGGTTAGACAACTCTGAACACCATCATCGTCGATGGCTTCGTAGCCGCGCTTCTCCTGAGCGAAATATTAAGAAGCTGGGTCTTGGTGGGCGTGGTCTTTGTAGGCGTGACGAGTAGCCCTCGGGAACAGGGGATCCAGCAGGAGTAGACACGTCTTTCCGTCCAGACATAGGTTACGCGTCTTAGAAATCGTCTAGGGATTGAGTTCTTGATGAGACAGTTGCACAGGCGAAAGGCTTCACATGGATTTTGTGCGGGGGACAAAAAAAAAATTCCATCGTGTGTTTGAATTGATTCTTTATTCTAAAAAATTGAGAATTCATAGGGACTGGTTTTTTGGGGAACATGGGCATTACTTCTTGGCGAGTCTTGATTTTCTACTGAGCACACTGGATTGTAGCTCTAGCAGTTATACCTATAACCCGGGCAACTGCCTTGTACGAAGCCAGGGATCCATCGTGGCCTAGACGATGCAGGACTACCTTAGGCTGGGTAACAGCATCCCCCAGTCCCTCTTGCCTATCGATGGTGGGGTACAGGATGAGCTTGTAAAATGCTGACCACATAGTTGAACTGCTAGGCCGCCATTCGTTGGGCGTCATGGAAGCCGGTTTTGCTGCGCTCAGCAACCCTTTTTCTCGATGGAATCGCGACATGAGTGGAAGTAACTGGTGGTCTCAAGAGGTGCCTTTAATCTTGTTCTTTCAAAGTGTAAGCCGGGTTATTAATCCAAAGATACGCTCGAGAGGAATCTTTCGATGACAAGAAAAAAAAAATACAGAAGCGGGTCATGCTGTCGATGTAGTAACTCAGGGGGAAAAAAGTGATGATATTCATTCAGGTACAATTCTAAGTATGTCAACATTCCAGGCCGAAATCGCCAACGCCCTTTGGGCTGAACGTAATCGATGCTTCACGATGTCCTTGGTTGCACAATGTGTGTTATGAATAAGGCTTTATTATTTTACTGTACACGGATGGAAATCTTGAACTTGAGGACGCTTAGACCTTGCGTTCGAGATCGCCCATGGTCTCGTTGGCGTGACCACGAGCCTCCATGGAGGTGTTTCCGGTAAGACTACCGACGGCCTGTTGGACGTTTCCCTGAGCCTTGTGGCCGAGTCCCTCGGTGTGGGTGCGAGCATCGGCAGCAGCTTGGGCGGCATCAGCCTGGGTCTTTTGCTGGGCACCGTTGGCAGCGAGGTTCGAGTTGCCGATGGTTTCGCCGACAGTTTGCTTGGCGCCTCCAATGTAGGAGTTGGCGGTGTTGGACATGCGGTCGGTGACGTTGTTGGACATGTTAAGAGTTGTTGGTTTGTAGGTTGGTGTGGAGAGCGGGAGTTGTTGTTGTTGTTGTTTGTTGTTGTTGTTGAGGGTGCGTCGACAGGGTTCCTTTTATACATTTTTGAGGGTTAGGCAAATGATCCCATCTGGTGCGGGGAGGAGGGAAGTACGAGGGTCATGGTGAGGTCATTGAAGCCTCTACATGGGGTTTAAAATCATAACATCATTTAGTCTCCAAAGTAAAATGTGGTCCCGTAGAAAAGCATAGCAAAGACGCTTGAGCATGATGTCATACGGGCCATGCGCGATTATGACAAGCGAAAATATTGACCTGCTCATACATTGAATTCAAAGACCCATAATGACCTTGATAGCTGCTCATTCCATTCTATCGAGATATTAATGGAGTATGGTGTAATGGAAGTATTTATATCTGATTGAAAAAAAAGATGTTGTATTTTGCGTCTTCAAGTACTAGACAAGCTTAAGCCTGGGCGCGGAGAGTCTTCTCAAAATAGCTGGAGAGGGGACCCTTCTCGTTGAGGTACTTGACGTAGCAGCCATCGGGCTGGAGACGGCCGGCAGCACGCTCAGTGACGTAGTCCTCGCGAGAGAGCTTGGTGAAGCCCCACTTCTTGGAGACGATGATCTTCTGGCGACCGGCGAACTTGAACTTGGCACGGCGGAGAGACTCAATGACGATGGCCTTGTTGTTATCCTTGGTACGGATCGAGAAGATAACCTGACCAATGTCGACACGGGCAGCGGTACCCATGGGCTTACCGTAGGCACCACGCATACCGGTCTGAAGACGATCAGCACCGGCGCAGGACAACATCTTGTTGATACGCAGGACGTGGAAGGGGTGGAGGCGAACGCGCATATGGAAGGAGTCCTTTCCAGAGTTCTTGGAGATGTACTTGTTGGCACAAATACGACCAGCCTCGAGAGCCTCGGACGTGATCTGCTGCTTCTCGTCGCACAGCAAGTGGACGCAGAGAGGGAACTCGTCGACACCGGCCTTCTTACGACCCAAATCGTAGATGCGGATCTTGGGGTCTAATCAAAAGGGAATAGCGCGAGCAAATTGTAAGCTGGTAAGTCTATGCTTTCTGTACTCTACAAAATGAATTGAATACGATGCCAATGCGACAAGTGTTGATGCATATTGAGGGTCCATATGTTATCCATACAGTCGTTCCTTGTTATTGTATGATAATCCCATTCAGTCTTGGTCAACCAGACGCTGCAAATGTCATATTCCAAAGTCGACCAAATGATCCTGTTAAATAGATGCCTACTGTTCCTGTGTTGAGTCGAAAGGTCGAAAGTGGGCGACAAAACTCCAGACAGATGAGTCGGCATAGCCTGATCTGCGTCGTTGCTGATATTCCACTGCTGGTTGTTATCGCCCTCAAATAATATCAAGGACGGTCCTGTGAAGGAGAGGCGAGGGGTTCAGTGTACTAACCAGGGACACCACGGCAGAAACGAGACTTGGGGTAAGCCTTGTTCTTCTGGTATCTGTAGCAGCGAGCTGGACGACGACCCATTTTGACTAGTTGAATAATACAGCAAGCATTCAAAGATAGGTCCAGGTTAACACTGATATTCTTGTATGATATGGACGAGTGGGCGAGTCCATAGTGTCCTGACAGTTCCTGCTTCTGATCAGCCTGAAGGATGGCTTCATAGAGATCTTGTTCTCTACATGATTTCCTTCAGCGATCTGATGCGTTATATTGACGCTGGGCGGATAAAGACGAATCGCGTTGACAGGGTGCTGATCCGATCGTAACAAGACGCCGTTGATGGAAGAGTCGGTCCGATACGTTTATGCCTCTCACATAAGTATGTAGCTATGCCTTCCATTGAAGCTGAGCAACGGATAGGCTTTGATGACAGGAGGCGGCCCACAGTTCCTCCGGCAAGCTAAAGACGCTAGGTCGCCATGGGATGGGATGCCGTGGTGAATTCTGAACCACCGTCTCCTTCGCCAATAGCTGGCACTCGATGCCATTTGCGAATGTCGGTGATGCCGATGATGCCAATGATGCCGATGAGCGCAAAGTGTGCATGCACACTTGCGTTGGATGGATCGATCAATGGCTGGAAAGCACGCATCCTCCCTGATAATGGATGTAAATTGATAGTTTGCATGTACGCCTCATAAATTACATTTTTTTGGGATGAGATTGAGAAGGAGCAATCCTGCGCCGCAAGCGATGCTATATTGAGGCTCCTTAAGGGCAATGTAAACCTTCTTTCAAATCCGTGTTGCTTCAAGAGCTACTAGTCCTGAGCCATCTTTGGTTCCTGACAAAGTATTAAAGATCGGTATTGATGATAATCGATTCGTCTATAAGTGTTCTACAGATACTTGGTACAAATTATTTTCCTCTCGCTTTCTTTTTTTGTCCTCTTCCTGTCTGGCTTCCATCATATTTCATTCAAGCTGCCCGGGTGGTAGACGACTCGGCGCCACCCTTGAACCGGGCGAATGCCTCGCGGACACCGAATTTGAGTCGGTCCATGGTACTCTCCACCGAATCCAACGCAGGTCTGACATCCAGATGGAACACCGGTACGTCGTTGGCAACGTCGTCCTCGCCTCCATAGTAATCGATTACATAGCGAACCTCCTTTCCACATCGGTCAACGATCCAGTCATGACGATCGAACGGCTTAGGGGCACTACAATACACGAAGATATCCAAAGCGAGAGAAGATAGTCGCCAAGAAGTCAGCATCTATGACATCAATGGGGCATTAAGATCAAGAACAGAGTCACGTTCACATCAACATACCCGAAAAAGCTCATGATTCTGGCCTTAGGACTGAGTTCTGACGGACGACCTTGGAAGCGAAGTAACTTAGGATCGCAACAGGTGCTATAGAGGTGATTAGCGAGCACGGGTTAGCGGCATCCAGGGCTAAACAGGGAGATAGGTCGATTCAAACACAGTCAAGAATACAGCACTTACTCAGAGTGTTCCTTCTCCCACTTCATGACCTCGGCCCAGGCTTCCTCGTTCATCCAATTGTGAATATCGACCATGGTTTCAATGGCGGTCTCGGGGGTCTCCCAGCCCTTTCTGCGAAGGGCATTATAGAACTGCTGTGGGGAAGGGTACTCCCACTTGGATTCGTCGTCGGACTTGGCCCTGGGAATAGAGGAGATAACTCTTTCCGTGGGAAGAGGTATATCTTGGTCGGGAAAGGGTGACTGGGCCAGATTGGGGATGTTGTTGTCTGGGTTCAGGTTGTCGCCGTCCTCCTTGCGGTGCATGGGGCAACCTGGTGGGGGTTTGGGCTTGGGCGCAGGATTCTGGGCCTGATGCATGGGGCAGCCGGGGGGTGGACTGGCAGCTGTTGTATCCTTTCCTGGCGACATGGTGCTTGATTCGAGGTGGCAGTAACTGAGTAAATGGACTCGGAGAAGTAAAAAAAGGGGGTTCGGAGAAGCAAGTGAAGAATGGCAGCGACAACGAGGCGTTGGTTGAGTTGCCCCTCCCTAAATGCCGAGTTACAAAACAACCCAAGCCACTCTAACCTGCATTGCAGGGGTCGATCCATTGGCGGAGAGGTGGATATACCAGAGGAACAAAGGCACATTAGCACTGTAGCGGTGCATGCTGCTGAGAAATATGATCTTTATGCGCGAGTGTTATTTATTATATTACAATGCTGTCCGTATCGACTGCCTCCTCAATTTGATTATCCAGTGTTTGCCGTTAACGTGGTCCTGATCCATATCGAGCAATTGTACTGCATCCTGCTTATGCGACCACCTCAATGCCCATAGACTTTGCGCTTCCGACAATTCCAGAGCAGATCCCCTTGAGCGACAAGTGTCCCATGCCTTCATCCGCCTGCTTGATCTTTGCGATCTCATAGACCTGCTTCAAGTTGACCTTGCCAACAAATGGGTGTTCCTTGCCAATGCTCGTCGCGCCCTTCTCAATGCCTGCAGCGCGCTTGAGGAAAAAGGAGGTTGGAGGAGACTTTGTGACGAAAGTGAAGCTGCGGTCGCTCTTGACGGCGATGATAACTGGGAGTGGAGTACCGGCCTCGACGTTCTTGGTCCTGTCATTGAATTGTTTACAGAAATCCATCGACTTGACACCGCGCTGACCAAGGGCGGGGCCGATAGGGGGCGAAGGTGTTGCCTTTCCAGCGGGGACAACCAAGCGCAACAGGGACGCAGCAGCGGCGGGGGCTTTCTTTGACATGTTTCGACTCGAGAGGAGCAAGGGTGAGTGGTGGTGCAATGATGGGGAGTCCCGGATCAACTGAAGGAGGTAAAATAAACACTCGCTCAGATTCGTGACTTCCCCCCAAGGGCATATCATATCCAAATGCAGGTCCGCGAACTGGCGTCTCTGGGACACCTTTGCTCATCCTACTCCACATCCCTTCTTCCACCCCCCACCCCCTTCTCTACACACAACCAAAGTTTTTGCCCATGCGGGTTTTGGCCTCTGCCCATGCCGCAAGGCATGCGCTTTTCCTTATTGTCATCCTACTTGGCACACTGTAACGACCATCTCTGCTCTGGACCTTGCCGCATCACTTTTTTTTTTTTTTTTTTTTTGTGTCCTTGCGCTTGCCACTGACATCACCTTTCCCTTTCCCCTTGCTTTGAACGGGACTAGTTTGCCAAGTGTATTGTCCCTTTCAAGTACATCGCCATCCCCACTATCATCTCTAACTTTATCAAGTCTCGCCAGGAGACAGGTCGGCCTTGAAGCGCCTCAGGACCCCCCAAGTTACACCTGCGTTGTCATCGGAGAGTGCAATGCTTGCAGCGTTTTACAAATTGTATGACGAATCTGTCATTCCACATCCATCGAATGGCAGGATATGACTACTTCTCAAGGACAACTACAACCGAATGGGCACTGATATCAATATACTACTTTGCATTCTTATCCAGCAAACGGAAGAGTCATGCAAAGAAACCCACAACCGACAGAGGATAGATTGCAAGTACGACGATCCCAAGAATGACGAGAACGAGGAGCTTAAGATCCGACTGCCAACCTATCGGTCTTGTCTTCGTGTTAAAGCTGCGGAGGCGAGAAGATTCGCGCACTTCTTTGTACGTACACTAGCGATGGCAGTAATTGTTTGACCTATTTGTTGGGACATTTCTGATGCGATATTCTTGTTGCTCACTTACTCCACGATAGTCAACGAACGTTTGCCTGGCGATATTTTCTGGCGTTCTCATGGTGTGGAGAAAGCAGAAACTCGCAGCCGCTCAATACAGACGCATGGCCAGGAGGATAGGCATCGTATAGTTGCCATGGATAAATCGACATAGACCGCCAACAACGCCACTACAGTTTTTTCCGTATGATTTGCTTGTAATGACATATCACGAACATAGCAACAATGACTCAATTATCAGTTTAGAGAGTTTTATTTTCAGTCTCGTGGATCCACAGCGATTGTCCAGAATGCTATTGTGCTATGGCCTTTTTCTTGTTTTTAGTTGCTTTCTGGACCATCCGCTTAGCTTTAAGAGCCAAGGACGAGTCCCACGCCTCCTTGTGCTTCCTATATAATAAGATGGCTATCCGGGCATCTTCCACACTGGAATGTGATCCGTCCTGGATCCTGATCCCCAAAATCTCAAGCGCCAACTTTTTAAGCGATGGTGACTTGCCCTTGGCCAAGGCTCGGAAGGGCTGGTATCTTGAAGTGTCACGGATTAAACGTTGAGGGTGGTCCAGCAAAAGAGCTTTAAAGTCGTTGTGGACAGCATGTCCGACCACGACCTTATCCTCGAGGACATCCGCTACCTGTTTCTGAGCATCCTTAAAGTCGACTGCATTGACAAGGAGTTTTGGGGTAATTCCACTGACTTCGGTACGGAAGTCCGTTACACGCTCCATGGGTCGAACGTAGAGATCAAGAATCGTGACGCCGTAGTAGTTGACTATACTGACACGGGCTAATGCAGACTGAATGCCCTCTGGTCCTACTCCCACCATCTCGCAATCGATTCCAACGTATTTTCCGATCCTAATGAGAGACGGCAATAGCATTTATACCAGTTAGCACTCGTCAAGTTGTACAACAGTATGAGATTGCACCGAAAAGAACGAACAAAAATAACACTCACTTGTGCTTCCCAGTGTCTGTAGGGTCGTATTCGTGCTTTTTTGAATTCTTTCCATAGACTTTTTCAAGGTCCTCGTTTGATATGTCGTCGAACCACAGTTGGGCGGTGTCGTACTTGGGTTCTGAGCTAACATCCAGCTTTCGTGCCTTGGCGCCTGGTAGACTTCCTGTTTCTTTTCCGTCTTCCATATCGTTTTCCTCCATCTCTGCGTACGAGTGTTTCCTTGGTGCATTTGCGGTGGGTATTGATTTACGAGGAGCAGGTTTAATTGTCTAATTAAATGCAATCGCATGAGGTAATCAGCACACAAAATAAGTTCATATCCGCCTCGACAGGGTGTATCCAAGTGCAATGGTAAAGAAAGATTGTTCATTGGGACTTACAGATAAGAGGTTCTTCCAGTTAGAGGATGGTGCCACCTTCGCGGCGGTGGAGGATGTTACGGTGTTGTCATTTGCGGCCATGACGACTTTGACGGCAGTAGCTTTTGTCTGTTTCACAGACTTTTTCAACTTATTATGAGGAGAGGCGTTCTTCACCGGCTTTTTTTTGTCCGGCCCATTGGCGAGGGCGGTCTTTTTTGGCTGATTTGATGTCATGATGGTGTGTGCTCTTTGCAGGCGGGAATGGACAGAGGGTCAAGTTGACAGGACCTGGAAAAAAAAAAAGACATGTTTACTTATTTCGCAAAGTCGTGACTGCAGACAGCTATGTAGATTTGGTGGCAAAATGTTGCTTCCACACGGTGCCTGCAAGAGGCAAGAAATGTTCTGAGTAGAGGATTGAACCGAAAGGAAGCAATAGGCAGTGTACTATAGAAACCTCGAGGGACTTGAGGGTTCTAAGGAGCAGGCTATAGTTTATATTCTTTTTATGTCGCGTTAGGGGCGTATTTGTGGAGTTGTCGATAGATTATGGCTCGGCGCATCAAGAGATCCTCACTCTGAGGGCACCTTTATCTCTGGAGCACCCCATGCACAAGGTGTCTATGTTAACGACACAGCACGAGTACACTTCATCTTAGGTGTACAGCAGCGTAGAACCAAAGTGGTTTTTCCTTGTGGTATCTGTATATCTTGTGATGCAGCCTTATATATCACGTGGTCTCTTTCACAGTTAGTCTTTCCTCCCCGCTCTTGAACAAGTTTCTACTCGTTTCCTCTCCGTCGATCGCTCCAGCATGTCCTTGCCCAACAACGGCACCAACGGCACCCCGGTCGAGGCAACCATCGATGTACTCATGACCACTCCGGAAACCACTCCCGAGGCCACTGCGCCCACGATACTAGCAGTAGCGACTTCAGCAGCTGAAGACACTTTAGAACCTGTACCTGATGTAACACCACTACGTCCACAACCGGCAGCAATGGAAGACCCCAAAACAGTAGCGACGCGTCAAAAAGTCATCGACATCATTGACCATCAGTTCGACCTCGAAATCCTCTTGCGCCATGCAGAGAGTGCGGCCATTGCACGGGAGCTAGCAAAAACAGAGCGTATGCTGGAGGACCTGCGACACGCCATTCTGAGTGGTAGGTGTTTGCTTCAGAGACACCAGGAGTTCTGCATAATAACTATTAAAAAGGCTTGCTCATCAAAGTAACTGTATTTTGACGCATTCTTTGTGCGCGTTTAACAATGTAGAACGGCAAGGATCACCGTATGGCAACTCGACTGTCTCACGTACTTTCGGAAATCAGAACCAACAACAAAATCCGTACTACAGCAGTCGGCAGAGCTCCAGGAGAACAACGGCATATTACGGACGAGATGTGCGACAACCAGAAGCTTTATACGCTGTCCGTGCAGATGGACAGTTTGTTAGGTACTTGGATGCTGCGATCTGCATCTACTCATGGAACATGGCTGTTTTGTGTAATTACTGACTTCGTTCAAAATGCGTGCGCACCTGTAGGCTGGGCTGTCCACGATGCGATCGATATGATTTTGGAAGCATACAGGGACTCATCAACCATATGCGTCTGTCCCACAAGTTGGTCTTCAAGAACACAGAAGAGGGCGTGCGGTATTGCGGAATCGTTGTTGTAAGTGAGACTGCACTCAAAATGTTTTCCAAAGCAGGACGTTTGGAAAACAATGGACGGCATTAATCAGCAATGCTGTCTCTTGCCGAACTGTAATAGCCTTCGAGTGAAGTACCGCTAGATCATCCATGTCGCACAAAGATTGTTTTTAGCTCATTGGGAACCAGCGATGTCAATCAGGGACAGGTAGAGTTCCCCAAGGCAAGCTTTAGCTCTGAGGATATGGTCACTGCATTGTCTCAATTTACTTCTCTCAGCTCCTTCTAATATTTGATATGATATCTTTATAGCCTACAATCAAGACATATGACGAGGAGGTGGATCTGGACTCGGACGATGGTCACTCAAGAGATGACGGTCTTGGAGTTTTGTCTCAAGCACCACGGAGGACCAGCAATGCATCTGTAAACTCATCATCGAATGCAGGATCTGAAAGCGATTCAGATACATCAGACGTGATCTCAGGAGGTGAGTCAGGACTAGGGGCAGGAAAGCGACGGCGATCATCCTTGGCTCTTAGTATTGTTCGTCCACAAAAGGGAACTCCTCGCTCAAAGTCAAATATGGATTCCGAAAGTGATGGCACGGAAGAAGACAGTGAGAGTGAAACATCCCGGCCGCGTCACGCTGGAAAGGGACCGATGAGAAAGTATGGAAGCATGTCACAGAGACCTCAATCGATGACACCTATAGTAGATACAAGACGACCAGCAGGTTCGTCGCGGCTAAGTACAGTGACACCTTACAGTATGCCTGAAAGCCGAATGTCGAGTGCCACGAGCTCTAGAGCAGTCAGTCCAGCTTTTCATCCGTTGATGAACGAAAACGATTATTCAGAACCGTCGACTCCAGTGTCTGGATACCCTGCGGCTACGATACCCATGTCCTCTCCACATCCTCCAGTTGCCGCACGGAACTCAGTCGCCACAGCATCGGATAATACGTTTGTCATGCCATCAGTGGCGGCGCATCAACCAGGAACACAATACCTACCACAGCAATCACAGCAGCTTCAGCCAACAATCATTTCGTTTAATGAAAATGCGATACAGGCTGGACTCCCAGCGCCATTGGACACTATTGGGTCTCGATTCTATGTCAAGAGGCGGATCGTTGTTGGAAATGTGTCCAAGTATCTTCCGGAGGACAAACGTGACCCTCGACTGAAGGAATTCCCGTACAAATGGATGATCTATGTTGATGGAACGCCTAAGCCCGAAGACATTACCGCCTATGTCTTCAAGGTCGAATTTCATTTGCACGAGAGTTACAGGCCGAACCATATCGTCACTGTGTCTGCACCCCCCTTCCATCTCAGCCGTTACGCTTGGGGAGAGACCCAGATCAAGGTGCGCTTATTCTTCCACGATGCACGGAATAAGCCTGTCGAAGTCTATCATCGCCTTGCTGTAAGTAAAATTGAAGGTTACAACAATGGAAGTTGTCTTTCTCTATGCGTCATATTTGCTAATCTATGAATTACATCCGCTCTCATAGCTGGACCCAACGCATTGTGGGAGGCAAGTGCATGGAAGGGAAAGACATGTAGATCTGGAATTGGACAGGCACACGACATTCTTGGCCACAGTGCCACTCCAGACTCGGTCCAAGAGCAGCAACAATATATCCGAATCACGCAACAACCTAATCTTGAATTCGGCAGCCGAGGTGGCGATGGCCGATGGCGCAGAGGAGGACGAGCAGGAGCTGCAACACACACTCTCCAAACCCAGCACGGCATCTGTTCACGGACATGGCGGTGCTGGTACTGGTGCTGATGCCAGTGGCAGGGGAGGAGCTGGCGTGCAGAACGGTTCAGAGGCGGCAGTTGTGGATACTGTACGGGCAGCGTCAATGGATGAAGGATCGGTGATGAAGCGTAAGTCGAAGGAGACGACACTTTTGTACTGCAAGGCTTGTGGCTCCTTATGGAAGCAGCATCGAGAGGGAGCACTGGGAGTTGCGGGCGCAATATCGGAGCCGGTGCTATTGAACGAGGATGATGGACAAAGGATTCCGAACTGCCCACACCATCCACAATACTATGCTGTCAAAGACGTTGAAGAAGATGAGCAGATGCTGCTCTCTTTGTTGGTGGGACGATCGAGGAACAAGTTTGCACTGGATATGTTGAAAAACTGCGGGATTGTTGATCAGAATGGGCGGCCGCTTTCGAGTCATGATCGGATGATGATGGAAATGCAAATGGATTCAACAATGGATTTGGATATCGGGGACAGCGAGCTGCCAATAACGCCTATGAATTTGGCAAGCACACTCTCATTGGAGCACCAGGCTAAGGTGCAACAGCTCACGGATGCGTTGCAGAGGATGGAGGTGTACAAGTGTCGGCGGTCAGAGATTGATTGGGTGCTGTCCGTGATGGATGAGTTGAAGTTGAAGACGCTGCTTTTGGATGGAGGCGCCGGTGGAGGTTCAGGAGGATCGAGGAGTGGGCTTCGGGAACGAGATCAGGAACAGGAGCAGCTGTTGAACACAGCGGGACTGGCCAATGTGCCTGAATCAATGTCGCAAAAAGCTGTGGTTGGAGGACTTTTGGTTCAGGCAACGAAAGCATTTTTAGGCAGCCTGCTCTCGAAGGCAGTACAGATCCATCGAGCTGAGGCCGAGGCTGAAAAGGGACCGGAGTCTATCATGATGGAATTGGATGCGCTGCACGACCCAGCGGGTGAGGAGCAGAAAGCTACCTCGAAGGAAGGAGTGAAGGTGTTGGACAAGTTGTTGACACCTTATCATGTGTACCAGGCATTGCAGTCGAATCCGGAGGAACTGGATTTCTTGACGAGCCAGTATGAAGACATGGAAGGGATTGGAGAAATGATGGCTGGGCTTTAGGAGGGTCGGTCGTTGTATCATAGATGTACAACACTAATATAATCATGCATCTTGCCTACTCTCGATTTTTCCCTTCATGAGATGACAAAGCCATTGTGGGCACATGGGTCCATGATTTGGGAATTATATTTATACAGCGGAAGCCAATCTTTAATGATGGTAAGATGAATTTAAGCGTGGAGGCCGCCGGTTTTGTTGCCTCGGCGATCGTTTAACTTGATGGTGGATGGGCGGGGCATGGGAGGAATGGCGCGCGAGAAACGCAGGCTCTTGAAGAGCTCGGTCTGGCGCCACTGGACGATCTTGGGATGAGTGTCGATGGTCTCCTTGACCTTGATCAGACCAGGAGCGCTTTCGGAATTGATGAGCTGTGCGGCCGCTGGGAGTCTGTGAACAAGCTCAACCAGCGCGGCAGCCCTTAGATCGGCGAGCGAGATCTGTGCAGCAGAAACAGAGCGAGACATAATGACAAAGATGTTAGCTTTGGAGAGTTCGAAGTACGTGTTCTTTTACAATCCAAGTAAATGTAGGGAGGAAGTGGTGGACGACTTACTGTGTCACCGACATAGTGTCCGTTGAGGCCGTTGGCCTGCAGGTGCTGTTCATGGATGCGGACCCATCGGGGGACTTTATCTTTGAGGAAAACGTTGATCTGTTCTAACTTGACCTCATTGGGGGCCTGGAGAACGACAGCAGAACTCATGAAGTCATCCCACAGGGAGGCAGTCGAGGACGCGAAGGAAGAGATCAGGGCGCGTTCGTAGAGGTTCTTGCCAAGGCAGGAGAACTTCTCGGCCAAATAGAGCTCAATGGGCTTGGCCTCTGCAACAGCAATAGTCTGCATTCATCGTTTGTGAGATAGCCAGTTAGACAGAATGCAGCAAAATAAAAATCAGGCACATTCTTTGTATAAGGGTATCCGAACCTGGGTTCCGTCCTTGGAGTGAACGTAAAGAACGGGCATGACCTCAAAGGGGGTCGAGGACTTGTCGAGCCCATCCTCGTTTCCCCAGTCCTGCGGGTACAACTGTGTCCACTGAGCATCGCCCAGGGCGAGGAGGCTGCGTATGGAACCTGCGACGCCAATAGTGTCAAAGTAGAGGAGTGAGTATGTGCTGTCCGGTGCAGCGAGCACGGCAGCCTGAGCGGAGGTGTCCGTCTTGTTGGATGTAGGGGCGTATGTAACAACCATTGTATCTTGCGAGTAAAATGCTTTTCAAAAGGATAGGAGGGTGTGTCAAATGGGACCAGTATTTATATGGAGAAAAAACGCGCCGCTGGTTGTGAGCGAAATCAAATCTGAACCGGTGCGCCCAGTGCACCGGGCCATGTTTGCACAGCCCTGCTGACTAAACCACCATGCGGCATATATGCATCTCTGCAGAACGGGCTTTCATCTTTTTCTTTTTATGCGTAAAAGAATATTTCGACCGTCATATTGCCCCGTTTCATTCATGCTGCAGCGATGTGGTCTTTTATTCTTGAGTAAAGTCAAATGGGCATTGGAAAACGGGTTTAAAAAAAATACTCGTGAAGGATGCAATTTGCGCACTGCAGTGGTCATTGCAGTCAAAGAGCGATCAGCGATACTGTTTAATCGTCGTCGACTTGGATCGCCTCCAAAGCGGGAATGATTTGCCCCCATAAGGCCTCACCCTTCTCGAAAAACTCGACCCTGCCTGCACTGTAATCCAACAGGCACTGGCGCAGGTCCTTTGCCTTTTGAAGTTGAAAGATCTCGTACTCTTTCGCTGTCGCCTCTGAAAACTGAGTGGATTCATTAAGATGGGTATCCACTAGATTTCCAAGCTATGCGTTACGAGATCAGAGATAAGTAAGTTATACCAAGACAGGAATACAAAAGACAGGGGAATAGGCGTAAAGAGTAGACACGGCGTTGCTTACCTGCTTGATGTCTTCCTCCACACGCTTGATCTTGTCTTGCTTGGCACGCTCCTGGTCCACTCCTTTGAGCTCACTCATCTTCTGTTGAAAAAATCCTCCAATGGTAGCGGATCCTCCGAGCCGACCATTACTCATCAAGCGATCCCTCTCCGCATGCTTCTGTTGCAACTTGTCGGAGAGGTCTTCGAAATCCAACTGCTTTTGGTCCCTCTGCCTGAGAACGTTCTACAAAAATTTGAGCCGCATCGTTTTAGATGACCAGCGTCTACAGCACACACATTTTAAATAATTTAGAAAAACAATGCAGAAAAAACACAAAGTACCTTGACGCTGTTGCAATAAGCTAGACACTCGTGAAGCTCTGACAAGAATTCGGCGTCCTCTCTCGATGACTAGTCCGATATCGAAACAGAGACAGAGAGATAAAAAAGTAAATACGAACATGCCTCAAATTGATAGCCAATTGCTAGCAAAGCGTGTTAAAAAAAGCGCGCACCAGATTGTTCAGGATCGTAGCAAAGCTTGCCACAGTATGAGCAAACCGATGCAATGGCTCTGTGATGCCTGTCTCTAGAGCTCCAAGGCCTGCAACAGCGCCTCCAAACTCTCGATAATCCGCCTCAAGTTCTTCCTGTCGCTTCAAAATCCTCTGTTCGAGTTTCTCCAGGCCCTGAAGATTCTCCTCCAGCTTGTCGACTTCGTCCTTCATGATAACGAACCGCTCCTCAGGCTTTTTCACCATTTTGAATGCATTCATTAGCACATCAGTGATGTTATCCAAACGAGCATCGTCCGTCTGCTTCTTCTGTTGCGCTAGGTCTGAATTCCAATCTCTTGAGTCCAAGAAAATACGGGTATTTTTTGATGCCTGCAAGGTTGGGTGGACTGCAATCTTTTTCATGAAGCGTTCCAGACTCGCTCGTCGTTTTTCCACGAACTCTTGACTGAAACGATCGCCACGAACATAACCGCCTAGTAGAATCAAACAACGTAAGCTGTCAGCATTAGGTATTATACAACAGTTTATGGGAGAATATCAAGCGAGACGAGGTGCCACTTACGCAGGCGATGCTTGTCTGGCAAGGAAGGAAGTACTGCTTCAGGGTGTTCTCTGCTCAAGGCATCGTGAAACCAAACAAAGTCCTGAAATCGGCGACGGACTGATACGCTCGCTGCAGAGAAACCAGGCATATTGGTCTATTGAAGATGAGTTGTGGAATGCAACAAATTTTGACCATTAGAAACAGACAAGGTGCTGACAGAAAGAACTAGGCGCTTTTTTTTGCAAAGAAACAGAAGAACGGGCTAACCTTGGTGTTAATTTGATAAGAGATGTAGCTGTCTGCCGAGCCCTCCTTCTCTCTGTGCGCATCCGTGACCGTAATCTCCATTGGGACCAGCTTGGCCAGCGCGTCGGCGGCTGTGGTGGAAAGTATCATCTCTGACTGAGCGCGTGTTGTGTCACGCCTGACGGCCTTTCCTGCTTGCGACTGCAACGGCATTGACAGAAAGAAATATAGAGGAAGAGGGCAATTTCCTTGTGAATATAGCCGCTAGCGTAAAGCAAAGCAAGCAGGGTTCATCCCAGGTGAAAGACACGACGTCTTCTTACCCTATGGACTCTTTGTCGGGCCTCAGAATCATCCTCGTCGTCATCTTCTCCATACATTCTATTGTCGATAGTGTTGTCACCACCGTGTTCGCTGTGGCCGTGGATGGACGAGTGAATGTTGTTGTTCCCGTTAGAGGCGCCATTGATGTCGATGACTTCATTGTCCAGGGACTCGTCTGCCCAGGCAGATGTCTCTGCGGGGAGGATGGCAGAGGAAGCAGCCTGGGTGATGTCAGCAATGTTGTCCTCGTCCTCGTCCGATGAAGCAAAGAGAGATGAGTGCAGGGTGTTGCTGCTGTTCAGGTGTCCGCGTCCCTGCGACTCGCCGTTGGAGGATGTGCGATTATTATTGTTGTGGTCGTCGTCCTCCAGACCGTTTCCGGGTGAATAGGTGTCCCATGCGACAGAGCTGTAGCCGACATCGTTGTGGTCCATAGTTGCTTGCAGGGAAACGAAAGTCTTGAAGCCAAGGAGGTGAGAAGGGCGCGATGAAGAGGGAAAAAAGAGATGTAGCAACCGCGGAAAGGGGAAAACGATGGGGAGTGTATGGGCTAGATACGGGCTTGCTCCAATATTTGGCGCACAAAGTCCACGCGGATGTGAGCAAAGGAGAAGGGGTGACGGTCTCATAGGCCACTTGCCCCTTCACTGCGCTAACCTAATGCAGACGCGTATTGAAACGCGTATTTTTGACCATACACAGCTTTATACCAAATGCATGCTGGGTTACTTCAGAAAAGCATATCCTCGACCGCTGGAGCCATGCATTTCGTTCAAGTTCAATCCGCTGTCAATGCCCTTGAGAGATGGACGTTGCTTGCTCCTAGGTCTGCACTAACTTAGATGACTACAGCGCAAAGTGAGGTGTGTATGGCACACATAGGATGAATGGTCAGTCATAGTGCGTGTTGAAGCGATGCAGCGTACCTGAAAGTAGAAGGAAGAAGAGTACGCTATACATACGTCCTGCTCTTGTCTACAAGAAAGTCCAGGAATAGGACGTTCCTTGCTACAGCAGTAATTTGTATACGACTGAGTTGGGGTGCGATCTTGCTGGTAGTATTTATACGAAAGGCCCTAGCTAAGTGCAATTTGCATGGTCGATGAAATGAGCACGTTGCAAGTCCTTTGCACAGCTGCATGACGAAGGGTGGTGCTGCCGGTCGCATAACTTTACCTGGAGCATTTTGGTGACGAAATTGCAAACAGCACTACCGAGGACTTTGGTTCAAAGTAATAACCAGAACCACGACCTTATGGCCTTTGGTAGACAAATATGCATCACAATGTTTTCTAAAAAAAAAAAAAAACGCATATGTCAACATGCCGCGATACCAAGACCCTAATATTTAACGAAGCAACGGAACCACGAGTATCGACGCAAACCGAGCTGGTTCAAAACACGATTCGTAATACGATCAAAAGACAGGACAATCACAGCTGAGAATAGAACCCATGGCAAACAAAACGGGACGCGTGTGCTGCTGCGTCGTGGGCTCCTTCGGCGCATGTGTGTCGACATACTGGACAGAAATTCGAGACAGATAGACTCCGCCCAATAGAGTACCGCATAAGTTGCGAGGTGATCTGATTCAGGATGAATGCAGAAAGCAACATGAGCGTTGCATCAGGCTCCTGTCTTGCTCCCCATGAACTCCCTTTGCCTACACTTGTGCCGTTTTCTTTTTCTTTTTCTTTTTTTTGTAGAGTAAAGAGAATAAGGCCCCAAAGGTGGCCCCCAAAAATATCTTCGCATTATTCGCGCGATCTAATGCGGTCGAACCCCTGATGGCCAAAGACTCCGGGGCGCTTCTATTAGATACGCGTGCCCGACCCCATCATTAAGTGTCCCTCTCTACCCATTGTGTGTGGGGATTAGAGTGCGCGTCACGTTCACGCTGGAGACTTTCAGGGGAAGAGTGCGTACCAAAAAGGTCATTGCATTCCGCTAGCCATTGTATAGGACCATAGAGGTCTGAGCCATTTATGAGGAAGAAGAGAAAGGAGAAGAATGGTCTTTTTATACTGGAAAAGAGGTAGTCGCTCGGAACAACTGATCAGACCGTTGGATCATGTTCGTCCATTTGCTCCAGAGATGCCCACCATTGCCACCACTCACGCGTCCATACTCGCTTCTCGCACACTTCTGTTGTCATCACACACACTTTTCACAACCACCCCCACGCTGTTCTCTGCATCTCACCTTCGCCTCCACTCTCACGCCCTTCGCTTCATTGCTCCCGGTTGCTGAACACTCCCACGCCTTGTTCGGCATCACTCCCACATTCGCTGTCTTTCCTGTCATTCATTACTCCTTCTCGCTTTTTGCACAAACCCTTCCGTCTCTCTCTCTCTCTCTCTCTCTCTTGCTGCGCCTCCTTGTGTGTCCCTCACTCGTTATTCAATTCTCGTATCATAGTCTATCCAATACTTAGCGCATAATGGAGGCGTCAATGAAGCATTTGCAACAGCGGCCCCCCTCCAAGACATCATACAGGTTGCAGTTAACGAGGCCATCATATGATATCGAGCCAATGTATATTTATTCTAAGGTCGAGGTGGAGGATGGCGGGGATGGCAAAGATGTCGATACAGAGGTTGCCGAGACAGAGCGACAGGATGTGAAAGAGTGAGAAATATGCAAGTGTTAACTTCTAAGTGATGCGACATAATCCGGATTTACTAATGTTGAATCTCTTCTCTACCGCCCTAGATAAACAATTCTTTCGCGACACTTTTGCGCCTGTGTCTTTTATTCATAAGGACAAACTTTTGAATGTAATATTTTTACCAGTTTCAACAGCTGCCCTCTACAGTGAGGTCCATCTCGTTCACTTTACTTAGCGGGCAAGTAATGATCTGAGGTGCTCGTCAGCGCCGCTGCTTGGTATTGTTGTAAGAGGCAGTAACCGCGAGGCGTCGCACATCCAAAAATGAGAGGAAATTGGGTGCAGAGAGAGATAGAGGGAGGGAATCAATGGTAAAAGTGACAAGGATAATCCAGAGGTAGATAAAAGTTCACTGGAAATAATTAAACATGTAGAAAGTGTAGAACGAAGTGAGCTGTGGAGTGCTTTATACCAGGGGAAGGCGAATATTCATCCTACTTCCCCGTTTACTCTTTATCTCGCTATCTACCCTGCATGCAACGGTGGCATCATATCCCGTAATCCTATTGTACCCCACATCTAACGTTCTTGGCCGGTCGGTACTTCGTTGCCACTACGCTGAGTGTGCCATCGATTTGGAGTGTGGTCGCTCAACCTCGCTTGGTTACGCAGCAAAGGAATGGAAGAGACTCTTAAAAAAGAAGCGTGAAAGAAAAGACGTGGCAGAAGAACACAGATATGCCAAGCAAATAATTGAATTTCGAGCATTATCAAGAGCGTACATTTTATCTGTCATAGATGTCTGTGCAATGTTATCAACTCTTCCTTCGCTTCGGCGACGTTTCTTAGCCTACAAGCTCAAATTATGAAGCATTAGCAACATGATTATATTATAACAGATAGAGCAAAGTACCGTTCATTATTCTTCGTTTTCGGGTAGCGAGTCCGTATTTGCGAGAGGAGAGTCGGATGACGAATGATAGTGATGTTCTTTTCGAAGTTGAACATACTCTGATGTTGCTCCACTAATCACCTCCTGCCGCTCTCCGACTCGCCAGGGTTATTGGCGCATTGCTATCGCTGAACGCATAGTGGACAGGTATGTGTAGAATCGGCCATAATGCATCGACCTTGCAACGTGATGAGAAATAGCGCCTATATTTGGTAGCAGCATCACGCGTAGCTTCGAAAAGAAAAGTGGGCGAAGCACAAGGCTAGAAGTGTGTGTATGCCCAGAGGTTGGCGCTATGCCTTCCTCAATAGCTACTTGCCACGGTTATTCTTTGGATTTCATACGGTAGTATCCTTTCGATGTTTTTTTTACTATGTACAGATTCTCGGTTTATTGTGTTAAGTATATCGACTTCATGCTATCGCACTATGTGGTACTATGATGTGCACCCCACTTATCCTGCTCGAAAGGACTTAGTTCTTTCTTGGTCCGGACCGCTCATTGCTTCTTGTACTTGTCTTCCATCTGCAGCCGTTGCGCAGGGTCGATACTATTACGAAGCCCGATCAACACCTTTGAGAACGCTTCCGTCGCGCCAATCATCGGTTTCAGTACCGCAACAGGCACTGCACGGATCACTGCCCGGACAGACCCTTGGGTTCCCGTCCGCTCGTAAACCTCCATCGGGACCGCAAAGATCGTATGTGCAGCCGTGCCAATGTTTTTGCTTAAACTCTTGTACGCAAGTTCCATACCCTCGTTGATATCTGCTGGCTGGTTGGCATACTTGCTGACCCTGTTTGCCTTGGTCACAGTCGATGACCCGCCAGTGGAGGTTAATGGTGAGCTAGAAGTAGTACCTGAGTCGGACATATGTTGCTGTTGCTGCTGATACTGGAGATGCTGCAGCAGTTGCTCCTCATCGTCAATCGACTCTTGCATGTATGCTTCCGAGCCCGAAACCATCGTAGCAACAACTCTCTTTCCACTATGGATATCTGATCCGTCATCGCCTTCGCCTGTGTGATCTCTGCCTGCTGCACTTCCAGAGCTTGATCCACCAGCACTGGATCCAAAGATTTCATCTGCGTGCTCCAATAGGACCTGTGTGCCAACCGCCAGTTTAGTTCCAAGCTTGAGCGCCTCCAATGTCGTCGCTCGCGTAAATGCTTGACCACCCTTCTGCAATCCTCGGATGAGGTGTCCGTCCCGCTTATACTGCTCAATAGGCAATAACACCAGGTCTGCAATTCCTGAGCCCAAGTTGACCAATGAGCGGATAGGAGTCAGGCCCGAGACCATGTGTGGAACTTGAGTGGATCGGATATAGGGCAACCAAGCTGTGATGAGATCCTGGCCCAGCTTTACAAAACCGTTGATACCGTTAAGCTGCACCTCCTGCAGCGTCATCTCGGCTGCATCCAGATGGAAAAAGTTCATCAACTCGACGAAATTACCGCCAGTTAGACCAGTATAGTCGACGTGCTTGGGTTTATAATCCACCTTGACCGAAATCTCACCCATCTTGACCGATTCTACGAAATCAAAATCGACGCCGAATAAAAGTCGTTAGATATATAGACAAACCATTAAAAACAACGGCCAAGAACTAAAGGCATTGAGGGCCGAACATCTTACGGAAGTACATCTCGTTCGGTTTCTTCTTTTCAGTAGTATCAGGGGCAACTGCCATACCCTCGGGCTGCGAATCGTCTGCAGAAGCAACAGCGCCTGCTGAGCTGCTCTGGACAAAGAATTTGATCAAAAAAATGAGGGCATCTTGATCAACGTACAGCCGTAATGGCAAGATCCTGACTTTAAGTCGATGCTCTACAGTCGAGGCACTCACGACGGGCCGTACTCCATCCAGGTCAATGCGGATCATATTGGACTGTGTCTGATGTGGCGTTGCCGTATGAGAGTCCTGTCGCTGGCGAGACAAGAACTTATGCCAGAGGGAGCTCTTCAGGTTGTCAATGATCTCGAACTGCTTCACACGCAGCGAGAGATGGGAGGCGGTCTCGATTCCGCCGAGATAATCCTCAAACTCGAGCCGCACCTTGTCCGCGTTAAATTCAATCATCGCAGTCTTGGAGCGCTCCAGCTTTTTCTTGCGCTTGTTTGAGTCTTGATGGCTGAACGAGTGTGGTTGGCGTAGATGATACTGTGCGATTCTTCTACTGCCAGTGCCTGTGGCGGTGAATGGACGATTTCCACTATTGCCATCTTGGCTCATCGTATCGGTTTGGTACTCGTTAGTTGAATCAGCCTCGGAAGACGAGGGCGAGGAATCCTTGCGGTGATGTACACCAAGGCGATCTATCGGACTGTGCTGCACTCCAGCGAGTTTCTCAAAGATGCTAGCCTCCAGATTGGACTGCGGAATGTCCATGGTCGCGTGAATGACGTCGTCCGGATCATATAGTCGATTAACAAGCTGCCGGGCATGTCTCTTGCGCTCGGCTTCATCGAGTCTCGAGATCTCCCAGTCAAGGCCATCGTAGAGTCGCCATGAGAAGTTAAAGTCTCGAACTCGGAGGCGCAATTTGGCCATAGATCTATGATACGCATGTAAGACAAGAAGAAAAAAAGGTGTTGTGAGTTGGAGCGTGAACAGGAATATATGCGACATGCGTTCTGGACGAGAACTCGTGTTTCTAGATTTTACCCCTCGTCCTTGGCTCGTTCTTCTTCCGTCAAAACTGGGATCGAAAAATAATTTTCGATCACAGCAAGCTTAGCCCCAGAATCAAGAACTCGGATGATATCTTCCGGCTGACTTTCTGTTCTCGAGTGGTCTCTCGAACGGCTGGATTCACCTCGACTGGCACCCTCAAATGACGACCGAGCATTAGTCTTAGTTTGAGCTGCAATGCCAAGCGCATCCATATAACTATCCAGCTCCTCATCAGCTTCCGTAGACGGCGGCAGTGGTTCGCCCTTCGCTTTTGACTTGGATCCCTTTCCCTTTGTAGACGACCCATGTTTGCCACCAGTGCGTCTGCCAATATCCACAGAATTCTCCTTTATCGCAGACTGGGGGCCGCTGAGCAGGTCTGCATAAACCTCATGGAAACCATCCACATTTGGTGTATCATGCATCTGTGCTTTGAAGTGGTCGCTCTCAGAATCCTCACGATCAACAGAGTAAAAGCCCTCTACGAACTCCAATGTTCCCGTATTGTCTGCTTCCCGACTGAGACTTGGTTTCCGAAACGCGTCTTCATCCAAACTTGCTGTAAGATCAAATCAATCATACGTACAGTATAGAGTTAGGTACAGTATAAACCGAACCGTGTAAATGTTGACCAGAAAAACACATTTTGACGTACCAAGAACGTCCTGGTAAATGATGTTGGATTTCGCTCTATTGGCTGCCCGCTCAGCTTCTGCGAGTCGCTCCAAAATCTTTTTCTTTTCGATTGGCATATCGCCATTATCGCCGAGGTACGTTGCAAGCTGCATCAGCGTCTGGAACGAATCCGAGCAAGTTTCGAGGTAAAATATTTGGTTTGTGATCATGAGGTCGTACAGTGGCAACTGGCCAGTCTTGCTCTTGACGGACCTCAGCTCGAAAAACGGGCATTGTCCGATTATGGCAAAGCCAAGCAATCTCCAATACTGCCGCGAGTCGATTACTGCCGCAACATGGGCGACATCTGGGGGAGTTAGGACGCTTTGAGGATTGTCAATCAAGAACAGGCTCATGTTGTAAATCTGGACCTTGGACTTGAGAGTCGGCGATTCTGGTATCAACGTTGAGAATACCTAGTTTACAGAGAAATGGTTTGTTAGTGTCGCTATGTGACTTTTCACTGCAAATTATGGTCCGCTGTCAAGCATTACCTTCATCTTCTCAAAGGACAAGACGAAACGAGGAGGTATATGGAGGGGCTTGTAGTCCATACAGCACTCCAAAAGGCTGACGCCAATGCGGGTGCACTGACGCGGGGGGTTGTAGTAAACGATTCCGGCAGGTTCTGCAAAAAAGTCCTGGACGTCGTCCACTGCAGTTTGATCGATCGAGAACTTCCAAGAAATCCCCGCAAATGAGAGGTTGGTTTTGTTCTCCTTGTACTTGATTGCAGGATCAAACGAAAGCAAGCTGGTCATATGGACCATTGGCCGCGATGGCTTGAACTATATAGCACGCATCATATTAGTCTTACGACATCAGCATCGGCTTTCTCACATGAAGTACGACCTTATTGGAAATAGACAAGAAAACCTACCATGGGCTTTGAGAAAGTTCTTGACAATAGGAGTGTTTTGGGCTTCTGAGCTGTGATTTCCCAGAAATCCAGATCATCGGCGTCCACAATCGCATAGGTGTCTATTCCTCCCTGATATTTTGCTGCTGCAAATACTCTTGCGTCCCGAACAGTAATTTGATACGATTTTATGGTCGGAACTGGGTCCAATACCGTTGGCGCTGTGGGATAGTCTAATGTGACCTCAACTAAAAAAAAAAAAAAAAAAAAAAAAGTTAATACATACCACTCACTTTTAGCAGCAGCAATGAAAGACGTGAAAACAGAAGGCTCGTTACCAGTCTGAGCGAACAAAAGAACAGATGCCATAGTTGGTTTGGCGACCTTTTGCTGAGAATGGTTGTCGCTGGAGACTCGAGCTCTTGGAGCAGAGGGTCTTCCTTCAGCCTGGTGGCGAAGTTCCTCCCCATAGGCTGTAGACTGGTCTGTCCCAAGCTCGCTTTGGTCGTCTTGATAATCCTCATCAAGGCTATTGCGAGGGGCTTCCTTAGGATCCATGAACTCAGTCGGTGCTTGCGAAAAGCTATTTTGAAAGCTGGATGGTTTCACTGCAATCTCTGGAGTCGCAGGTATCTGTGCGGCGAGTCGCTCGGAGAATATTGTCAGCCAAGTACTGAGATCATTGATGCGGAGCATGAGGATATCGAACACTCGCTTTTCCAGATGAACGGCCACCAGAGGAACGTGAGTGTCGACAGATACGAGCTATGTATAGGTAAGAACGGAGGGTTAGTATACTACACTTAACAGTCTGCTTGTCAGTCATTCACTGTTAAAGAAAGCCACATACCGAGGTCTCGATAGTCCTTTGCTTGAAATGAATCAGCTCCTCCTTTTCATCTACATAGCTATGAGTATACTCCTCGTTCTCCAGGATTTCGAACGCTTCCAAAGCAGGGGTACGAGGAAACCCAGACGGAGATGATCGCTCATAGCTGATCGGAAGCGAACTTGGTGAGCGCGTCACGATTTCGAGCGTTGGTAGGGTGGAGGTAAAGCTGGACTGTGATGCAGGATGATTTGACAGCGATCCAATAAACAGAAACGCCTTTGATGTCGTTTCTACGCAAAGCAGATCAGCATCATGACAACCAATATTTATAGCGCCTTTGCAACCAAGAATCAATGATATCGCAAGGCTTTCCACCTACCATGTGCGGGCACGATAAACGCCGATATGCTGGCAAACTCTACTTTCATCTTCGAGGCGGAAGTTTTGCTGGATCTGCCTAGTTCAGAGTCTGTTCGATGGTGGCCCTGTGTGCCTGCTTTCGTCTCTTCGGCGGTCTGAGTGACAACCATCTTTGAAATATTTACTGCAACGACATCGTATATAGACCTATATTCAGGCCCTGTATCCTCCTGTCCGGCCAATAACAGTGCCATGTCTGGCACTGAAATCCAAAGTTGTACTGAGTTCAGGCGTAGTCGAAGCCTCGCCTTGACCTAATGGGAAGATTAAGATCGTTAGATTCCTCTGCAATGATACTACTGGCGGACACGGCAGCCGGAATGGACGAAGTATTTCATACCTTGGCAGCCCTCTGCGGTCCTTCCAAATCGTCCAAGATCTGTTGGTCAGTCTGGCGCAGTGGCCGAGGCTGCGATTCCCTGGACTGATCATTTAATGCGCCAGCCGTCGTTTCTTTGGAACCCATAATGGCCAGCAGAAAATTTTCAAGTCTCTGGAAAGTAGTAAAATCCACATGGACCTGCATTGGCTTGACCTCGATCGTAACATCCCGCGCGTAGCCACTTGGTGCTGTAGTGGTGGCGTCAGGGGAGGGCGTACTTGACTTTGAGCCATCCCTCTTGTGGTTGCCCAAAAGAACCCTCATTTTGACAACCTCTTTGGCTATCCCACTCGAAGACTCTTTAATGGTCGAATTGGGATCTGCACTCGAGGAGGATGCTGATTTATTGCTGTCCGGTTTCCGCATGCTCTTCTTGGACCGCAACAAGAGACTGCGCTCACTCAAGTAGCGATCAGGCATATGCAGCACCGGAAATTTCGAGGTCGGAGAGGTTTGTACAATTGAATCCTGATCCATTTCAAACTCAACGATGGGTACATAGTGTCTTCGAGATGGAAGTCGGTACCGATCAGACGTCAGATTCCAGCTTGCCGTGTCATATCGCTTGGGGGCGGACTCGATCCACTCAGCGATTGAGAAATTGTTGAGCGCAAAATCAACTTGGCTCTTCGCCTCCTTTGCAGTTTTTTGTCCGCCCGTATTTGTGTCGAGTCCCGTCCATTGCTGATATCGAAGAACCATGCTATCCAGCTCCAGCTTCAAATGATCAGCTCTTAGGGCCTCTGGAACCGGGTTTTTAAAGAAGTTGGCCTCTGTAGGAATATGCCGTTGCGATGCTGGATCCTGATACAGAACAAACACTTGAAATGTGTTGATCCGTGCCTTGAGTTTTACGGTAAGCGACGGTGGTACATTGGATATACTGGAAGATGGAGGAGAAGCACTTGGCTGGCTGTCCACATAAATCGATCCGCGCAAAAATCGAGATGAATCCATATATACGGTTGGAGTTGAAGCAAGTGTCGGTATCGTCGCAGTCGCTCTAGTGCTCCATGAATCTCCCGGTCTGCCGTTGTCGAGTGGCCGACTCCCAGAACTCCTAGCCTGTGTCCCCTTCAGCGGATCGGTGGTCTGTAGACGCTTAGGTGATTGGGGCGACTGGGTATGAATGGGAGAAGCTCGTTCTGCAAATGCGTCTTCCCTTATGGCGCTGCGGCCCATATACTTCGATGCTTGTGGCCCAGCATCTGCTGCGCCCCGCTCCATACCAGGCTCTGTATCTGCCCGCGTCTGATTCTGAGCGCTCTGAGTGTCCGTGGGTGAGGCACTGTCCATCAAGGCAAGGATTTCGAGAATGAAGGCGACTTGGTTTGGTGAAAGAGCAATGAATATGGAGCGCAAATGAAAGTCGATATCCATGAGCGACTTGATGGGCATATCCGCTTGATTTGGTGTGGATCCTGAAATCATCTTTGTGTTCTTCCGTATGCTGACCTTAATTCGGCTTTTGTGCTGCAATGTCGATAAAATCTCGGCTGCATATAGGTCCGACGTCGCCTGAGCGCTAGTAGCTTGTGTCGACTGCGAAGGCGTCAAAAGTGGTGTTTGTTTGAGGGGCGCCATTTGTGAATCCACTATCGACTGCGAAATGTTCTCCTGAGCGTCTGTGAAGACATCCGAATCCGAGTCTGAGTCTTCCTGGCCATCAGAATGCGCGCCCGTATTGATACTAGATCCATCCTTCGCCATTGGGTCAACCTGCACCACCATTTCTTCTGCTTCCCCCTGTTGTCTGACCCAAATTGAGAATCCCCTAAAGACAACTGTCTTGATTGACTCTGGAGAATCCAGCCAAATGACGCTAGGAGCCCCGGATTCACCAAGCACGGTCGAAGAAGATGCAGAATCCGGATCCTGTCTCAAGGAAGAAGACCTCATACTTGATGCGTCCATGCTGCCGGTGGGTTGATCCCAGCCTGGAGTTTCGTCACGATATGCAATATATGGCAAACGGATTTCCAATTCGTAATTCAGTTTCTCATTGGAGGTACCGATGGGTTGTGTCTTGACCAAAGGGAGCGACGAACTATGGCGCAGACGGATAACCGTTCCTTTGCAAATAATTTGAATCCTGGCCAATAACTTCTCAATCACCCTGGCCACGAACTGCACGCCCTGACCTTCTGACATTCTCTCCTCGGGCTCCTCGATAGGTACAGACAGTGGTGGGGACGGGATTTGTGAAGAGGACGGCCGTGAGTTGAAATCTCCTGGCATTCCTGAAGGTGCTTGACTTTGAAATGTCTGAAGTAACGACTCCTGGAGTGCCGCCTCCTCCTTGGCATCCGCCTTGTGCTGATGAATAAAGTCGCTGGCAAGTCCTACAGAGGCGGACAGGATCTGGTCCTCGAGATCGTGCAATGAAGCTGACTGAAATGTCGACCGCACGGGCGCCAGGGTCACGTCAGCGCCATCGATCTCTATAATGCACTGCCCGTTCCAGAGGTTCCTCCACGGGATAGTCGCTGTAATGGATCCAATGCGTCCCTGTGTAACAGCGAGCGGAGTTCCAGCCGCGAGGTCATTGAGCGCCTAATGATATGCCAGAAAGGGTACAGGTTAAAAGTTAGCAATGCAACAGCACGTAGAAGGATAAACAAATAGAGGAGTGCGTGATGCTATAGATGGTGATATACTGCAAAGGATTATAGCTTTCTATCGTGCGATTGCTATGGTCTAGGTTCTAGTCCTGCTGTGGGGAGAGTCATGAAAATAAATGCTACTCATGCCCTGCACATTTCCATACGAAGACGCCTGCGGATTAAATTCGTGTCTCGTCGTGTCCCAGCTGTCAAGCTTTGTGGTCATACGGGTGTAGTTGATCCAGTATAAATGTCTCCTTGCTCATTATTTCTCGCTGTTGCTGTTTTCTAGAGCAAACAGAAAGGTCGCCCTTTTGATACAGCCAAGGTTGAGCGTCGCTGCCTTCGAAGCTGCCGACACAAATGACTCTCACTGAATAGGCTGAGCCTCCAACTAGCCCCCATTCACTGAGCACAAAAAAAAAAAAAGACCAAGAATAAATAAAGACTGTGCCCACTGGACAATCGCATGTGCAACACTGACTACTGCTTGCGTATGTTGATTGTAATCACAGCGTAGCACATTTAGTTTGCTCTGCTGCTATGGCTGGATATGGTTTGTCGAGGCACCATTGTTGCAGTTGGTCCTCTTGGAGCGAATGCCTCCCATCGAGCGGGATACGGCCTCTCTGACACAACTAATAATGAATTGTGAAACACCCAATCCTGCTTCATAAAAAAAAACGTACCCTGGCATTGAGCTTGAGGTCCGTCAAGTGAACGACACCGTTCGAGAGCTCGATATCGAGCTTTTCTAAATCCAGGTCATCCTCCAAAAAGTTACCGATGGCTCGTTGAAGCACAAAGCTGAGAATGCGCTTCTGGAGTCCGAGAGGAACGGCAAAGGACGGAAGCAAGTTGCCAAACCCCCAAGCCTTCATGGTTTGTCTCGAAACTGGAGTTGAGAGGCCGGGAAAGGCCACGGGAGAAGGAAGAGCGGGGTTTTGTGTTGCCGTATGTTTAGAGGATTTGGTTGTGGTAGCGGTACTGGGGAGGCGGAGTAGCCGGTTGAAGGTGAAGGAAGACGTCGACGGAGAAGCGCACCTTCGAAGAATGGAAAGTAAGGCCTTGCGAGGATTCGATTTTAGAAAGGGAGGGAAGGGATGAGGAAGTCGATGTGGATATGAAGCAAGAGCGCATGCACGGAGGAGGGGGAGAAGGTGCGATCAGAAGAGGGAGGAGGGAGGAGGGGGATGATGACACTAGGTGGGGAGGGCCGGGCATAACCCATGAGTTTCTCCCCATTCCCTTTGCGGACTCTATTCGTGTGCTCAGCTGTCAATTGACTGCTTCCAGTTTAGAGTTCAGCAGCATGGCATGGCATGGCATGCGGACAAAGAGCCCGTCCATAACACTTGGTAGGTTGCATCGGGAAGACAGACAACTCTTACTAAACCACCATGCCAACAACACATCTTGTTCCTGCGTTGCCAGAGAACAAATACTCCGTTTTATTTCTTCTAATTCCACTGACGCGACGGGCGATGGCTACTGCGTCTGCGCTGCGAGATGCGGATCTGTTTCCTGCGCTCCGACTCTTCCAGGTTGCTCAGTCCACCTGTCTCAATATACAAACGTAAGTTCGGCCCTACCACATATCCAAACGACTCCATCTCTTCGATCGCGTACTTGATTCGGGGGTCGTTCTCGCGCGCTAGCTTGCGTACCAGACTTGTGTAGATCGGTTCTGACGGGATCACATTATGACTTTTCATCTCTTCCAGGTACATAAATGCGTCCTCGTAGTTAATCTGTGTCAGGCACAGCGAAATCAGCGACTGGTATGTGTCAACATTGGGGTCGACTCCTGCGCTCTGCATCATCACAATAACATTCTTGCCCTCCGTCATATTTCTGTCCGTGATGCAGCCTGTCAGCAGCGCGTTGTAGGTGTCCGTGTCAGGTTGGACCCCCAGTGCCGGTGCCGATTCAAAAATGGCCATGGCTCGTGTCAGGTCCTTGCTTCGACCGCATGCCTCAATGAGAATGTTAAAGGCGACCACATCGACGGTCTTGCCCTCCTGGTGCATTTCCTTCATGCAGACAAACGCATCCTCAATGTTGCCTGGCTCATCCAAGACCTTGAGTAAACTCGAGGCTGTCAGGATGGTCGGCTTCATGCCCGATGTCCTCATGATCGACAGGACATTGAAGGCAGATTTGAATTTTTTGGCAAGCGAAAAAGCCTGGAGCAGTGGTGCAAAATGATACTCCTGGAACTCCATGCCGCTGGCACCCATGTACTGAATCACCTCTGCCGATAACCGAGGAGCCTTTCCTTGCCCTGCACAGTTCAAGACCATCATGCAAGTTCCCTCATCCGGATATGCGCCCATCTCTTTAACAGCCTTTTTCCAACAGTACTCGACTGCATGAAGCTATGATGTAAAGCATATCGGTGCGGCATATGATTAGGAAGCTGATACCATGGTCATACATGCCGATCTCAAAACGGAACTAATTGTGATCCATCTGCGTACCACATAATCTTCGGCAGCCCTGGCCATCAGATCCAAGTACACGACTGGCGGGATCCTGGAAAGGCCTGCTTGAACCTCTGCCATTTTCAAGACCATATAGGCCGTCTCAGACTCGTGAAGTGCCTGTGCTAGTTGAATGATGGGTGTGTAGCACTGCAATGTCGGGCGGACGTCAATCACGGGTCGGCCATTTTCGTCCGGCTGACCATATTCATTGACAGAGACGGCCATATCTCCCAACAGATCCAACGCATGCTCTAGTTCCTGGTTCGCACAGAGCCCCTGAATAATGATCTCGTACGAGTTGGCATTCAGCGATAGTCCTGCTTTGTTGACCATATTCCTGATCTTCTCCATTACGACTGTCTCTCCATGTAATGCCGCAGCCTATATTCAAATATATGATAAATAAGACTGTTTTAGCATTGCTGTGGTAAAAATATCAGGTGCCTAACTCAATGTGTATGGCTCTCTGTCTTCATACCCGCAATCCGATGTTGAATGCTGAGATATTTGGAGGAACCCCAACCAGCGCCATCTCTTCCAACGTCCGCAGAATGTTATCCAGATCATTGTTCCGTGCATGAGCCTCGAGTAGTACAAAATATGTGGTCTGATCTGGCTCAAGCTTGGCTTCAAGGATCTCTCTGCACTTGTCGAAAATGGGCAGAAATAGCTGGGGTTCTTTGGCGAGATCAATCAGTCTCCGATTGAATTTGTGAAGTGGTGTCGACGGATAGGTGCCTGTGATGATGCCACGACTGCCGGAGCCTGGCATTCTATGGCTGATAGACGAAGTAATTATAGATGATTTGCATAGTGAAATGGAGCCATGGCAAGGTAGCTCAGGCGATGGTGTATGTTGCCGAGAGAGTAGTTGGGTTGTGTGTCTGGTTGCTGCCGGTGTTCCTACTGTATAGAGCCGGCTGTTGTTGTTGCTGTAACAGGTTATGCGCTGCAGTAGCGCTCCTCGAAATGTTCTACACCTTGTCAACATGGTGCTCCTGTACATGTGTATTAAGCGATGGTCTCCGTCGTCGATTTGTCCGGAAACTGATTGTGGAACTGGAGGGAATATGATCAGTTTCTGCCAATGGTGAAAAAGCACCGAGAGTGGTTCCTGAGTGACTGTTCGTTTGTTTACTTCATATGTCCAGAAAAGGAAGGAAGGAGCAATTGGCATCCTAAAAGGAACCGCTGAGCTTGCGGTTCATGATTGAACAACTCCTTTTTACCCTCAATGACTATGAACCGTGGGGGACAGCTGCTGCTGTCACTGCCACTCTTCAAGAACACAGCTGCAACTTCCTTTCCGCTGCCATCATCAGCACCGCTTTGTTATCGTTGTCATATTCTTCAAAGTCGAGCGAACACCTCCGTTCTCACCTTGAACCAACCCCTTCGCAACTTCTCTTTGTCGCGGACGCACAAAAACAAAGCAACTTGTACTCTTCCCGCATCTGCCACTGGAATCAGTAAAGAAGCTTCTGAATCCCCAATTCCGTCGCAACTGCCGCACCCGCCAAAGCTTAGGAAGAGGTCGCGCAATAGAAAATATGCGAAGCAGCGAAGCGAATCTATTTCTTCGACTACCAGTACGATCAACTGCCTTCTGGACCGCCTTACCGACATCCGCGTAACCGATTACGATCGCTTGGCCAAAGTTCGCTCGAACCAGACGCTACTCAATAACTTTTCAAGGCTCCATGTCGCACTTCACGATCTGAAGAATCCAGAGGTCATGTGGGAAGCTTATCAGGACCTCCGCAAGGTTCCTGAAGACGTTAGTATGCTTTCGCAGGACGTCCTGAGGCTTCTCATTATCCGCTTCAAAGAAGCCTCAAACTCATACTCGCCTAGGGAAAATAACGACAGGAGCAAGCTTGCGTGGAACCAAACTTGGAATGCCAGAATTGTCACAGTGCTGAACGACAAGCGTGTATTGCTTCCTCGGTTTTCGCGATGGGATTATAGCGATATGATGTCGGCACTCAATCGTCTAGGTCGATATGATGAGTCCCTCGAAGAGTTCGAGCGAGTGGTCGATTCAAAATACAAAGTGGATCCCATCCTGTTGAACCATGCTGTTCGGGCTTGGGGAGGATTGGGGCGGCTCGACAAAGCCATTCAAGTTATTCAGGACGTACGAGCGGAGGACGGTGCCAAGCCGAGCGAATACACGTTGGGGTATCTTATTCAGCAGTATCTCTCAACTGGGCAGAAGTCAGAAGCGATCAGATTTTGGAGAGATTTGACAGAGGACAGCACTCTGGAGAGCATCGAGACCGTGAACGGGATCTTGAGGGCATGTGTCAAAGTTCAGGACAGCAAATTTGCCCAGACCGTGTATGATTCGCTTTCGAAACTAGGAGTTGAGTCCAACTTGGAGTCCCTCAGCTTGATGCTGAGCTTAGCTGTTTCCGAGATCCAGTATCCTGACGAACGAATCGAGTTTTTGAGTGTGATCCAGACCAAGATTGCGACAAGCAACAAACCGGTATTTGGCAAGGGCATGCTTGACTCCCTTTTATCCAACTTTTCAAAGAAGGGCGATGCTGAAGGTGCGATCTTGGTATGCCAATTGATGGCCAATTACGGCTATCCACCCGACATCGAGAAACACAACGAGATCCTTCACTGCTATGCTCGACTAGGGCAAATGGACAACGCAGTTGAATGGTTCCAGCAGATGCGAAGGGAAGGTATCCGTCCTAACCGAGCCTCCTACGTACTGCTGATGCAGTCGTATAGCCGACAGAGAATGCCCCGAGAGACCGAGGCGCTATTTCGACAACTCATAACCGACGGTATCGAACCCGATCTGGCAACCTGCAACTATATGTTACTGGCGTACGAGCAGGCAAGGATGAACCGGCGCTGTCTTCAACTGTACAGGGGCATGCTTCAGGATCGATCGATCGGTGTGGACCAGTTTACGTTGTCCTGTATGTTCAACGCTGTGTTCCACAGCGACAAGGCGTTTCTGGAAGGCGGCGAAGGGCTCAAAGGTCGAGGCTCCGCTTTGAATAATGCGCTGTTCCTAGACAGGATTGGGCAGCCCATTGCCCCGTCGACCAACAATTCGGAACAAAATCACACCCCGCTGCAAACCAAGGACAGTCGAGTCAGAAAGTTCTACCATGGCATGGGCGAGCTTCAACCGCTGTCACATCCGCTGCCCAGTCGTCAACAATATCAGTTTGATAATGCCATCTCCACGACAACATCATTGAATCCAAGGACGCTCTTTCGGGACATGATTATGGTCGGGATCAGGCCCAGTCGGTCTCTGTATTCCAATATTCTGCGAGCTTTCCTTGTCCAGAACGATTATGCGGGCGCAGCGGTCGCTCTTCGAACTCTTGTGGATTACTATGTGCTCAAGCCAACACCCAAAATGAATGCAGTTGTCGTCACCTGGGTGTGTCAGGAACTGGAACGGAGAGGGATCAGTGGCAAAGATAACGCTCTCACCAAGGGCGAGCTATCCAAGCTGATCAACATGATGGGTCGAGCACGCGGATTGATTGATATGGTGGAGAAGGTCGTCAATATTGAACGGTGGGGACAGGAGGATACTACCGATGATGATGTTGAAACACCAGCACCTTCCCAGCCAGATGTAGCCGCTGCTAAATCGGAGCACAGATCGATCATCCATAAGGGCTTCCCGGCGAACCACGAGCTGGGTGCGCTTGCAAGAGCGAAGTTGGAGATGGGCGGCGATCTTGTGGACCTGGACTCTAGAAGCGTTGTTGCTGGCTCATCCTGGAACACAACCGAGGATGATACAGTCCAGGTTGATCTGAAGGACTTTGAGCGATGGTATCGTGCCTACTCCAACAGGACCACCTATGCGCAAGCAATCAAAGCAAATCCTCCACTTTCTGAACATACATAAAGGACTAGATCAGAATGTATCCAATGCTCAAAAATAGTTTTATTTTGCTTGTAACAATATTCAGCCGAAAACGCATGTAGAAGAGCGCTCAAAGCCTACTTGGTGGGTCCTCTTGATCTTCAAGCAAGCAAGAAAGACAAGAAGGTGGGGCAGAACGCCGTTGTCGCTAGATCTCAATATGAAGCCTTAGTGAGCGGAAACTGAAGAATAGAGACGCCCAGAATTAGTTTTTGTGTGAAAATACTTGGTGGCCAAAAAAAAAAAAAGGAAAAAGTTACACACCTCCGTTTTCGGCTGTCCGGTCTGGTCGTCGGCCATCTGTCTCAGAATTTGACACGTTGACATCTTCCATCGCCTCTGAAACGGACGCCAGCTCTAACTGTTGCGAGATACCCATTGGGCGACGGCTCTTGCTAGAGGTGGAAGAGGATGGAGGTGGTGATGATGACCTGGAGCGGCTACTCGTTTCCCCATTCTCTGTGTTCTTTGACGAAGGCGACGCCGGTGAGGAGATCGATACAGGTAGTGATGAGAGCAACGGTCCCTCCTTGACCTCTAGTTTGACCTCTGGGTACTCATCCTGTCTTGACTCTGAACTGACTAACTCTGGCTGCTTTTTTTGCACCTCTGGCGACGGTTTCTCTTGATAGATCTTTCGTCGGCTAGACAGATCATGCTCCGATTCTATAGCCGTCTTCTTGGTTTGTTGCTGATGCTGCTGACCAGCCGCATTTCGGAAGACCTTTGCACGCACAGCATCCATTACAGCATCATGGTTCAAAGATTTGCGTTTCATATGTGTGGGCGAGAGAGCTGAAGTCGGCGAGACATGGTCGTCCTTGGGCGTCAAAGGAGGAGGTATATGAGACTGATAGTCGACTACAGCAGCTGGCGAAGATTGCGCCGAAGAGCTCAACGGAGGAAGGCCGTAGTGACGATTCGAAGTCTTTGGAGGATTGGTCGAGGGAAGCGGTGGCAGGGTAGAGTGGGGTGACGGGGGCATACGCTGGGTCGATGGTGGCTGAGGATGATACTGGCGCACCGCCGTGTTGATCTTCAGAAACGGAGGTCGACTCTGAGGACTGGGCTGCATCGCATGCTTATCATGATGAGAATACAGCGGACCCTGGTGTGTTGACTGCGAAGGGTCCTGTGGTTCTTGTGGTGTATGGGCGATATGATCAAGATGCGAGTGTTTGCTGCTGCTTGGGTGCGAGCGGGACGCATCTGCTGAGGAGTAGTGAGAGTAGCTGTTGCTGCTACTGCTGCCATAGTACAAGCTCGAGGAAGCGTAGGGCCCCGAAGGTGCCTCTGTGGAGTGAGAAGGATATGTACGGGCTATATATTGGAGGTATAGGCATGATTCGCGGTTAGGACGTTGGCTCCGTCATGGATAGTACTTCTGCGCCCGTCCAATTGACGGGTATACAATTGAGTTCGGCCGCACCTGGGGGTGATCCTCGAAGCCTCTCTGCTGCCAGTTGAATATCCAGCTGCTTGGATTGTAGCTTGATCCGCTCGGTCATGTAGCGTTCCTCCTCTGCCCGCCGCTATTGAGCGTTTGAAATATAGACGTGTTATGTCGTTGCTGTGGTACAGAGCATGTCTGTTGTTAGGATAATCAATCGATCGGGTGTCAAAGAAAAGAGACATACCTCGTCCTCCTTTGCTTTGGCGTTGAGGACTGAGACCAAGAAATCTTTGCTAGCATCATGGTATCGCTCCAGGATTTCTGCGACTGATAGACTGGGCCTTGACGGGGTCGAGGCGGAGGGGGGTGGAGGAGCAGCCGTGGGTGCGGTCAGCGAGGATGAGGTGTGCAATGGATGGTGCAGCGGGGTAGAGTGAAAGCTGGCAAAGGGACGATGACCGCCCTCGACGACTCCGGCAGAGAGAGGCCCATGGATATCCTGGTAAGAGTAATGGCGGCGAGGGACCTGGAAGTGAGAGTGATGGGGCTGTGGTTGCTGGCCTGGCTTCCGTTGGGAGGAGCTGTTCGAGTGGTCGACCATTTCGTATTCCTTTCTGCACTGTTCCTATTAACTGTAATAATATTCAACCAGCGCCTGCTGCGTGAAGGAGAAGGCAGAGGAGGACAGCGTGCAAGCAAAGTCAGCAAAGAACAGCAGGAGTTATGTTGCAAAGGGCAATTGAAAGGAACAAAGGACAGAGCGAGCGCATTCATTCATTCATTCAAATATGTGAGATATGAAAATGAAAAACGTGCTGCAACCGACCGGGTTTCAGTCTCATCCCATCTCTCGGATCCAAAAGGCTTTCTTTTTTATTCATCACACCAACACGAATCCAGGCATGCATGTTGATGACGAGAATATGTTATGTACCTTTTGTTCCTCGGTGAGGGAGATGAGGATGGAGGATGGGTTTGAAAAGGGATTAATTAAAATAAAATAAAAAGGATGAGGAAGGGATGGCGGGATTGAATCAAAGGAAGAAAGCCCTGCTGAAATAAATAGTTTGCACTCTATCGCTTCCATCGGCATGTGCCCCTGCTGCCTCCTCCCATGCCAGTTCCTCAATGCTGTGCAACCGCAATTTACTCTACACCAACCAACCCACTAACCAATCAACCTGCGAAAAAAAATACTAAAAAAACAGAAAGTACACTGCATACTCTTCTGCTTGCCTGTCTGCCTGCACGAGTACATGTATACATTCATATCTATTTCCTTCGTCGATCCTTTCCATCCGAAGGAGCAGGGCTGCGAAAAAGTATGATCGAGTGTGCAGGGTCTTTTTTTTTTTTTTTTTTTAAGCAGTTTATTGGTTGTCGATCTATCCAAAAAAGGAAGGTGACTCCGTCCTGAGCAAGAAAATAAAAAGGCGAGCTGATTCAATTCCTCGATCCTTTCCCCATCGCCCTCTCCTGTCTCTTCTTGACGCTATACCAGTCTATATTTCACAGCATTCATCTCCTTCATTCGGCAACAATAACCTGAACTGAAGCTAGCGATGCCCGTTCGTCTTATCAATACGTCAAGAGAGGTGATCGAGTTCCCTACGGTGCAGGAGGCATACGAGTTCGTGCTCACACTTGATCCGCCAATGGCCTTTAGGACAGACGCTCCCAAGCCGGTCTGCATCCCCATCGATCCCGAGTCAAGTCCTGATCAGCTCTCCGAGCGCACCTATGCCATCCTGCGTACGTGCCTCTCTCCATCTGAGCCAAATGAGGCTATGTCCATTTCTGTAACAGATTCAGTCGATACATAAGCTGGCATGGAAACTAATATGGTATCTACATCCACTGACACAGCTTTGACGGACGAGGAGAAGGTGGCGATGAGGAACAAGCTGCACAATATGGTGGATGAGATGAAACAAGGCGGAGTCATCCCCGGTCTGTCGGACGCAGACTCTGGGCTTATCACTGCGCTTGCCCAGTCAGCCGAGGACACTGCCGGTGATGGATCGACATCGACTGTGGACAAGTTATAGGAACAATAAACGGCTGCGACTTTCTGGAAGATACCCACTTGAGTGACTGGGAATGGTGTTGCTGTAGGACACAGCAGACGTACATGTAATCAATGCTCACGCATCCGTCTGCCTCTTTCGCTCCTTTGCTCCTTCGCTCCTCCGTTCCTCTCTTCCCTCTCGTCTCTTCTCTCTCGCTCCCTCTCTCTCTCCACTCTTTTACTTCTCTACTCTACCCCTTGCCCGTCCTCCTTCCTTCCTTCCTTCCTTCATCAGTCGCGTCTCACCGCCCCTCATTGACTCGCCTGCCTTACCTCATCTTGCCTCCTAATGCCCATCTTCGGACAGGCCCGCGGGGTTGCTGCTGGGAGGTCAAGAAGGTCCGATTCAACCGCCTCCACATCTACAAAGCCCCTCTTCTCATCCCAAGCCCATTCCCATCCTTCCCCATCAACATCCAATGTCGCCACCGCAAACACATCCAGGCACGGCCTTGGTATTGCCACCAACACCAACACCAACACCAACACGACCGCGACCACGACCACAACCACAACCCCAGCCAAGGGCTTATCCTCGTCCTTCTCCTCTGGAAGTGTCTTAACTGTTGAACACGGTGCACAGAGCAGGAAACACACCAGCAGCACATATCCGCATGCGGACAGGATCGAGGAGGAGTCCTTCGAACATAGTGGACACCAACAACACCTCCACCATCACCACCAGAACAGCAGCAGTACTCATGGCAACACCCATAGCGGTAATAGTAATAGCAATAGTAGTAGCCCATCCTTCTCCAGAACAGACCTCGCATCCACTGGACGAACAAACCATCGACGCAGTGAGAACGGCAGCAACGGTTTTGGTCTCTCCACTGCAGACACAAATGTATGTTCAGAGCTCTTTGTTACTAAGCTATGTGCCGCACCGAAACCGTAACCGCAACCACGCTTTTTATGCCGCGCAGTGCCACCTCCATCTCCTCCCCTTGAACAACAACAACAATATCGCGTTACAAAACGAGCGACATCTTGTACCACGGCATTTTAAATGACCGCGCTTTTCGGACACATTTGAAAACAGAAACACTTGGCTACTCCTACTCTCCTCGTACGCGACCAATTGCACCAAAGACAGCACCCACAGAAAAAAAAAAAGTGCACATCAACAAACAAAGCCCACAATCGGCCTCTTTGTATTGTCTGGCTAGCAAACAGGGCTCATTCTTTGTTTGTTGTTTGGCACCTTGATGCGATCGACCAGCAGCATCAAAACGAATGCCGTTTGCCGCTCTTTTTCTTGCACATACCTAGCCCCTCCTACCTTTTCTTTTCATTGTCTTCGTTCCTGGCCCGTCTCGCAATCTGATTAGCAGCCACCTACTCATAACTTTAATGAGTGATATTTTTCATTCACGCGTTTGTGCCGCAAGGGAGAAAAGAGCAAGGGGTAATAATTGCTCACGTCTTGCATTATGATACTCACTCCGCATTATCCAACCCCAAAACCTTAATAAAATGCAGTTTAGGGCAGGATTGAAGTTGATACAACAGGCGTACGAGGACAAGTTCCAAGCCTTGGTCGAAGAGGTCAACACATGGAAGTGGATTTCAGAGGAACAGAGTGCCCAGGTATGATGTTTAATCTGCAATTACGGCATTGAATGTATTCGATCGTAGTTTGCCACTAATAAGAAGTCTTGCTTTGATACAACTGTATTAAAGATGACGGCCATGGCCACCGAGTTGGCTCGAGTAGAAGAGAAGCACGCCGCTTTGCAAAAAGAGGTACTGTGCATTTAATATCTCTGCCATCTGCCATATATTCTATGGACAATGGTTGATATCAATATCTAACCGTTTTTTCAAACAACCAACCACATAGATGGCCCAACTCGAAACGTTCCGCAAGGCAAGCGACGCGCAGTGGAAAAAATGTGTCATTCTGCACAATGCAAATGCAAACGCCGCTAATTGGCCGCTCTTTCCCTTGCTTTGAAACTTTGCAGGCGATTGTATCAATGGTGGACCAACATTCTGGAGTGTCGCTGACACAGCTCGAGCTATCCATACTGGAGACAATTGAGGCCGACACAGAGAATGCGGATGCTGGATACGATGCTATCGCTGATGCAGACACGAGCTCATTTATGCTCGACAACGACACCGATACATCGGTCGTTCCTTCGTCACGCCAAGCACGATATGCCCGAGAGGAGGTGCATTCCAGGGACCAGAAACCGAGCAATGGCTCGAGCATAAACTTGACGTCGCTTAAGAACGGCTCAAGTTCAGATTTGACATCATTTAAGAACGGTTCGAGCTTGAATTTGACATCATTCAAGAATAGTTCGAGTTCAAACTTGACATCCTTCAAAAGACCGCCAAATTCTGCCGTATCTCGTCCACGCGCATCCACAGAAGCTTCTGTAAGCTGCATTGCTGTATTTGTCTAATGCTCTGGACTCCTTTGATTTCTGGAGCTATCTCTGCACAATTGGATCTGACATGAGAATATCTGAATATATAGGCAAAGAAATCCAGAACTCTCTACAGTTCGAGCCGCACAGAGGTAATCATCGTTACTTGGTGGCTGGTTTTTTCTTTGTTCCTCTCATCTTTCTCCCAAAGAATCACGTCGTAATCTCGGCTTCCTTGCGATTTTGAATTCAGAACCAGAGCGGACGCTCTCCATCGAAGTATAGCAGCGGTTCAACAACTCGCAGTGGCTCTGCAGTATTGTCTGACAGCTCTGCGACGGGATTGAAAAAGATGACTAAATTGGATTCGGTGGAAAGTCTCCGCAGCAAACGCAACACGATCTCATCATCTCCTCGATCCATATACCCTAATACGACTCTTACTGCAAGCGATACTGCCAAGAGACATTCGAGCGTGTCGCCTCTGTCATCCCGAGCGAGGGCGATTGTTGCATCGTCGTCAACAACATCCAGAGGTGTGGCCGGATCGGCTTCCTTCTCTACGAACTCGACACCATCGACGTCGCCCCGGCAAGCATCGATCGGTGCGACAGCGACATCGATCGCAGGATCTATGGCCTCCAGAACTGCAAGACAGCAGCAACAGCAGCAGAAAGATTACAGTCTCAAAGTCAGGAACTCGATGACTCAGCCGGCGAATCGTTCTGGCACATCTCCGCTAACGTCGATTCCTCAGGGAAATCGAAAGCAGACTCTTGCAGACACATCCGCAGTAATGCCGTCGAAATCCAGCGCCTTGAATGTCTCGCAGATCACGAAACGACCGCAAAGATCTGGATCAGATACATTGCCTGCAAGCGGCCTTTCACCAGCGGCATTGAAGCTGCTGAGGCAACAGGAGGAGCAGCAACAACTGGAGGAGGAAAACGAGTATGCACAAAAGAGTGCTGCTGGACACAGTCACCATGGATCCCACCAGCACACTGATGATGAGGACTATCGTCGCTCAGTCGTACTTGGACATAGACATGAACAAGCGTATGCGCATTCAACGGTGAACGAGGGCAGTCGCTCAGTACTTCAGCGCAATAATTCTGAAGCGGGATATACGAGTACGCCACATAATATCCGTGCATCTGGATATGAGTCGAGTGCGAGGAACCAGAGGGAGGAGAGCCAATACCGACAGATCGCTTCATATGGAGACAAAGCGGACAAGCACGCAGAGGGCACTGCGAATAAAAATCGAGTAGAGAAGAGTGGCGGCAGCGGTAGCGGTGGGGTGGATGCGAGTGCGTTTACGATGTTGTATAAGGAGATTCGAGATTCTATGGACGCCTCGTCCTTTGGGATGTTTGCACGCGGTATGGTTTATTCAGGATTTGAATCTAAGTTGCAGTCATTTTGACTTTTTCTGACCATTTCTTCCTTTCTTTTTCTTTCGAAATGGACAGTGGTGGCCGCGTTTAATGAGGGTGAAAAGACGACGGAGGAGACGCTGGGTGAGGTGGGCAAGATTGTGAAGGACCGAACGCTGAATCAACGATTCCGGGACCTGATTCATCAGGCGATCGCTGAGAAGGAAAACCAAATCGAGAATGAGGGTGGCAATATGACGATGGAGGGGGATCTGACGTTCGATGTTGACCATAGTCTCCTCGAAGATAACGATCATAATGGTAACGGTGGCGGCGTTGATGACGACATTGATGATAATAACCAAGCTGATGTTGGTCAAACCCATGAAGTAGGATTCTCAGCGAAGGAGGAGAATGAAAGTTTTATGAGGGAGGTAGTAGAGGCCGATGAATCGATGTTAGAGGACCAGCCAGTAGAATTGGATGCGAATCTAGATCAAAATCCCTGGGAGGAGATGGAGCATCTGCATTTACAGGACGAGGATGTCTTGGAAGCGAAGAGGGATCTAAAGGCCATGGATGAGGAAGAGGAGGGACTCGAGAGTGATGGCGGAGTAGGTAAATCTGGACAGATACATGCACGCAAACTGTCGATGTGATCCACCATCTAATTAGCCAGCAGGAAAAAAAGTAACGTTCATTGCAATGCCAATATTCAATATAATAAGACAGCGAGTTGTTGTACACAGCGCAGTAGCGATTGTTCATGCATCTTGTTGCAGTGTTAGATAACGCGGCAGCAGCACAGCCGCCTTGAGTATTACATGATCCTGTGGCTGTGCTGGGAATGAAATATGTTCGAATTTAAGGTTGTTCATAACTCAGGTATTATGTTTCTATGTGCCGTCTAATCCAATCTAATTTTGTCTAATCTAAGCATGGTCCTGCCATGCATGTTGTTCTTGGTTCCCGTAAGTCTATGGTGTCGACATCATTATCTTCATGATCTCGATCTCCTAAAAATCCGCCAAACACTCGATCTCTTTGCAGCTTGTTGAGGATTCTGCTGCTGTTGCTGTTGCTGTTGTGCTTGTTGTAGTGATTGGCGTGGCTGTTGCGGTCCAAGGTCTTTGTCAGTGTCTATCATTGTTGGATTTCGATTTTTTCGTGTATTTTCGATCATTATTTTTTTTTTTAAAGCAAGAGAAGAGGACATGACATTCCACATTCGGACATGGTCAATGGTCAATTGGTCAGGTATTGGTAATTATTGTTGAAATTACAATAATAATAGAACAGGGTGAACCAGCTTTTAGAAGAGAAGTGGGAGAACGTCTACTCAAAAGGTTTGAGGAGAAAGATAGAAGAACAAAAAAGAGGAAACGGGCAGGAAAGGTTACAAGAAAACAATGGAAAAGATATAATAGTTTAACAAAGCACAATAACAAAAATGCGAACGGCACAGCGAAAGGGAGGGAGAGACATGATAAATAACAATCAAGAGGAAGAAGAGAGAAGAGAAAAAGGTATAAGCACAGAAACGTCCCAGCCCACCCTTGTTCTTTCCTTTAAAAGCACGCAAACTTACTCTTCCTGGCCATCAACTCCTCCATCCGTGCTTCCATGATCGCCCGCGTCTCCACAGCCTTCTCCTTCTCCCTCCTCTCCTTCTCCACTAAACTCTCCAGCCCCTGTCGATCCGTCTCGCCCTTCTGCTTCGCCGCCGCCAACTCCGCCCGGACCTGCTCCACCTCCCTCGCCAGCTGCTCCTTCTCCGCAAGTGACGCGTCTCTCTCGCTCTTCGCCTGCTTCACCCGCTCCTCCGCATCCGCAAGCGCTGCCTCCAGCCGATGAATCTTGCCCTGCTGCATCGTCTGCTCAACCTTCAACGCCTGCACTTGATGCGCCAACGTATCGACCACTCCCTTCAGCTCGTTCACCTCAACGCCGTGGAGTGCCTGTGCAGTTGCAGCCGAAATGTTGCTCACACTCATCGTGCTTCCCGTCGGGCTCGCCCATCCATTGTTATGCGTCGATTCTGAAACATTCGACGCTGTCGAGTCCCGATCCACACGACGCGCCCCTCCAGGTGAACCTGCTGTTGCTGCTGCAATAGCCGCGCGACTATTAGCCGATCCAGTCCTTGACGGTTTCATACTTGGCGACGCGCTCGGCGAAGCCGTCTCCAGATTGAACACTCCACCAATCCTGGGCGACGGCGGTGCGTTTCCAGTCAAATGTGCCGGCATGCTCTTAGCAGCCACAACGGCGCCTACAGGAGGCGGAGGAAGTGGCGCTGTTGGTGGAGGGGTCGGTGGTGTGCTGACCGCGGATCCGAACGTTGGAAACGGACGCAATGCTGGCGATATCTTTTCAAGACTTTGACGAGGAATCATCTGTGTAGAGTTCAACCGGGTCAGTTCAGGATCCGACGACTTGTGCATGATACCTAACCCAATCGCTAACGTCGAGGCCGATGGCGGCACCTTTTGGCCATGGCTACCGTTGTTATTGCTGTTGTTATCATTAGCCGTAGGTGATGATTCACCTGCACCATTAGCTGCCTGGAGCTCTGCAATCTTCTCCTCCAACATCTTGATCTGCTTCGCTTGCTGAATCAGTGTCGACTCATGTCGTCCTGCCCTGTTACCAAGCTGCTGTGAACCAGACGCCGTCGTGCTCCAGCTCTGCCGGGGCGTCGCCAGCGAATCCTCCGCTTTACCGTTCACGAGCTGATCCGACGAAGTTGACGTCTTGTGTCGCAGAATACGTTCATGCATCGCAACAATTCGGTCATCATCATGAGGACTTGGGCTTGCATTGCGGTCCAGCCGCTCGGCACGGTCCTTGAGCGTCCGGATCTCATCCTGCTGCGCCTGTTGCTCCAGGACATGCTGCAGTTTGATCGACTCTTGCTCCCGCTCGAGCGTGAGCAGTCGCTCCTGCAGACTGTGGTTCTTCTCATTCAGCTCCGCGACGATCGAAGACAGCTCCTCGGACGACTGCAACGCCTGGTCACGCTCAGCTTTTAAGGACGTGAGCTGTGCTGCCGTGGTTGCCGAAGACGGATGCAAGTTCGAGTTGTTCGAGGCTAACGATGTCGACGAGAGATTGTTGGGCTTAACGGCATCCTTCTCCTCCAGGAGCGTTTCCAGCTCCGTAATCCTCGCCTTCATCTCCTCCTCCGCATCCTCGAATGCCGTAGCCGCGTCCGAGAACTCGGATGCAAGCAACTCCAGATCCTGGCTGAGGCGCTCGATCTCCTTCTCGTTCTCGCGAACAAGCGCTCTGTACCGTGCCTTCTCCTTCTCAAGCCTCTGAATGACCGTAGATTCTTCGCCTGCGGCAAAATTTGCGACCGAGGAGGATATTGACGCTGGTCTTGACGAGGACGGTGAGTGCTGTGCCTCGCTCAGCTTGTTCTGCAGTAGCTCGATCGTAACTAGATGCTCCTCAACACTCGTTTGAAGAACCTTGATCTCCTCGCCCACGGCCTGGTAGCGTCGCTCGACCTCCTCCAGACGTGTCTCGGCGTCATCCCGGTCAGCCTCTGCGACCTTGACCTTGTTCTCCAGGGTCTGGACAGCCTCTGCAAGCTCAGTCTCCTTGCTGGACAACAGGTCCCTTGCGGCGATGGCCTCAGCGTCAAGAGTAGTAATTTTCTCACTTGCGGCGATGGCCTCAGCGTCAAGAGTAGTGATTTTCTCACGCAGCTCCTCCAGGATCCGTCCTTGCTCTTGCTCCTTTGTCTGACTCGCTTTCAATTGCTCCAGTGCCTCCTCCAGCTCGCCCTGAACTTTTGTGACCTGCTCCTTCGTGCTATCATCCGAGCGCTGCATTGTCACCTCAAGTGCCAGGACTTTCTCCTCCAGCTCTTGAATCAACGCAGCTTTAGACGCCAACGTCTCATCATGCTCGCTGATTTTCTGGGCAAGTTCCTGCTCCAGCTGCATCCTGGTCTCAACGGTGCCCTCATGCTGCAGAACTTTTTCCTCGAGCGAAGCTATCATGTCCGCCTTTTCACGGATCAGAGCCGACTGATCCTCAATCTCCTTCTCCAGCGTCTGAATGCGCTCCTTATCCGCCTCCCACTGGGCCTTGATCGCATCACGATCCGACTCCAGCTCCGCAGCTCTGGACTTCTCAATAGTCAGCTCCGCAAGCTGGTTCTCGACCTGGGTCTGCAAGGCCTCGACTTTGGCCCGCTCCTTCTCCATCTTTTCCAGCAGCTCAAGCAATTCATCGGCGAGATGCTCCTCCGCTGATTGCTTGGCCTCCGAGATCTTGGCCTTGAGTTCCTCAACGACCTTCAAGGCCTCCTGCTCGGCTTTGGTCGATCGCTCCTCCAGATCTTGGATCCGTGCCAGATTCTGCTCAAGCTCCTCCAGATGCTTCGACTCGCTCTCCTGCGTCGTCTTGAGTCGGCCCTCCAGATTTGAGACCGCCAACTGCAACATCTCCTCCATCTCCGCGGCCGATGTGAGCTCCCTTTGCAGCTTCTCCTCCATCTCCGCAGCCGATGTAAGCTCCCTTTGCAGCTTCTCCTCCATCTCTGCAGCCGATGTAAGCTCCCTTTGCAGCTTCCCCCCCATCTCCGCAGCTGATGTAAGCTCCTCCTGCAGCTTCTTCTCCATCTCCACAGCCGATGTAAGTTCCCTTTGCAGTTTCTCCTCCATCTCCGCAGCCGATGTAAGCTCCTCCTGCAGCTTCTTCTCCATCTCCGCAGCCGATGTAAGCTCCTTCTGCAGCTTCTCCTCCATCTCCACGGCCGATGTAAGCTCTTTTTGCAGCTTCTCCAGTCTCTCGGTCAGAGTCACGGTCTCATCCTTAAGCAAACGCTCCGACTCACGGGCCTCGGCCAACTGAGTCTCAAGTTCCTTAACCAGAGCCGTTTCCTTGCCAGCATCTTTGGGCTGCGACACTGCGGTGACCTCGAGCTGCTTCATCAGACTGTCACCGTGATCCTCTTCCGCGTGAGCGCTGTCAGTCCTAGCGTGAGGAGCCTTGGACGCCTCGACTTGCAAAATCAATGCCTCATGCCTGGCCTTCTCCGATTCAAGCTCGAGCTCCAGTGCGGCCTTGGCCTGTAGCATTTCAATGAACTCCTCCTCGCGCTTGATCTCGTTTGTCTCGCGCTCTTCTCTCTCCAGATCCGACTCTGCCACTGCCGGCGAAGACTCCTCTCTCGCAGCCTGAGCCAACTTCAGCGCCTCCGCCTCCGCTTCAGCTTCCTCTTTTTGCCGACGGCACTGCTCCTCCAGCTGATGGATCCTCTCTGAGAGCCTCTGAATCTCCTGCTCCTTGGCCAGGTCCACAAGTGTAGGGGAACTGGACTGCGATCGTTGAATTTCCTCCTCTTTCTCCTTCAGGGCCTGTTCGATACGCTCTTGAGCCGCAGCTTGCTCTCGCGCAAGCTTCTCCTCCAGCTCTTGGATATGTTGTTCACCTTCGGCCTTACGCGTCTCCGCGTTTTGGAGTTCCTCCTGCAGTTTCTGCAGTTGCTGCTCCAGCTCCTTCTGCTGCCTCCCTGCTGCTACTGTTGCGGCGCTATCGTCTGAATCGCTGCCGCTCGATTTCTGCTGTACCTGCTGACTCTTAAGTAACGTCCGGTTTTCGTCCTCAATAACGTCAATTCGACCCTGCTGCTCCTCCAGCATAAGTTCCGAGTGGTTAAGCGCCGCCTGGGTCATTGCCAAATGTGACTCCAGCCCCGAAATCACCTTTTCGTATTCCTCGATGACTGGCTCAACGAAATCTTGGAACGATTTCGAGTCCAAGGATGGGGGGATCGTCAATGGTGGAATACTCGGTCGAGTCTTGGGTGAGGTGGCTACGCTACTCGCACCATTCGTGCCCGTACTCATGGTCGTGGTCCTTGCAGAGGAGGAAGTATCTGAGTACCGGTCGTCTTCTTCTTGAACAGCGTTTAAATAGCCATGGCTGATATCCGTCGCAATAGATTCGCGACTTTGGTAATGAGAGAGTCGTCGAGAAGGTGAGGGTGACATTGCTCGGTCCTCGCTCATGCTGTCGTCGACGCCTCCATGGCTAAAGGTGGAGATAGAGGTGATGGAATGGCGATTCGAATGTAGCGCTCTCTGGCTCGCGCCGTCAAGCCCTGGAGTCGGCGTCCTGTCACCTGCACTTAATGTTCCTGCCCCTTTTGTTGCTCCAGACTCTTTGAGCAATTTGATTTCCAGTTTGAGTTTTTGGATGATCGAGCGCAGGTATTCGGGATTGTCCATGTTGATCTCTTGGTTGAGCGAGGACGAGTTCTTGATATTTCTTGCACGATTTGCATACTTGAGTGTATTCTATGATTGTATTGATAAGCATCAAAAGCGCATTGTTCGTTAGCTAAGAGCATAAACGACATGGCTGTCTACCCATAGAGCCATTACCCGTTGAACTTACAAGAGTCTCGCCCAAATTCAGTTCACTCGGACTGACGCAAGCAATCATCAGTGCTAAAGCGTTTCCTCCCAGAGAATCCTGCAACAACCTTGTCAGTTTCGAGTCGCGATAGGGCACATGACTAGCCTTCTTGCTGGGATCCCCAAGCGCAGAAATGACGTTTCCCAGAGCATGCAATCCTGCATTAATGCTGATTCCCTCTTTGGCTCGGTCTCCGATCGCAGACGTACGCTTCAATCGCTCCGAACCAGCCAAATCCACAAAATGGAACTTGCTGTTCAATGTCACCCACTCTCCTTCCGGCTCTGCGTCGTCCGCCTGTTGACTTGATCCGTTCAACGATGATGAGGACGCTGAGGAAGAAAGGGCATCTGTCATCATGCTTTGACGCTTCAATTTCGATCCGGGAGCCATGATTCCGCTTGTGAATGGGGTTGGTATACTGCTGCCGGTCGTTGGCGTTCCTGGGCGTCCTGAAACTACAAATCCTGGTGCGAATCCGTTTGCACTTGGAGGCCCACTGAGTGGAGAAAGGTTTCCGATGCTCGGTGTTTTCGAGTGTGGACGCTGCTTGGATGTATCTACGGCAACTGGTGGTGGAGGATGGGTCGGGATAAATTTCTCCTGTCGGAGGGTGATGCTGAAGATTGCATGCGACCGAGACGACTTTTCATTCATCTCTGTTGAATGCGTCTGTCTGTTCTGTGAGCCAAACCATAGCAAACTATTGAAAATCGAAGATGAAGAACATGAGAAACGTGTCCGCAGCATTAACAAAAAAAGATTGAGCACACTTAATAAACTGTGCAATGTTCAGCTGTACAATGCATCTTCCTAGCATAGACAGAACATCATTGCACGTACTGGATAACCTCCTCCACGGACGTGACAACAATCTCCTGAACACCTGTCCAGAAGATGTTTCCCTTGGTGTCCTCACGGATGGTCACCGGGGGACGGAAGTCGCCCTTGACGAGCAGGTCGATGAGGTCTTCGTTATAGATCTCGACAAAGGAGACGCGGAAGATGGTCTTGGGCGGCGGGGTCCTGTAGCCTGGGTATACGGAGGGTGGTCTCCTCGCATCTTGGAAGAGCTGGGTCATAGCTCGCGGAATAATACCTACGGGATAGACGCAATGCAGATACAGGGATGCAAAAATGGTTACGTTTAGCAATATCTCCTAGCATGTTTGCATGTGTTACCAAACACCACTGTTTTCTTTAGTGCGATTGCACGCGCAAACATATAAAAGAATCTCCCTCGTGACAGCGCATTAATTAATGGAAAAGTCTGTGCATAGGAGAAGCGAAAGCATATTACAGCAACAAAACAAAATCACATTCCCATCCTCTTCACTTACCCTCGGATGAGCTCCCGCGATCCTCAGTTGTTGGGGCTGCTGTGCCCATGGTATAAGTCTTTCCGGAAGATGTCTGGCCATATGCCATTATGGTCACATTGTAGCCTGCGGTATTAGTATAATAAAAGAAATGCGCGTTAACGATTGAAATTAAAAAGGAGAGGGAAAGAGAGAGAGAGAGAGAGAGGGCGACTTCCAGCCTCAGTTGTGCAAATGGACACGGTTGTACGTCTCAGAATGCTATGCCATTACCTTCCATGAATTTGTCGACCATGCGCTTGACACTGCCCTGGTAGACTTCCTCCTGCGTCGCACCCGTCCCAAAGATGTGATCGAATGTGAAGTGTCGTTGCAACGGGACTACTGCAACTTGTTGAGGCTGATCATGCTGTCCTGATGATGCTCCCGATAGCGATGAGGGTGTAGGTGATCTCTCGATGACATGGAGGACTTCTGTATCTGCGCGTTGTCGAGACTTGTTCTGGCTCCTGCTGTCAGTGAAGATGGGTCGGATGCGGAGTGCTATTTATGTGAAAAAAACAAGCATAGAAACATAAACATTAGCTATCCTTGGTTCTGCCCTGGCTGGCCGTGCCGTGCCGGTACTCTCTTTAGTATCAAGCGAATATTATTTGATAAAGATAATTGGAGAGAGCAATTATTGAGAGCGGAAATCCTCCTTTTGGCCGGTAAAGAGTACAGCCTGCACAAGTGATGGTTGGTATTTGACCAAGCGTCCACTTCCATTCCTCAGACCTCAGATGTTATCGGAAATGTAGAACCAGAGTGTGAGCATCTGCCAGAGCAATTGAACAGGATCTAAAAAGTCTTGCGTGGCAGTGTGTCTGTCTTCTCGCAATGCAAAAATGCTGGTCGGCGTATGGGGCTGGCTGACTGGTGCTGGCTGCAGAGGCCGAAAATAGGCTGACACATCGATTGCGACGCAAGACAAAGATTTTTCCGTCGCAGATGTGTCCCCATGCATTCCCGTGAGTTCCAGGCGTTCCTGGTGTTCCTGGTGTTCCTGGTGTTCCAGAGGCAGAGGGAAAGCGATAGGGCATTTAAGAGAGAGCATCTTACCGACTTGGACAGAGGTCTCGATTGCCTGCGCAGACGAGCCGTGTGCCTGAGACTGTCCAGTCATCGATATCAGGCAGGCACTGGCAATGTGAGGAGAGTGAGTAACTGCGCGTGTGTACTATGCACTATTGTATTATCGTAGGCGAGAGGGTGAAGAACTACACCAGGTCAGTTCGAAATTCGTTTTTTTTTTTTTTTTTTTTTTGGATGAGTGATTGCGACAGACGACAAGAGACTGATTCAGAATTCCGCGGATCGAATGAACCGACAGGAGAGAGAGTGAGAGGGAGAGCAGAAAAGGGTAAAGGGAAGGGGGCGGGTGTGTCTGGCTATCTGTAGAGCAGGATAGCAGACGGAGATAACTCGTCCATGAGAAGACGAGGAAGTGGCAGTGGGATAAAGATAGAGGTGCCATACAAATCGAGGAGGAGGAGGAGTAACCTACGGCAGAGGTTCGTTCTTAGTATTCAAGAGGAACCAGTGTGCCTGTGCATGGGAAAAGGAAAGGACAGTTGGAAGGGGGGGAAAGAGAGAAGGAGAGGGTTGATGAGGTCGACAGCAATGAGGAGGAAAAGAAAGGAAAATGAAATAGAGTGTAGAGTGTAAAGTGTAAAGTGAATGATATGAAGTGTGACAAGGAGGACAGGGAAAGAAAGCGGAAAAGGCGCAAGGGATGGTTATGGCGAGTGCAAGTGCAGTGCAGTGCAGTGCAGTGCAGGGTGTGATCGACTGGGCGACACAGGCATGGGCTAGGGGTGCTGGGTGGTTGTGGTTGTGGTTGTGGTTTACTGCTACGATGCGTGCGGCGGTATGGATGTTAGTAAGAATGGAGGAGCAGAACACTGACCAGCAGAGGACGCAGAAGGGAGGAGGTGGGAAGAAGATGCGATACGATATGGTACAAACAACAACAAATATTGCAGGGGGTGGCACAAGAGTGTGGGCGTGGGTGGGATGATTGGGGTATTCCCCACGGGAAATATGAACGGGAATTACAGAGTGAGGATGAGAAGATGCGGATGTGATTCGGATGATTCGGATGATGATTCTGGTGATGCTGTTGATGTTGAAGAGAAAGAAAGGGAGAAGAGAAAGCACGGCGAAGCACAACAGACAAACATTGCACTCGACTCCAGAATGCGCTCATATGTGAGGACAGAGTCCGACCCATGATGGGACAATCGATGGGCGGACATTGCCTATGGGCCTAGTCTACCGCACAGAAATATACACTTACATTAGAGTGTGTGAGCCCGCTACAAATCGATCTGTGGAGGAGCGGAGTGCATTGGGAGCAGATGCATGCGATGCAATGTTGTTATTCATACACCCATGTGCATCTCCTGGCTACACATGGGTGCGGTGCCCGGTCTTCGGCACTCCGCATCTGAACTCTGAGCGTGAGGTTGGGCGCATTCCCCTGTGCTTGCTCGAGTGCTAACCATCTTCAGGCCCTGCCAATGAACCCTCTCTTTCAGTCTAGAGATGCACCGAGTACCTGATGGTGCAGCTCCCGCGCATATTTCAGCTTGCAAATAAAAAAAACAAGAGCGCGGCTAAATGGACACGCGTCCTAAGTTCCTATGCATGCCGCACCATGCCATGCGGTCTATAGTGTGATCCTGCTCAACAACAACTTGAAACAGTGGAGAAGAGCCGAGCCCGCTTGCTAAAATAATGTTTTACGAGCTATACATCATCACCTCCGACATATGACATCGACTTGAACCCCATATAAGCGCATAGGCCATGAGCGCAGAGTTCGTATACGAAACCCCCTTTATGCAGTTGAACATTGTCACCAAGGACTTCATCGGCACCAGCACTACACGTTCGCATTTTTTTTTTTTTTGATGATGTCGTGAAGGGCAAGGAATCTGAATTGGCGGTCAAAGGACCTTAAACGCGTTCATCACTGCCGGATTGAGAGTGCCCTGACGATCTGCACCTGACGATCTGCACCTTTGATATAACGATCAGTATTCAAGTGTTTCCAAGTCAATATATCACATTCATCGATGTCCTCTTCCTCATTTGTGCCCAAGTCCATCTTTGTAGCCGTGCCCCAAGAACTGATTTTACTATTGAGCTTTGGCATGACACAAGACAATGAGACTTTTAGACGATGGGCCTCGAACTCGGGTCCTGCTGGTCTTGAGGTCTTTTTCAATGTCATCGCCGTTGCTGTGGTTTTGATTGAAACACAACGATGTTGTTTTAGGGCATCTGATGATGCTCTCGGTATCAATGTCGTTCTTGTCCTTTGTCTTTGCAATGGCAGGTCTTATCCTGCGCACCTATATACAGCTGCGTCTGGAAGTGTAGCTGCTGCTAAGGCAATCTGAGATGTTTCGAAACAGGTGCATCTTGACACGACCGGTTGTGGTCGACAAAATAACGAAGGAGCTTTCTAGCGTTAATGTCGTTAGCAAACGAACCGATGTGCAATGCCACTGAAACATACTAGAGGAAACTATGCGAACCTTGCGCAGCTCCCCTGCGCCCTCTCCCGCGCTCGTTTTGTACTCCCTCTTGATCTCTTCCACTGCGCATCACCCGTAGTCTTTTGCTATCCCTTCTCATCGTTCTCCCCCATTCCCCATTGTCTATGACAATATCCCATTCATCCTCTCCCTCTTGCATCCCGTACACATTGGCCATCTCCACAGAAAAGCCGAACTCGCGACTAGCAATCTCACGGCCTTGGAGACCATCGTTCATTAGCTGAGAGAGAGTGGTTTGCTGTTCGGCCACAGCCAGCACTGTCCCCTGCCTCCTCGCTACCGTTCCACCACTACCTTGAATCCATGGCGCACTCGACCCTTTGCGCGTGCCTAGCACTAGATTTGATTGGACTGGAGCCTTTGCTGCGAGTGGACGGTGCATGGTTGATGCCGCATCTCGCTCGAGGCAGAAGGAAGCAGTGCCTGCAAGAGAAACAGTTCAAAGAGGGGCAACAGTTAAGAGGCGAGAAAAAGACATACAGACATCCATCATCCACAAGCACAACAGCAAATAACGTATACAACCGTACCTTTGCGAACTCCTAGCTCCTCCTTGACGAATCTCAATGGACTGAGTCACGCCGCCATCGAGGCCGTTGTGGTCGACTGCCAGATGCAGCAGAGCGGAGTAGCATCTGCTGCCTGGTGGAGAAAGGGACACTGTTAGAACCAAGTCGCAAACATCCTCTGGCACTAGACTTTGGCGCCAGAAAAAAGTACGATGCCATTCATATCCACAAGAGGAAGAATAACAGAAGCTGGACATTCAAGACAAACGTTTCTGAGACTTTGCTAGCCTCTGTGGTGGTTGTATGGTCACTGCTGCTCTTGGATCACGGACCGGATTGGGTCTTGCTCGGATAGTGGAGCAGAGACACTGATGGGCGAAGCAGGAGGTAAAAAATGTGGAGTAAACAAGTGCGAGAAAAAGATAAGGGTATTAGAAATTAAAGGGTAGGCACAGGCACAGGCACAGGCACATCACCTTACAGCCATGGGCACAAATCGCTTCTCCATTCTCACGGTTGCATACCTGAGAGACACTGCTGTACCGTTCGTATCATAAATAGAAGGGTAGGTGGATCCTGAGTCACATGTAATTGTACCGCTAAAAGACAACTCTGTTTATTGTGTCGCGATATACATTTGCTTCTACAAGAATCAGCAAAAAAAAAAAAAAGCCAGTGTTCACATCCCCTCTTCGTTTAAACCATGTTGTTCAGCTCCTCATCTCCATCATCGGAATCATCAGAATCATCGCAGTATCTTTCCTGCACGTCCTGGAAGATCGTCGTCATGACGAAACAGACCACCCGATCCAACAGCGCCCGCTGTATTCTCCTCATCGTCGTCGGCCATATAGTGATCAAAGTAGTCATCTATGATGGCTTCTTCCGTGTTGAAACGTTTATCGAGCAACTGAACGCCGAGCATAAATTACGGGAGCAAAGGTATAGAACGCCAGATCATAAGAAGCATTCACCATTTATGGCCTGTCACTCTGTTATGTTTATGCAGGGCGTAGTTATTTTATTACAGCTACAGGACGAAAGTGACGATGTGTTACAATGGCGAAAGATAAAAAAAAATGCAAGGAGAATGTGGCAGACGGATTGTGAGATAGCAAAAATGGTCGTGTTCTTTCTATCTTCATGCTTTGGACCGTCCCTTAGTGCTTCGCTTGATGTTGCGCTTAGTCTTATCAAAAGCTGTTTTGCCCTTGCGCCTCTTGAGTGAATCCGAAAAGAGTCCATCAAAGGGCTCGCTTCTATCGCCGTACGATCTCTTGCGGCTCCCTGAACCCCCATCCTGATCGCCGTTATCGTCGTCGTCACTCTCACGCGACATCGCAGACTGCTTACGCTCATTGCGACGCGCAAGAA